ACCTTTTGAGGATGAAGGTGCAATTAGAAGATCTGTATGGCTGGATTGATTACACATTCAACCAGTATCTGAACATCGACAATTTTGGCCACCATGACTCGCCGCAAAGCCCAAGCACTACGCTACGCAGCAAGTACTGACTTGCAGCACTTCTGGTTAGTGCCTGCCAAGGTACACCCAGCGTGGGTACTTCAGCCAGGCACGGGGGCTGTGCTTACACATGGACATCTTCCTCAGCAATGAAGTCACCTTAAAACTTCCAACCGTTATTTGTCCTGATCCTTGGGGTTGCACACTTCAGAACAGGTACCGGTGAGAGACCCCTAGGCCAGGATTGCTGCCAAAGAGACAGACTGATATGCCCATCTTCATAACACAACAAAAAGCACCTAGAAATAATTTTTTTCCCTTCGTAAAAATTATCAAGTATGTTCTCCCAGCCCTTTCTCTAACACAATGACAAAACGCCCACTGGCATATTTAAAAAGTAAAGGTAAAAAGAACCAAAACAGGACAGACGTGCACTTGCATTTAAAATAAATGCTCTTCAACACTTACAAGGCCAAACTTCTGACCTGCTACAAGAAAAGGAAATGCATTTGGAATATAAGACTTTAACACCATTGGTACGGATATAGCTAGTTCACACCCAGAACATCCCAAGTAACCAAGACAAATTCTTCCATTACAGAGCTACAGCTGACAGGAAGAAAGAACATTTAATGCTAGGAATAATATTCCACTTTTCATATAGAGCAGCTTCTTTCACACCATCCACAGAAACTTAATCACCTGTAGGTAAGATAACCATATTACTTCCCCACTCAGGCACATTTCAAAGTCACCCAAGCATACCTTATCTGATTATTTTTTACAGCATTATGCAGCATTATTCCCATGATTTAATCCCATCCGAGATCATTAGACAGTTATGGTACCATAAGTAAGCAATTACGACACTGACCTATGTTCTAGGGGACCTGGGCAGGCAAGTGCCTTCGTCATCTATCAGAGGATAATTTTCTAATTTGATTTAGAGCCTCTCTAGAAAAGAATAATTTACTTACTGGCTAGCTTTCAAAGACCGCCTCTAAGTCTGATTTAAACTAGGATACACATCTGAGAAGAAAAAAAAACAACAAAAAAAAACAAACAAAACCAAAACCAAACAAACAAAAAAGAAAACATACAGAATGTCAGTATTAGCTGTGTAAGATAAAAATATGTAGAACAGGCAATGTTAAGTCAGACTTGGTCAGATGGTTAAGAAGTGAAAGAATTAAACAAAGAAAAAGGCATAGTCCTTGGCAATACTGCATGTCAACAGAGAAGGCAGATAAAGAATTAGGAAGTTGACTCATTGCAGACACCCACACCCCAGACAAGATCACTTTAGCATCTCACAATAACTGGAGTCTCCTGTGGGAACGGTAATTCATTGCACATTATTTTTTCCAGGCTTTTTGCTTGCTCCAGGTGACACTGAAGACAGTCAAACAAGAAACTTACAAATTAACACAAGGGGCAAAATCAAAGGTAAAGAAGCTTTTCTGTGTTGCAGGGACAGGTAGAAAGGGCAAGAAGGTACAAGCATCTCGCCGAGTGGGATACTGCACTGACTGCAGACCGCTGGCTAGTGAAAACCTGCCGGTCCGGTCATCATGGGAGTATCAGGCTGCTGCTTTTAAGCACAGATGTTTTACTAAAACCACACTGTTCCTTCCAGCACTTTTACCGCAGAAACAGAGCTTGGGGGAGGCAGGCAGTCACAAAATGGGAGGACAAGCAGCTGACGATGCGGGTAGTGTGAGTGCCCCTCAGAGGCGCGCAGCGGCTCCGCGGCCCAGCGCAGAGAGGCCCTGCTGCCCCTCTTTCTGCACCACTAAGGTCCGCCGCCTGCTCAGTAAAAACACCCACCGCTGCACACCTCCATTCCCAACCTCCTCCCCTTCCTCATGTCCCTCTGACTTCTGAGCTCTTTATCTGTACAAAGCCCAACACAACGGAGCCCCGGTCCCAGTCACCACGTCGGCACCGCTGAGGTAACTTCTACGGTCCTTGCTAAAAGACAACGGTACTCACAAGGCCAGCCTCTGAGCTTGGAAATGTTGTGTCAGAGGAGAAATCGAAGCAGCCTTCAGAGGGACAAGATCATGGACGAGGAGATCTACAATCACCAAACATTACTGTTACTTTTTGGTTTTTAAACACATAGCTCTCTTTTTAATTGAAGACTCAAATTACACACGTTCTCCCGGTACCGAAGGCCTCGTGTAAGTCAGAGTTACAGTCCTGCTGCTGCCATGCGGAGTCTGCAACTAGTGGCAGAGAGGTGAAAATATGAGCACTAAAAATAATTTCAGCGTCAGCCCTGTGCTGGGTCATGAAGAACAGAATCAATACTGGTTTTAGCTCCAGGCAGATTTATGTGTTTCAAAACACTCAACAGTCAAGAGAGACAAAAATCAGCAAAACCAAATGAGCACTCCAAGGTTATGAATTCCTATACTTCTGCAGTATCATCCTGAATTTTTAAATAAAATGTGGGGTTTTTTTGGGGGGGGGGGGGGGGGGGGGGGCGGAGAGACAAAAAAAAAAAAAAAATAGAGCAGAGAATTTAATTGTAAGCAACAAATCAAACCACTTTAGGCAAATGTGCCAGACCTCACTAAAGGCACCCTCTATTGGTAAGGTCAGATATGAAGTACCTTTAGGGATGCAACTCCTGGGATGGTAAAACTCAACAGATGGACTCCTCTTCTCAGCATATGTTGACAGGGAGGGATACCAGCAGCAGATATTAACTGCCATGAATTACTTAAAGACAAAAAAAAAATAGATAAACTGTGCTGGCATACTTAAGAACCCAAGCTGCTTTTGTAAAAGCATATAGACCATACTCTCCATACATGATTTCTGAAATAAGTGGCAAAAATTCTATTATTAACTTCTTCAGAAAGAACTAAGCACCACCCTTCCCTACTGAAGCAGATTTCTGCACTAGTTTGAAAAAGGAGAAAGAGAGAAATCATGTTTAATTGTGGGTACTTAACCTATATAAATATGGAAAAGAACAGAAGGGTGACTTCTCTTGCTATGAATTCAAGCCAGGAATTATTAATAAAAGAGCAGAACTCCAAAACTTATGCCTTTGCAATTCTGCTCCACTCTCCACAAAACATAAGAAGTCTGAATCATTTATGATCTGAATTATTTATAACATGGATGAATTTTTGACTTAAATGAATTTCAGCAGAAAAATCCAAAACATTTTACCCAGAGTAGGCTGTTGAGTTTTTTTCCCCCTTCACATCACAGAAATGGAAAAAATCTCCTGTCTTTCAGGCAGGATGCCTAGAAAACATTCATTGATCAATTATTTTCATAGCTAGCTATTTCAGTTCTCTACTGTGTCATCACATATCTTACCACCCTAGTACCAGAGAAGAGCGGAAAATTAAATAATAACAATAAAAAAAAAAAAATCCTGCAATGGGACTAAACACCTGAACACTGTTGAAGGCCACACAGGAGTGCCTGACATAGAGGTTAGCCCCTAGTCTTCCCCTCACCTTTCCAGGGCAGTCCCCTGGGAGCACTTGCCCTTACGCAATTTCGAAGAACCATTAACAAGCTCTTCCCCTCCACCCCCCAAAAGTTTGTCTCTTATCTTGCACTTTTTCCCCTCTTTATTTCTCCTATCTCGAGTCTGATCACTGCTATACCTTCTCCATTGATTTGTGGTAATCCCCTCCATTCTCTCACTGGCAGCCTGAGGAGAGGCATGCCCTGCTGGTGGCTCAGATGTTAATCCCAGCCTTGGGGGGGGAAGGATGGAGACTGACACACTGGTGGTACCTGAGCCCACCGACCCGTACAAGTCAAAAGTCCCCACTGCTGCTGCAGTAGGCTGCATCACCAGTAGCAGCACAGAAATGGTGCTCCAAAAACATTCCTCCGCTCTTACTGTGCTGCTTCTCTACACTATTCTTTTCTTGGATAGTTAGATTACTCTTTCTGTGCCTTGGTATAACCTCTTGAATTTCTTCCTTTGCCTCCTGCTCTCCCTGACTGCAAAGCCACCACTGTGTTATACCCACTCAACTTTCAAGAATTCAGCAGAAATAATACAGATTCTTTCCTTAGATAGCAAAAACATAGCAGTGTCACCAAACTTTGTTTTATTAGAATATGTACCATTAAAATACCTACACTGCTCCAGTAATTTGATAGCATAGAATTTAAATATGTTAACCTATTTTGCCAGCAATATCTATAGCACTAAAAATGCCTAGTGTCATTGACAGCTTCCTTCAAGAGACTGATGGTATTTTAGGAAAGTATGTCTAGTTCAAAATAACTGGCTCATCCTTCTATTTATAAGGAAGCTTCACACTTTTATAAACCAATGTGTTAGTGTCTTATTTGCCCTGCAATAAAAATTCACTAAAACAGTCTCAAAAATAAACATGTGAATTAATCCTTACGTTAATGGAGAAAGCTTTAACAGTAGACTTAGTCATACTTAAGTTCAACCTTTTATAGAATTCCAACTTCATGTTTAGGTTTTTTGTCCTTTAAATATTGCCAGTCTACAACAAAATACCTTAAAGTGCATTAAGATCACCATCTTAACTCGTGAACTATACAACTTTAACACTTAAGTGTAAATGAGAATGACTTGTGGAGCTAGAGTTACAGATGTAACAAAGGTTTTCTTATGTCTTCCCCCGAAGATTCTTCTACAAAAAAAAGTTTAAATTCAGTTTAGTGTGCACTTCATGCAAGTAGATTTTCTGTCAGACTCCTCAATGACAGATTTTTCTGACAGCCCTAGCCACTTTAAAATACATGCAAGATTATATAGTCATTCTACTGTATTTTTGAACAGTCTGATGGACTAAACAGAAGCCTAGAGAAGTTTATATAGTATTTACCAGTTTTATTTATAGTGTCGTAAAGCAGACTGAAGAATCAGAGATGCACAAATGAAAATTTCTCAAGCATTTTATTTCATAACCTAGTGTATAAAACTTCAACATACAAAAAAAAAAACGAAAAAAAACAAAACAAAAAAAAAAGTGAACTAAAGCAAGATCTCTTAATGCCTTTTCTCCAGAAAGCTTTAACTAAAGGCTCAGAAGCAGCAAACATTCAGCCTATTTAAAAAAAGGAATCAGAACAATCTTCATACTTGCAGTCTGCAGAATTATGAATCAAACGGAACAGGTTTTGATGCCTTCTTAAAAAAAGTTTAGTTGCTGTAAGCAGTGGTGTCTGTGGGGTTTGTTTTCAGCTGGATTTTTTTAAATATTTAGTTCACTTTCAAGATCACAATCAGTCCTGGTTAGTTATCTTCAGTGAAGCGAATATGTTTACTTGTTTGTTGAGTCTTTTCAAGTCTTATTCTTTCAGCTTTAGCAATCAACTGTAAACAGGAAAAATTTGGTAGAAAAGATTAGAAGAAAATTATATTGTTATGGTTTTATCTCACAAGTATAAATATTATTCATTGATTTACCAAGCTTTGTAAGAAAAAAATAATATTTGAAGTGCTGAGCTAACCTGTACATCTGACAAAAAAGAGTTAAAGCAAACCTGATACAATTTCTTTCAGTATTGCCTCAGAACCATCAAAAATATTAAGGCATCTCTTCAAACTCTGGACAGTGCAGCATCTTTCATTCCACCCCTTCTTCTTCCCAAAACGGTTGAAGAGAACAGAATTACACTTCAAAAATCCCCAGTCTCATACACGAAGTTAAAAAAACCCCCTACCCTTTTATTGGATTCTTGCTGTTACTTGTGTAAGAAAAACAAGGTTAGACCACAAAAAAAAAAAAAAAAAAAAAAAAATCCCTTAGGAATACTGTGCCATTTTCTACAGTCACATTGCAAAGAAACAAAATCACTGAGATGCTCCAGATGGGGGCCATCTCTCAGGCTGGAAAAACAGCACAACCCATGTCACAAGCCCGGTGAGAATTAATTTCAAGAAGTAACAGTGCAGTTTGGAGGAACATTGATGCTAGGAATCCCGAACTCAAAACCCCATATGACCAGGGATTTTTTTGCTTTCAGTTGCATTTTATGGAGATTGCCTACGTTACTAGGGTACCTGGTTAGCTGCTCTCAGAGTACAGAGCAACAAGAAATGCTCTTTTGGAAAATAACTTGCTAGTTTTCAACTTCTTTGTACAGTGTTGTCAGGCAGAAAACAAAACACTGAGAACAACACTAAAAGCATACTTCTTTTTAAAGCATCCATATTAGAACATTCACAAGTTTAACCACAGTACTGCAGCAAAGCCATACTAATACCCAAGAACAAAGGTACAAGCTTTGCTGCTGTGATGCCCCATTAAGATTCCTTAATCATAAGCAAGATCTCATGAGGTAACTGGTACATTAATAAGATTGGGGGGAATGGGGGGGGGGGGGGGATTGGAGAGAAAAAAAACAACCAAACAAAAATACACACGCGAAAAAATGCAAGGAACAAGACAGGTTACCTAATCTGAATAAAAAGTGATAAAGCAGGAAAATCCTGTGAATCTAGGCACATCTGTAACACACCAGCATAAATCCATATTAACTTATCTGATGGAGACTACTAAAACATATTCAGCTGGTGCTGAGGTAAAGGGGCACTTGCTCACTGGGCAGTCCAGTAAAGAGTTTGCTAGATTTGAAAAGTTTTATACATAATTCAAATTATGTACTATTTATCCCTATGACTGCAGTCACAGCTATGTCCTGCAGACAATGAATCTTGTACACAGCATGGAAGTGCAAGGTATGGTGCTGCACTGATTATGGTAGTCAGGAATTACACTTACACTGATGCTGTATGGAGGCACTGTTTGCTGTGCTGCAGTATAATTACACTAGCACAGTTTCACTGGTACATCCCTCTGTACTCCACAACAGTTAACGTGACTGCAATCCTTAACATGTTCTCAACAGCATCAGACCATAAGTTTTGGCAGATGATTTTCTCAACCATTCTCCAGAAAAAAAAAATGATCTAAATATCTAACTAAAATCCTTTTTACTCTCTGGTATCTGAAAAATGGATTAAGAGGGTTAAACTCTAAAAAGAAGATTACAGTGTCTCATTCATTCAACATATGGGATGGAAAATTAGAACTCTGGAAGGAAAGCTCTAAGATATTACCTGTCCAGTTCATATCTTGTTTCTATAGCAGCACCTCAGAATTTGCAAGAGGCCACAAGGATTCCCATTTTTAGCTAATCAATTCAGTATCAGCACCTATTTCTAAGCATACCAGTATTCATGTCTCCAAAAGGTACCCAGCCCCTACACAGATACCAACTTCAGAGAACCAGGGAAAGAGGGTTATTTGTGCTCTGGAGTGGGACCTCTCCCCACAGGCAGGTACACAGACAAGGAACTGAGTCAGTCTTGCAAGGACACAGCCCAGAGCCCCAGGCATAATCAGAAGAGACTATCCTGGGCTGTGCTCAGGCATTCACACTATCCTCCTTTCCCAGATATTCTGCAAATTATTCCGCCCTTCACAAATACCCGATTCTCACTTCCTCAGCAAATGCCTTTCACTTCTACCACCACTCCCACCCTCTTAAACTTCCTCCTTTCCTTCTGTGTAAGGGGGTGTATAAGGTGTAAACTAGGTTCAGCAGCACCTCCCCCCAGAAGGCAAGTACCCAGGTGGAGAGCTTGCAGGCACTCATGCCTTTGCTTTGTGAACAGAAGACTTTAATCAGTCTAGAGAGTTTAAGGCTACACACTGATGAATTGCTTTAGGACTGCATAAACTGGCACTGCCCTGAAGAAACAGTTCTGGCGAGGTTTTTAATCTGTTTCACTAAATCACCAAGGTTGTTTTTATCATGCAGTTGAACAACAAACTAAAGAGAACATGGATTCCGAAGGGGCAGCAGAGGAGCACAGAGGTGACAATGAATGACCAGACCTGGGGGAGAAGCCCAACACTGGACACCCTTTTAACTCCAAAGGATGGCTAGGTTTAGTCGCACATTCTGAGGAACTTATGGATATCCTCTCTCTCTTGAACATTTAATTTATGACAAAAACTATGCCAGAGAAAGTAAAAATACCTTCTTTTTTTGGGGTGGGGGGGGGGGGGAGGGTGGAGGGGGAATGGCATTATGCCAGAAACTGCTGAAGTGACCATTAACCTTTAGCCTGCCATGCCACAGGACCTGTTGCAGGAAAGCTGAGTAAGCCTGTACTTTTTAGAGCAGAAAGACAAGGGGAATCTCAAAATGCCTAAAGTTACACTCAAAATCAAAAGCATCGCTGTGCTCTGTTACTGTGTACTGCCTGTAACATGATGCAGTCCAGGTAATAATATCTATGTTCATTATTACTATAAATACATTGGCATGACTGCAGCTATATAGCTTATATGAATGTAAATTTAAGCCTACATTTAAACACTGACTGAAAGAAAGTATAAAATGCTGTCTTTACTATAAGTATAAAACAGCTAACAGGCAAATGCTCATCTTCAGAGAGAGATCTTGTAAGGGATTTAAAAACCTTTAACAGAATAGATCTTTACAGGAAAGATACTCTAATGGCATATCCAGCTGGACATGTTTAATTATGAATCGTTGTATTACTTTTTTTCCTTCCTTTTATTCTGACCTTCAAAAGAAGCCAACCTGTGAGTACTTTGGAAGAATTTTCAAATAAAATATTAACATATTAAGGAACAGAGAAAGAAACACTGATTTTCTTATTATCAGTCTCTATTTCTAAAATACAGACTGTAAAAAAGTAATGAAAGAGTTAAGAGTTGTTGACTACAGGGAGGCATTCTTTTCTTGATGTTTTGCTTAGCAGTGTTAGCATTTAAATAGTATTCACTAAGCTTTGAAGTTAACACCTCCCCAGTGCTGCTGGGTGAGGGGTAAGGGGGAAAGCAGAAGTTTGTGTCCTTGCCCTTGCTGTTGTTAATCAGAACTGAAGACAGCTTATACTTGCAAGCATAGATGAGGTACATGTACATTACCTTACTGGCCAATTTACACCAGTTTGGTCAACAAATACCAATCGTCAAAAGATGAGAAACAGAAACTTGAGAGCAGGGCACCTAAAGTCCAAATTAAAGTCAAAGGTGCCACTGGCACCTTTTGTTCAAAAAAGTAAAAGTACGTTTTAAAACACTGGAGGGAAAACAACAAAAAAACAAACCAACCCAAGCTGGCAGGAATCAGTAAAAGGCTCTAAAGCTGAACGGTTTTTAAATTCCCTTAGTGCTTACATTAAAGAATAATGGTTAGAGCCAATGCCACTTTTATGCTTTTTAGAAAATTAAATCACTCATTTGGGGAAATTCTTTATGCACAGTTCTGTCTAAAATAACTAGATTCATTTGTCTACAGAATCCTTGAAAGAACATTTAAACAAACAAGAAACCACAAGCAAAATATGCCTTGTACAAGACAAGGCTTTGACCTGTACAACTGCTTTTCCTTTAGGTCAATGTAACATTTATTTTCGATTAGATACGGAACAACTGGGAGATTTTTGATACTGTGTGCATCACTGGAGCATCTAGGAAACAAAAAGTCTCTAAAGGCACCAAATAGTTAGGGTCATATGATTGTGAAGTTTTGAAAGCAACAGCATAAAGATTCGGGTTAAAGCCGCCTCAGAAACCTTATCTGTAATGTGTGCAAAGCAAACTTAGCAATAAAATGTCTGTGAAATACTCTGGCTCCTCTCTGTCAGGCAAAGAATCTGACTGGCTTAATCAAGAACCCTTCATGCCTGGAAGGAGCTTCTGAGGCAGGAGCAGAGACTGCTGCCTGCAAATTCACTGCAACAGTCCCTCACCACTGTGGCCTGACAGGGGCACCAAGGGCAAGGCTGGAAGGAAATTTCACTAGAAGTGAGGCAGTTTTGATCTGGAAGCTGCTCAGATATGGGTGCTTGCAGCAGCATGCAGGTTTGTCTGGATCAAGACATAGACACACTGGTGTGCAGACTCTTGATTACATTAGGAACACACCAGCGTTCAGCATAGCACAGAAATGTAGAGGAGAGGAAAAAATTGTGTAAATCGTGAGAAAAAAAGAGATTAATTCTGAAGAAAACCATTTTCTTTATCATACTATAAAATTAAGACTAAAGCAATAAACTTCAACACTCTAGAGCAAATCAAGACTACTTTAACTTTGTAATGAGCTCATCCAAACAGGGTTTTAAAAGAAATCCACCTTACAAATTAACTTCAGGCCTTTATTCATGGACTTCACTTTCTCAGATTGTCTCCATGAAGACAAGCCTTGCATTTGGCAACTGGACCAGGACAGCCACTGCTCTCTGTTTTGTGGCTGAAAAATCCTGCTGCAAAGTCAGTAGAAAGTGATTTAACTGGATTAAATAGAGAGCCAAACATTAAATTATCAAAAAATGCGACCTACACAGAAACAGAGTCATATTTTCAACCATGACTGTGCAGAAAAAAAATTGGCTTGCAGATTACCTTCTCAGTACCCCGCTTCTTTTCTCGAGGCTGGTTAAGTTTAGCTTGTCTGTCCACTAAAATCTTCTGCCAGTAACGTTGTTCGTGATCACCTTGAAAAACAAATTAACATTATAGTACATGAATAAAAACATTAAATACAAGTGGATACAGTGTTTTCAGCTGTGATGAGAATGAACCTTTTCTAAGGTAAACACATGTGAAAGTACCTGTGAGGGAAATCTAACAAGTATTTCCCCATCAGTCTTAAATTTCATAGTCAGAAGTCATACAGCATTGCCACACCTGACCAACACACACCAAGGTAAACATAGAAAAGAAAAACTCTGTCCAAAGAAGCTTAAAACCGCTACCTAGGTCTCTCTTCTGTAGGAGCTGGACAGGACCTGAATCGAGGTCCTAGGCATTTTATTAACTTTAGGGCTGGATTGCCAATGTATCTAACCAAGCTTTCCTGAGCAAGGAGTTTTACAAACTTTACAAGAAGAACAGAGGAAATTCACAAACACCACTCTACATGTAATTAGCAGAAGGAGCTCAGTCTATACTGAAGTTTCACCATACCACCCAGAGGCCCTTTGATTTCCTGATGTACTCAACCTCTGACTAATTTTAAACAACCACCAAACAGAAAAGAAAACTTACTACTTACTGTAAGAATGACTAAGATTATTTTGTTTCATCAAAACCACTGTTAGAAGCAAACTCTGGGCAGTTAGGAATACTTTAACATGGGGGGAAAACATGAGAAGTAATTTTGCAACTTTTTTCAGCCACTGTTTTTCAATAAGAAGCAGTTTGCTACTGTTTCCTCTGGTTTGTGCTGCAACTCTCAGGATGGGAATTCTGTGATGTAATGTTGTATGGGTTAATGGGAAATTTTCAGTGATCTTGGTAAAGATTCCCACAAAAGTTAAGGAATTAGTAATTCTGACAACCTGTTTTGTATACATCTTAACATCATTATTTATACATTCAATCATAATAACATCTAAATATTACCATAGATGTTTACTATCTTGTCAGATGAAAAGCTGAAGACTTTTAGTCAAAGTCAAGCCCTAAAGTAAAATATTACTGGAAAAGCTTTAGCCCCTGCAGTATGGTGCATTAAAGATTCTTTCCTTATTCTTATTCTCTGTATTCACTGTATGCCCCCAAGAAAAGCTGAAACTCTTAGTCAACTTCTGCATTCTTCAGAGGCCTTTCCATTCTCATTTCAATGAGCTAGTTTGAAAAAAAAAAAAAAATCTTAGGACTATGAATGGAACACTCCTGCAATGTTGTACTTACTCCCCATCTACCACTACATTTTTTTACACAAGGGTACAAAACCAGAGACAAATACACACAGGGCACGCAGCTGTAATATGCCGTATTTCAAGTTGTTTCTGGATCTCTGGAACACAGAACACTGTGGAGACAAATCTATCTCCAAATAACATTAGCAGCATTCAGTGAGTCTCAAAATTTAATTAACTTTGACATTATGAAGGTTGATGATTCCATTATAGCTCTTCCTTCTCAAATTCTTAATTGACATTTATGAGGGTTTACATCCCTGCATGCACAGAAACAGGCCTTGTATGAGGATCTGTGCAGAAGTGTGGTAAAATATTCAAATACACAGATGAGATTCTCTCATCTGGATTGTTTTATCTGTGCTTGTTTGCATCTTTGAGATTTTTAGTGCATGTCTAGAATTTAAAAGTTTCATGAACAAAGTCTGAGAGACTTCCCCCCTTCTTCTACCCCTTACTTCGATAAAGAGGTTCCTCTACACTTGGAAAACTAGTCCAATCTAGTACAAGATGTTAATTTTAGCAGAGTAATTTCAGAAAAAAATGGCACTTGTTAGGAAAAAGTTCCAAAGTAAACCAGTAAAAATTTTACTGTAAATACAATTTTTAAAAAATAATTACTCTGGCATAAATTCTTCAACTTCCTAAAAAAAAGAAAGTTTAATTAGAAGGCAAGTGCTAAAATCACTGAAAGTGTATCCATGCTGTTAGATGCTTGTCCTGTTATTTCACACATAAGTTCAGTATTTTCAAGAAAATGTCATTTAAATTTGTCTTGCATCATCGGAATGTTACATTCATAAAGTTGAAATGCAAATAAAGTTCTACAGTCCATTGTCAATAAAAGTGACATAAATAAATGCATCTCAAAAGAACAGAAATAAGTTGATAAAGGCAAGCAAAATCATTATTCTTCTCTGGACAGTGGTGCATTAAAGCCCTTACTGTTTTACCAATTTCATTATAGTAGCAGAAAAAACCAAGATATCTAAATATATCCTTAAAGCTATCATGCAATACATCCTTTTCACAGTACTTAAGTCTTCTCCTGTATTACCATTAAAAAAAAGAAGTCTTACCAGTGAGAATTTCGAATTTCCAGTTGTTTTTAATCTGTATTTCTTTGTACGATTTCATGACACTCTGTGCATCCTCAGGAGATTTAAAACGGACATGACATTCTGTGTCTCCCTCCAGCATGTCAACATAAGCAACATGAGCCAGCACTGCCAAAGCATCCTATCAAACCATGTGAGAAACACAGACCATAAACCAGACTTTAAAAAAAGAATATAAAGAGTGACTTTTTTTGACCATTCAATTTGTAGGTCATTGACATTTTCAAAAAGGTCATGAAGTAGAAGTAACTGAACTTTTTTATTTAATCAATGCATCTCTTGTCAAATAGTTCTGAATTAATATATTTTCCTAAAAAGGTTATAACTGAATTCTGATCTATGAGCCTACAACATATATCTATCTCTTATCCTGCCTTTCAAGAACCATTTAAAGCAGTAATTCCTGAACATGTTATTTTTTTGCCTGAGAATAATTTTACTATTGGAACATCAGTAATTATCCATTTATTTCAGTACTATGTAAGTATGGACGACTTTTCAAAAAGAAAAATTATTTGTGTACTATAACATTGATATATACCAGTGATGGAAAAAATGTCTAACTTCATCCTATGCATGAAATATATAAAAGCAAGCTCATTCACAGCAGATTATTTCAAAAATGAGTAGTAGTAAACCAACCCTTCCTATCTTTATGAAGTGACCTCTGTCTAAAAATTTTCACTGACAGCTGAAGGGAGAAGAGTCACATGTGCTCTTTCAGATGAAATCCTTCACTGGCAATACCTGCTGTTAGGGAAATTAACTTCGACCACACATTCCTAGGCAATTTTGTTCACAGCAGGCAGTTCAAGTAAGATGCTTCTATTCAAGAATTACACACTGCTTTTAACCCTCTGCAACCAAGGACAGCCTTAAAACAAAGCAAAAATTAACTACCAATTGTCTTGAGATCATCTGAGAGCCAACCAAAGCTACTTTCCACTGTTAATTCTGGTATCCCTAAGTCATGCTGACATGGAAAACTAAAATGACCCAGTTTACTGGAGTTGGCAAATGTTATAATCTTTGAGAAGCACCTTAATAGCAAAATATGGGAGTAGTGAAGTAAAAAATAAAAATATCAAAATAACATTAAAAGCACTCTGCAGAGACCTTCCCAGTGTGTGGAAATAATTAAGCCTGCCACACAATCTGAAATACAGATCAATTCTGGAAGGTGATTAAGGAAAAAAACCCTAGATGCATTGCTTTGTGGCAGTGTTTGCTGTACCTACAACAGTCCAGGAACACAGGCAAAGTGAGGTTTTGTCAGTTACACCTTTCATAAAAGCACCTAGTATGGCCAGAAAAATCCAGTAATTGTCGAGCAGTTTGAAGTTTCCACTGCTGACCCAAAAAAGCTCTGGTGCACACTAAAGATTATTGCTTCTTCCAACTACAGTTGTGTTCTGCAATTATATGCCTCTAAAAACCTTGCCTTAGTTGTTTGATAACATTCTGTGAAATATTTTGCCTATCTACTAATTATGGGAACCAAAGACATGATTGATAATGGCAAAGGCCACCCCAATCTTATTCTTTCCCTTTCTACTTTCATAATGCATTAGTTTTCCCTGAAACACTTCCCTAAAACTAAACCAAAAGAATAACTGGAAATACCAAGGTAAGTTTGTTTTCAGCTATTGTCGGAAGAGTAAGCTTACCTCCTGACCACAACACATTAAGTCCTGACACAAACTTAACACAGTGAGGGCCCTCAAACATTACAGTGGCAACTACTACAGTGTCTCCAGCGCTCAGACAAGTGCCTACAAATATACCTAGGCAGGTAAGACTCATTAAGCTGAAGTCCTATCATCACTTTGTCTTCAGTGAGAGTCATCTCTCATCTTGCCTAGCATTATGCACAAACTAAACTTCACAAACTTGCAAGCAGCCAGTGACTTCAAATGGACTACTCGACTATACATACAGGTAGTTTGAGAAGTCATCTCCAAATTCACATTTTTGAACCACTCTCTCATTCTTCTAAGTGGTCTGAATATTTATTCCAATGTGAATTAAAGCTGTTCAAATTCTTTTCAGTTGTTATTCATCCAAAAGCAAAATTTGTGACAGAAAATGTCCTGTGTCACATTCATGGAAAATTCAGTATCTGGAAAACGCCTGTTATTTCCTGTGGAAAATTTTTAATACTTCCAGTCGAAAAGGATACAGCTTAAAACTGCTATTTTCCTTAAAAGAAAATATTCTACTAAACATGTGAAACTTTTGTATCATGACATGAAACAAAATTTAAGTTATCCTAAACGCTTTTCTTAAATTTGAGAAGAGCTCTTGATATAGAGAAAAAAAAAAAAAAACAAAACACAGAAAAGGGTAAAAGAATTACTGGACAAGATCTACTGTTGTCACTCTCAATGAACTGGAGTTTTTGTGAGCTTCTTACTGACAGACAATTGTTTTCTCATGCTGAGAGCATTTTCTTGCCCCCAAATTCCTGTTAATGGTAAACCCCCCCAATATACTATTACAGATTTCTTGATCTGAATTGTGCTGGAATGACTGACACAATGACCAATACTGAACACTGCATCCACTTTGTCTTCAACTTCTCCTTTTAAACCGGAAAGAACTACTCATCTACTAGAGCATTATTTATTTTTGTCATTATTTTCACTATAAACTTGACATTGCTTGAAGCACACTGTAGGCCAATTTTTGCTTTGAAACATCCTCTTTACCCTGTTTTGCCATTGTAAAATCTGCCATTAACAGGTAGTAGAGAAGAATCTGTACACAGCTGCTGGCCTAACAAATAAAATAAAAAATCAGTAAGACTTGTTTAAATAGTATTCCATATTCAAACATGGGGGGGGGGGGGCAGTGGGCACTGTAAGAGGAAAGGCTAACAGCTACCCTGAGGTTACAAAAGCATTACCTTGATCTGCTTCCTGCCCGGCAGGGGCTCAGTGCTAATGATCTTCACAATTACTCCACTCAGAAACCGGGGCCCCATTGTGTTAGCCTTGGCAGGAGGGGCAGAATCTTCACTGGTGGCTGGGCAATTTGAAAAGGGGGGGGGGGGGGGGGGGGGGGGGGAAGGAATAGAAAAACATTTTACATTGATTAGTTTGATAAACTAAAGATTCTATGAAAGCACATAAGGAACATGAGGTACACAAGAAATTAAACAAGGGGCATCAAATATTTCTACTTCAGATTAAGTAATTTATTTTTTCAATCTAGGATCAAGACTGTTCACAAGGTAGTAAATGTGAGTTAAAAAAAAGCTCCCAGAAAGGTCTCCTAAACAAGTTTTTACAGCCTACAGGGTTCATTACAATTAATAGTTGAACCCCCATCTCTAGAGTGATTAAAAATAAGCAGACAGGCACTGAAATGTCAGTAATGAAGTTAGTGAAGTACAGAGGAACCAGGACAAAAAAGAGCAATTCTACCTATGAAAAGCATAGAAGTTTAGCTAAGAGGACATAGCTACTTTTAACCATAAATCTGATAAAACCCAATTGCAGGACATTTTCTGAATGCCTTACTTACACAAATTGTTTTATAAATCGCTGCAGGTATAATTAAGCCTGATCAAACCAGGCCCAAGTTACATCATCAGAAAAGCGGATTCTTGATTTACCTCTTTGAGGCTTTTACTGTAATTACCTAAAAAGATCCTTAAGCTTATGAAGTGCTATTGAAATATGCTGAAATTACTTGTTTAGTCTTTACTTATAAAATTCCTTAGTCCCAAGTCTATCTAAATGAGGGAGATTTGCTTTTAATAATATTTGGCATTCAGAGAAATCACCAGCCTTACAGAAAATAAAACCATTTTGCAGTGTTTCAGGAAGACCAGGGTCTTAAATCACTTATTTTGTGTACTAGAATCATGAAGAAAACAAGACAAAAAAGGTCGCAGAGAGGATTACATTTGTCATTTTCAGAATGAGACTTTTTCTGTGCACAAGAGTCCGTTTCCATTTCTCCCACAGGCTCAGGTTTGATTTGAGACATTGCTTTCTTTAAGGAGGCCATACTGGCTTTTTGAAGGGCCAAATATTCTTGCTTCAAATCCATCCATTCGGTCCTATAAGCAGCAAAACAGGAATAGGATGTCAGATGTAAACAAACAAATTATGTTTATAAACCTCAGTGATAACTTAAGACAAAACAGTTTACAAATAACTTAGTGAGCAGTGCAGACTGCTCTTACAAATAGAGATCTCTCTGCTTAGGTTAAATTAAGCCTTGACAATATCTGCATTTTTATTGTTTTGCTTTAGATTTTAAATATTCCAAGCAAGTTCTAAAAAGATCATTCAAATAGAGTGACTCCCAAATTTGTTTTACATGTTCAGAAAACGTATAGAACAGCTTGGTAAACACTGTTTTCTACTGGAACTACACAGAGCATAGCACTAAATTCAGAGTTAATTCAGAGACAGTGAACTCAATTAGTTCAGTGAACCAGCTCCTATGTTACTATATTAAGAATCAGTCATTTATTTTCTAGAAAAATCATTGATGGAAAATCAACAACTGGTTAAACTCACCAAAAACCTACTGAGATAAGAACATTCCTTACTATTCAAATGCATTTTGGTTAAAAAATACCACCACATGGAAGCAATTTATATATTTACATACATTTAACATGGAGATGTTTCTGCAAACAGCTAGAGCTTTGCTCCACAGAAACACAATGCCTATAGTGCCACTGTGAGAACGACTCATTGTTACCCTAATCTGTGCTATCAAACAAGCTGATAGAGGATTTTTAAAGAGGAGGATATCTTGTGGTAATGGTTTTAGCTGTTAACATTGACAACTGTATACTTCAAAAAAGCATCCAGACTCACCCAGGATCATACATTCTCAACAGAGCAAAGACATTAAAATAACAAAAGACCCACGTAATGATTCTTTGAGATAAAAAGGCAACACCATTCCATAGCAAGGTATGGTATAAATACAAGCTCAAGGAGGTACTTCTTAACTTGACCAGAACGAAGAGAACACCATGGGGAATGAGTCAGGCAAGTATTTGCAATGCTTATGCTCTTTTAAAGCTTCCCCCCCCATCCCTCTTGCTATAGTTAAGTTTAAATTTAAAACTCTCTGTATTTGATGCAGAAGTCTCTGAACCTCAGCGAAAAGGACAAGCATCGTTGGTGACTACTGCTTTTTATGGACCCCTTTTACTTTAACATGGAGGTGCTTTCTGTGATCTAAAAAAAGTAAGTGCTTCCATGTTTTAGTAGAGGTGAATCCTGATCGCAATACTGAAATACCATCCAGGATTTTTCTTTTTTGTCTACACTTTGGTTGTGAGATTTTCAGATCCGGGAAAAGAAAAATGAAGAATTTCCGCTGTAAAGCAGATGAAGGCATGCTTCTTGGAGAATTAAAAGCATAACTGTATTGAAGGAGACAATTTTTCCATGGCCTGTATGTTAAAAAATTGGAAGCAATTTTTGAATTAAGGACTCCCTTCGCTTTAACATGGAGGTACCTGCTGCCTAAAAAGTAAGTGCTTCCATGTTTCAGTGGCGGTGGATCCTGATGTTGAACACCAGTAATATATGCATGTTTCTTCTCCTGTTGCATTATTAGAACTCCATATATATAATGCTTTTTTTTTTTCCCCCCTCGCTTGATTGTTTGTTCCATTTATGATTTAGTTTCTCCAGTTAAGGACCCCCACAACTTAAATGTGGATGTACTTGCTTCACTCCTGAATAGTAAGTGCTTCCATGTTTTAGTGATGGTGAATCCTTTTTTTTATCAACTGAAAACGCTCAAAATCTGTATTTGAAGGGCACATGTGCCCTCCCTGTGAAAAAACATAAAGCACAATTTTGCATCACGGTATAGCCCAAGATGGCAAGGATCCCCTCTACTTTAACATGGAGGTACTTGCTGGATGCCTCAAAAGTAAGTGCTTCCATGTTTTAGTTGTGGTGACTCCTAAGAACCCCAAAGTTGGGAGTCAAGAATATCCATTTATTAACTACTGAGGAACCACGTGTTAAAAAAAAAAAATGGTGATTAGCAAGCAGTTACTGTTGCAGACAGAACTAGACAGTAATTGTCAGACTTGAAAACTTCAGTATTTGAACCTCTTCAGCTACAGGCTAATACCGTTGCTAATCTGCAACTCTGTTGTATAAAAATTGGAATTGCACTTTAGCAATGGTGATGGACTGTCAGACATACAATACAAAGATTAAATACTCTGTATTAAAACCATTTCAAAGGCTGGAAGCATTGTGAAATCACTGTATATAAGCCTGTTGAACAATAAAAATTAAAGTATGTAAAACATGGTTTTTATGATTTCCTGTAACTTGGCAAAAATCCATACATTTACATGTTCTAGGAAAACACTTGTAAATATTTTAAAACGAGGTACCAGGTAACAACAAAAACAAATGTTTCAAGTGCCCGAGGTTTGGCGAAAAGCAAAAAATTGAGCTGAAAAAAAAATAAAAGGCCAAAAGGCCACCTCTACTGCCTTTTGCAGTTAATTAAATACCAAATTGCACTGCCAAGTGACCCAGTGGAGACTGAGAATTTACTGAATTTATTACATGGATTTCTCAATCAGCTTGTGCCTAATTTGGGACCAGAGGTGGTGAGTAAAATCAAATGGAACAAGCTGTGATTTAGGATTCTTGGTCTTGGTCTCACACTCATGAGCAGCAGTAGACCATTTTCTGGTGTTCCATTATTGAAATTAATTAGGCACCCCTTTAAGAAGGCAGTTTTTCTTGTGCCAGCCCACTCCTGCACAAGCAAAGGAATTACTCATCAGTTCCCAGTACTGCTGAGAAAAAATTCAATTACGGAATGCTCATGGTATTAAAAGGTTATGAAGCAACTAAACAATAAATATCGCCCCATCCACCAGGTACCGCAAGCTAGTCACACAGATCACTTTCATAACCTACTTGGAGAGTACTCTGAGTGGAATGACTTCTTCACCCATTTTGTGTCTTTCTTTGTGTTTTTTCTTATGTTTCCTTTTAGATTTTGAAAGGGATGTGTCTTTTTTATCTTTGTCATCTTCTGCAGAAATGTCTATTAAAAAGTCCAAAATAAATTATTAGTTCTAACATTGACAGATACTTGCAAGATACATATATTGTATAATACAGCCTGAATTAATATTTGCATAAAATGGCAGAGTATCAGTTCGTTTATTATAAATAGTTTAATGAACGCTGGTTCTCTGATTTAAATCTGAATGAGAACAGTTTTGCAAAAATCACATATTACTACCTATTTCTATTCCACTTTCTCAACTACCTGAGTTCAGCCCCTTATCATGGATTGTTGTTAACCCAAACATGGTTTCAATGCACATTTTAATCCCATCTATTGCTTTTTTTTATATTTTTCCTTATCTCATTTAAGAAGTCAGGATCTTCAGCTTTTTCTTTTGTACTTTAATCTTATTTATCTAGATTCTTATGCTGTCGCCATTTGCCTAGGCTGTTTAATCCACACTTTACCTCAGTGAAGTTCTATTAACTTCTTTGTGAACTATTTTTACTTCTGACAAGATTTACCTGCTTTAGTGTTGAAAGTTCTTTCTTATTCTCCATGCATCTTATCTCATTGGAATGACTCATTACCAGGCTTAAATTTAACTGCAGGGAACACCACATATTCCTAAATTGACCATGTTATGCCTTCACCATATAAGCATTTTTCACCTACTGACCCAAGCAGAACAACCTTTCACCAGTTAGGTTTTCAGTCTTCCAAAGACAGAAATTCATCTTCTGAATCTTTCACCAGCACTTGAAAGGCTTACTCAGTAATCTGTAATCCAAGTAATAAACCTACTATCCTCCAAAAGTCAGTACACTAATGCGTTTGTATTACACAGATTACACTTGTTACATTTCTTGTTGCTTTCCAGCTATGTTCTTTACAATCCCCCTTTCCTCACTTGCTTGTTACCCTCTAGCATATTAAGATTCCTATTTACTTAACTTAGGCCACTACAAACACAATTTCAACTGCAAAGAAAGCAGTTTCTTTAACTCAAGATTTTCTCCTTATCTAGACTTTTCCCCCATCACTAAACCTGCCATTTGTAACCTGCAAGAGGTAAAACTGCCGTTTGATTTCATTCCTGCATATAAATAATGAAAATATTGAAAAGACATGCAACAAACTTTACCATTGGAATCCTTCGGAGCTTCTGTTGTTTCCTCTTTTACAGGACTAACTTCATCCTTTTGAACAGTTTTCTTGACTTTTGGAGTTGATGTCTCACCATCTCCAGAGCTGGTTCTTTTTCTCTTCCCCGGCCTGCTTTCCCAAGGTACCTCTGAGCTTTCTGTTCTGTCCCATTTCCTTTTCTCTCTCTTTGAGGGCTGCCTATGAGTCTCAGTTCCCTCCATTTCTGAACACTCCGATGAAGTCCTATGCCTTTTTGACTTGGGTATTTGCTCTGTTGTAGTGTTCATGTTTGATTCCTTTGTCTCTACAGCTGCCTGCACATTGCTCTCTTTCTTGATTTTGGATTTCTTTTTTTTCTTCTTTTTCTTCTCTTCTGTATTAAAAACACAGTATTTAAAACTGCCAATGATTAAAAACTACATGAGATGAACTGACCTAAGTAAATAATCTTGATACAATGCGTCATGATAATCTGGGATGTTAAGTGAAACGCCTGTCTCTGCCATCTCTAAATACAAGAGATGCAATACATTGTTCCAGAGTTCTTCCTAGGCATTTTAAGCAGAAGAGAAAAAAACACAGATAAGACTCTCAGTCTCACAAAGTGAGAAAGACCTCTGGGCAGCTTGATGACAGGATTCCTGAAGTACTTACTCTCAAATTAAAAAGAAAGGAGCTAGACTTCTTTGCTTCTCCTTAACAAATGCACATTTTGTTATGTCATCCCTTACCTGCCTTTGAGAAGCGATACCTTCCTTCTTCCAGGCCAAACAACAAAGACAAGAAAATAAATATAGACTGTCGATTTGTGTTATAAGAATAAAAGGAGATACTCCGCCCAATTTATCTATTGCACTGTTTATTAATAAACAAGTATTTGCCTACTAAATTAAAGAATGTTGACTTAACCAATCTGAAAAAAAAATTATTTTTAATATCGTCTACTTGCTTCAAAGTTGTCATAGGCAGGATGCAGTATGAAGGAGTAGAGAGTACCTTAAGTGGGTTTAAAGCATGGTTTAAAAAGCATGTTTTTAATTTGATTTTTTTTTTTGTCCCAGTAGTTACTGGTGTAGCAAAGAATTAGTAATAATGAGGAATATAATGTGACTCATTATGATATGACAAAGATGGGAATATGATTTAAGTCTGGGAAATAGTATAGTATCAGAAACGAGGAAAGATGTTGCAGTGATCAAAGCTTCAACAATACTGTGACACTGCTTTATAAGTTGTAATAGACTGTATTTATTGGAAACATGCTCAACATTCAGGGTTCTTTTCTCAGCAACACAATCCAGATTTTTACAAGTAATTATGAATCATGTAAAGTAGAATTGTCAGTACGCTGTAAAAAGTTAATTCCACTATAGACTGCTCTGCAGAAACAGCAAGAGTTCCAAACGGGAAGAATGGCAGAAACCCACTGTTTTCATAGCTCTCTCAGAAAGTTTCAGCAGAGAGAATACCACAAGGTTTGCTCTGAAATATGTCAGATGATCACAAACTCACCTGAACACTATTAACATTTAAGTATGATTTTGCTCTTATGTCTGTATCTTTCCCTTCAATACTAAGTATTTTTAAAACAATCCGTGTTAAATTTGTCTTTTGCTAATGCTAAATGCTTAGATAATAATTTATCGTACAGTCTGAAAGCTGCTCTGCCAGCCTAACAATGACTAATGGAGATAGCTGGCAACAGAGGAAAAAATTGAGTTCATCAAGTAGGAAAACAGAAAGGCAGAAATTTACTGTATTTCAGTTTTACATTTTCATTCTTAAGCCCACATTGGCCACAAACAGCAACATGCAATTATGTATTTATAAAGCTTTTAAGAAACGTGAGATTAGACTGCAGTAACACAGCAGTTCAAAGCTCTCTCTTCAGAAGCTGAGGCACTAAACAGTTTTTCTTTGTATCAGTAACTTAATAACACTTACCTACTGCACTGCTGTTACTTGTATTTAGTGCAGGAACAGGCTTATTCTTTACTGTTTTGGGGAAAATCCCAGGTTTCCGTGGTGCTTCTTCTGGTGGATTATTCAAAAACTGTTAAAAAAAAAATTAAAATCCACAAACCATTACTAAAACCCATATTTTATTTTTTAAGAAATCTCCATCCAAGTTAAAACCAGCAGTTCTACATTTATTCAAGAAAGACATAGTCCCTTGTGACTCCAGAGGTATAGTGGTGTTTTTTGTGGCTTTTATTTTTGTTGTTTGCTTTTTAAGTGCAGAGCTTGCTTGATTTCACATTATTAGTGCGATATATCTTTATGCACCTGTTATCACTACGATATTGAAACATAAATGTTCTCAAACTTTCAAATCACATTTAAATACAGAGAATTAGGTATGACCACGCTTGTCTGATGAAATTTAATAGCCGTTGTACTGTTACACAGATTTCTATTTCCATAAAAGATTCCAAGAGCAGTCAACCAAAATTATTCAAAAAAATACCCATTATGCTTCTACTAGATCTCCAGTTTAACAGAATTACACTTTTAAAGAATTAGGGAATTAACCAGAGGTCTGAGGGTAGGAGACAGGAACATAACACATGTTAAGTCAAGTTTTTAAATTCTGATATTTTAGGAATTCCTCTAAGATCCAGTAGGTGAACTAGTAAACCATCCATATCACAATCAGGAAGAATGTTAACAGACCAGAGGCACCATTACTCACCTCAATAGCTTTCTCTGCTTGCTCTTTAGTTTCAAATTCAACAAAAGCAAATCCCTTTGGATCGCCAGTAGTTTTATACCGGGGTATACTGATATAAACTACATTACCACACTTCCCAAACACACGCTCAATCCAACTGTGATTAACATTTTTGGGAAGCAGCTCCTAAAAATAAAAAAGAAATGTCATTTTCTCCCTACTGTACCACCATTGTATCATATGGTTTATGACATCTTCTCATTAAAAATATTTAAGTTTGATGTGACAATGTTGAGCGACTTTTTTTATTTCAGTGAGTATTCTTGTTGAGAGGTCACAGTATTCAGGCAGTAAAACCAGTGATCTGAAAATGGATCTCTAGTCATTCACATACCTATAAAAAACATATTATCTATTTAATTTATAGGTTTATCTTCTTCCCATGACAGATACTAAGACCTCACCTGCATCTGTATCTTTGCAACATGACATATCTTCATAAATTTAAGACCTCTGAGCAAACATAATTCTGCATTGTCTCAAACTACCCAGTGCAAAGCACAAGGATTTTTTTTTTCTTTATGTATTGTTGGTAATCCAGGTATCACAGAAAGAATTCTTGCAGGTCAGTGAAGAGTCACTACTCAAACTGATAAATTCCTGCTAGTAGCTGACATTTCAAAGCCTAGCAGTTAGCTCTTATGGCCTACTTAATCAGATGCAGCAGAAACTTTTAGCCAGCTTCTTGGATGATAAAACAGTCAGATTTTTATTTCTATAAACTCCTTAATATAGCAACACATTTTAGCAGCTTGCAGACACCATGTCTCAGTTCCTAAACATTTCCCTTCACCAATCAAAGAATCCTGCCATCACAATTTCTAAACAGACCCAAGTGAACACTTTAAAAACCTACTCTCAAATTCTTGCCCAAACAACAGTGGAGAGTAAGCAATATTTCATTTTTTTCATGGCAAGTTACTGCATTAAAAAGTTTTCCTTGTAGGAAAACATTATTTATCACATTCAGGTAGAAAACTTTTTGCATGAACTTAGTCTGCATGAGAAAAAACATTTCATTATGGTTTGATATAAAGTTGAAAAGCCAGTTACAAGAAGATTCAAAAATATTAAGGGATAAGTACAAAATAGTGTATGTCAAAGTGTAGTTTATGTTAAAGTGTATTAAAAAAAAGTCAATAACCATAAGACTATTTCAGAGAAATTTAACTAAAACTTCCCCAAAATTAAATGAGCTTGTAAAAAATATAAAGCATATATACAATATATATAGTGTGTAGTTACTATTCCTTAAAGAAACAAATCTTTAAGTCTCAACTGTTTGTTCAGAAATGAAGCTTTGATTTCCTGCGTAAATTCAGAAAGCATACTGTTGGAGACAATCTTTCACAGAAGAGGACTGAACTGTAACATTTGTATTAATCCAACATAAAAATCTTTATTTCACCTACTCCAGAATGAAACAAAATTTACCAACACTTTGACTACTTCTACTCCCCCCACTGCTATATACCAGTCATTTAACATGGCTTAACATTTCTGTAATTGCAGTATAAAGAGCAGATACCTCATACACTAGTATTTAAAAAGGAAAAAAATGCACCCTTTTTGAGAGCAGTAAGAGAAAATAATGGGTAGCTAAATATTCTCTAAGATCTCTATGAATTCAATAACTCACAAAACACACCAGTTATCTATTTTGGTCTTACAGTAAAGCTTAAAAGTAAAAAACATTTATCTATGTATAGGCTATGTAGCTCACTAAATTTAGAGTATCTTTTCCAAAAATGATACAGAGCATTTGAGAAGTTCTAAGCAGTCCCTGTAATCATGTTAGAGAAATGCTATGATTGGCACATTGTACTTAAAAAACCTATTCCCCTTTTCTGGGCTTTTGTTAAAGAGCAGGATAATCAGAGTAATCCAGCTTCTCTTCACCTGGATGGGCTGGCATTTTGCGCATTATCATTATACATTATCACAACAGAAACCTTGGTGCCTACTTGAAATTACTAATTTAGCTGCTAACAGCTACAGCTATAACCTAAATTGACATTAGTCATGAAAAGCTTTCTGTAGAGACAAAGGAAATTCCACACTGGCTTCAAATCTATTAAAAAGTTGCACAGGATTTTAAGTGACAGTTCAACCATTAGCTCTCTTTCCATGCTATCACTTAAGTGGTTCAACAACATAGTAACTGTTTGACACACCTGAAATATGTTGAAATGTGGCATTTTTTCCAGCAGCACAAGCTATTTTCATTTAAATTAATGAATCATTTCAGTATCAAGGTAGCCACAGGATAGTGCCCTATTAGGAGAATTTTTTTTTTTTTTTAAAGCCCTCTAAAAATAAGACTAGCTCATTTATGTATGTTCTGCCTTTAAAATAGTATTTTTGTGTTACAAAACCAAAGGCATTTGCAGTAGCAGATTTTGTAAACAGACTGTACTTTGGAAAGTAACCCTGATATCTTGCAAACTCAGCAAGATCCTGCTTGATAAAACTAATAACGTTATGATACTAAAGCTCTGACTCCATTAATGTAATCTCTAAGTATTTCATGATACCAGTGTTGCTCCTCTAATGCCATTAACTAGAAAAAGCCCAGTGAAAAAGCAGTAATGGCTAAATGAAAGTGCAGCTTTTCTTACTAGCAAGTGAAGCAGCTCTTTGCTCAGCATTTAAAATGATTTAAGCTGGTACAAGAAACTGATGTACCAGGCCAATGCCTTTCTTGCCACAGTCACTGCTAGTGGTCACCTGCCTTGGCTTAATTTATTTCCCTTATGTACACTGCACAAGCACCCGTAGCCAGCCAGCTGCACAGTCCCTCCCTGTGTTAACAAGAATATTGATGCACAGATACATTTCTGATACAAAAAGATATTTACTGCATTAAACATCTACATTGACCCCACTCTATGGGTCTTCACATTACAAGCTCAGTACACCTATAATGCATTTCCTTCCCTCAAACCGTTCTTTTCTTTTGGAGGGGAAAAAAAAAAAAAGACAATCAAATTCTATTCGCTTTTATACTTTATGTAAACATTTATTATACTAAATCCATGATGTTCTCTAAAAAAAAAAATCTGCCTTCTGGTAAAACTTTGTGGCTGCTTTATGTTGGTTTTCTTCTTATGTTCTTAATACAGTAAATAATGCTATGCAATTAGATTGTCATAGACAATACACAGTAGGTTTTGCACTCACAGAAAGAGCGCTTTTTTAAAAGAGTTTCCTCAGTTAGAAATAAAGCACTGCGAGACACGAGGCATATACAAGTACAACCTTACCACATAGACCGTACGACTATCCACATCCTTTGGTTGCTCACCCAGGGGTTGGCGTCTTCTGATTCTAGTTCCTTCTAAATCCAACTAAAAGCAACAAGAAATGAACAAGCATTTTCCATAAGATGATTGCCCACTTCAATACTACTATCATTATTGCTGCAGCAGCAGCAAATACAAGAGAGTGAGATATTAAATACCTCTACAACAGATGAACTTTTAACTGCTCGAGCTATCAATTTTCCATCAGTAGTCAATTTTTTCATTTTGTTGAAAGAAACAAGAAGCGATATGTCAACATCTAGGGATAAAAAAAGATGCAAATGATGAAATCAGAGTAATCGAGAAAGCATTAGTTATGTGTTCTAAACTGACATTAAGACCCTGCTAGTATTTTTGTAAAACAATCTCCAAGTCATAAGTGCAGTATGTAACCATGCTGCCAAGGATTTACAGACAATTTTTACCATCAAAATTAAAGTTTCAAGTAAACCTAGATTTAATTTTCTTCTCTGCTAACCTTTATCAAAGGAATTTTGTTCTTTTACCTCCCCACTGATAACTATTGTCTTTGAAAAGAAAGGATGAAAACCCCCTTTCTGATGTAGTTTTACAATACAAAAACAATTAGCATTGAAAACCTGCCTCTCCAAGTACTCAAGTATTTAACCCAGCCTTTCCAACACAAAAGAGCCCCTGCTTGCACTTCAGTTGCAATGAGTCATGCTGCTAAAACCCTGACAGAAAATTAATAAAAAAAGTTAAAGACACCCAAGCTCTAATACCCCTACAAAATGTGGGGTAAATTTTATTACTATGAAGGCCCTTTTTTTAAAACTGGCTTGAAGTTCAATATAATTGAGGACTACACCAAACAGTTAGGTGGTTAGACGTTTCACACAATGCAACTGGACTAATGACTGATTTCAAATAAGTATGGACTCCTTAAGAAAAGAAAAATAAGTAAACACTTGTGGAAACTTCTTTTTTTTTGTGATGATGGATAAGGATGACCTCTTTTTACATACCACAGTCCTGGCCCATCTGGCATAACACAGTTAATTGAATAATTATACTGACAGACTGTATTTACCACACATGTACTGTTTTCTAAAGCAAAAGCATACTAGTCATTGCAGTTAATGTGTAAGTGTATTTGACCTTTTCTGAAGAAGAAATTGTTTCAGAACCAAGCTCAATTTCCTATTCTGAATTCAAATAAACCATCTCAAAACTTGTCTAAAGGAAAGAGACCCACAGTAGCCCTATATGCAAATACAGAATTTCTCACATATCAAACTTGTGCTGAAAACACAAAAAAAAAAGGATCTGCAGTTAGATATAGATACAAGTGACATTTTAATTATTGCATGTATCTATACTACAAGTCAAGTACTATACCTCTGAGGGCAGAATGACCCTTGTTTGTTTGCTTACTCTTAAAATTATACAAAGTTAAACAAGGAAAATCAGGTCTCCCAAACAGTCATTTGTACCCTGGCAAATGCCTGTGACAAGGCTGGTAGTAAAGGAAAGGAAAAGAGAAACACTAAATACAATTTCTAAAAACTAGTACCAAGCTCTGCCTCCTGATCTGCTAATCCTAATGTTCGTTTCCAACATGACATTAATGTCTTCCCCCAGGAGAAGACATGCACCTCAAAATAACTTGTAACTGTCACCAGCAATACAGTGAGGAAGAAAGTTAAACGTATCTGCTTACTGAAATATAGTGAATATAAACTTACACCCATCTCTGGACTTTTCTATTTGTTCTCGGAGAAATCTATCTTTGTGGAGATTAACATCGCCAAACCAGAAATCCACTTGTTTCGCTATATCTGCCAGCACCTGTTTAACCCTTGACCTCTTCTTTTTCTCTCTCTCCTTTTTCTGTTCAGTGCTTTCTTCTTCCATGGCTTTGTCTCTTGCCGTTTCAGTCTCCATTCCTGTCATTCTGTCAACTGAAAGTAAAATATAACCTTTGAGACAAATAAAAATATTCTTATTTCAAGGAGTAAACCTTCTTGGTTTATCTTACATTAAAAAACTTCCCACATCCCCCGTGAGACTATGTGACATTATTTGTACTGTAAAAAAAAAAAAAGAAAGCATATAGCAGATGAGGAAAATTAGGTTACACAGTAACTGTGTGGTGAAGACTAAGCTGGAACTCCTGTCTCATGGCACCTACTGCTGCCCTTTAGACACAGAGATTCACTGGAGGCATGCTGATACTGAACCGCAGCCTTTTAATTTAAAATTTGTACTATTGTGTTAATTCAGGACACCTTGTGAACAGTCTGCCCTCCCTGTTAGATTTCTAACAGCAGCTTTTGAATTTCAGCAGCAGCCATGGGATTCACAGTTCCAATTGCTTTTGCAAGTTATCAGATAGGTAGCACTATAAAAAATATACATATTTTAAAGTACTTGTGCACATGACAGTGTGTTTTAATAATACGTCACATCCCTGCTACCAGAAAAGCAAGCTACTTGCTAAAGAGAGCCTACAAAAACTAAACCTAAAAATCAAATTCCCTCCCAATAAATACATATTCCTAGACTTGAAAAAAAAGACAGAAATAATTTGTTCTCCACTCCACATATCCCCCCGTACAAAACACCAGAACAAACACACAAAAACCCCAGAGCACTATACACTTCAGAAATTACCCTTCTATAGAGAAGGGAAAGCAGGAAAAACACCCAGCTGGATTATATAGAAGACTTCTGAAAAGGCTGGCGAAAGGACCATTCTCAGCAGGCATATATTGTAAATCCAGTGATTTCAAACAGGTTACACATTGACACACATGGAGCAGCTGAAGAGCTCGCTGAAAAAATTTATGGTATGACCTCCAAATGAGAATCATCTATTAATCCATAAAAATAAATACAATGTAAAGATATACTTGGACACCTAATTAGTATTCATGGCAGGTCTGGTAATAATAAGGTTTGGTTTTAAAATTGTCTTTGTGATGTCAAAAACGCAAACCACTCTGTCAATTGCCAAGGCCCTATCAAAGAGCAGTAATTAAAAAAATCTTCCAATCCTGCTTTGGAATATGTTCTAACACATTCTTACTCACAAGTCTCTGTGGCAATTAGTATGCGCTACGCTTAAAGAGACATTTTTCCTTTATTTGCTTAGGGCTCTTTCACCAACTGTCACTGGTTTTAATGGCAAAGCAAGTTCTGTCAGAAACTTCAGTATTGGGCCCACAGAAATTGGGGACTAACTAGAGGGAAGTGCCTTAAATGTACAAATTTACCTTGAAAAATGTAAAAGCTTTTTAATGCATCAATTAATCTTTTTTATTCACAGTTCAAGTCAGTGTAGCTACTCAGTCCTCCTTGAAAACTGCCAGTCACCACAGTACTTCATTTTACATGAGCAAAACAAAGCGATACTGCCAAAAGCAGACAGCTTTTTGAAAATTAAATTAACACCAAAATTAAAGTAATTAATGTAGCAATCACCATATGAAAGACTTCTCAGCTCTCTGCCAAGGCAACATAGGAGGAAGCGTGAGTACAGCCATCAGAGAGCAAGCCCACCTCTACAACAGGATGACAAAAATGGAAATGGTCTTCAAATTATTGTGCAAATCAGGCTTCCTTAGCCGGATATCAGTTTCTCTCCCTGCTGTGAGCTGACCACTCAGTATAGTGAAAGGTCAACAATTACCTTGAAAAGATAAGCCAGGTAAAACTCCCAACGTAGCAGAAGTTCAAGTTTCATTCGAGTCTTTGAGCAAGATATTTATATTAACAATCAGCAGAACAATATACTATTTAGCTGAGGGCTATAGTGAGTTGCACCATTAAAGGTAAAGCATCATTATGGGATTCTTATAGTGGTTGAGCAGTTTTAAGTGACCACACTGACATATAATGAATGTGGCTTATATACAGCAAAGCTTTATTTTAAGAAGCCATCTAACAGTTTCATGCATTTTGAGTCATTCAGCCTTGGGACTTCGTTCCCAGGAGAGACATTCTCATTCAAGCTCAAAGAAAAACAGCTGTAAACTGTAATCTGGGCTTCTCCCTCCACCCCTCATTTTGTGCCATGTGCTTTAGAAATGAAGCTTGGAGAAAATTACTTTGAAAATTACTTTGAAGGACCTTGGAAATACAAAGTCAGAATAAATGTCAGCTATGAATCTATAATTGGGATCTGAATTTAGTAGTGAAATACACATACCTAAGATGATACTAAAATACCTGAGATAATACTAAAATAAAACTCGGGATTTAAGAAAATACTGTTTATAAGTAAGCACCCACTTTTCTTTGTTGGTGTTCTCTTAATATGCAATTACTCCCACAAACCTCAATGCAATGAAAGCTGCAATACCAAGGTATAAGTGCATTTTTGTTGACTTGCTACCTCTTACACTGCCAGCCCCATACCTGCAAGCAATATTCTGATTAAGAATTAACATCAGAAGAAGGCAAAAGTAGGGTGAAAACTTCACTCTGTTTAACCAGAACAGCCGCAATCCCTTAGGTTTCCTCAAAGGAAATAAAATCACAGTTTCTATGTGCAAGAGTGAAACCAGGGAAAGGAGGGACAGTTAAGCAGGGGAGGGAACTCTAAAAGAGCAAAGATAATGTAAACGAAAATAATAGAGGTCCACACAAATCTGTGGAAACTATACTCTTTATAAGGCAAACATAAACTTGTTGGTGCTAGCCTGTACACAGCCAAGTTCCAAACCCATACATCTCTTGTTACAAAGATCTATAAAAACATGATCAAATTTAACTGTAATCCAGAGTCTGGAAGAAACAGGGGTCCTGTTATAAAATATCCTTTACTCTTTTATATTAAGCATTGATGCAAATGCTTGCTCTCTTTGGGCATTTTAAATGGCAAAATGGGGCAAGAGGGTGCAGGGGAAGGAGAAAGAATCATTCAAAATACTTCTTATAGAATGAAAATGTTTCCATAGGCAGTGCCAACACTTCCCTTTCTGGGCATTTACTCCAAAATAAATGCAAGTATTCAGCAAACTTGAAACTACTTTCAAAGACACATTCTGTAATCCCCCCTCAGGTATTCTTACGCTAACATACACACAGGCAGAGCTACAGCAGTTTAAATTCTTATCCTGACTTGTAACTTCCCTCTACAGAAAGCAAGCTAAGGAAGGAAAAAAATTAACACATGAGAGCTAGCACAATTCTCTTAACCTAAACACAGAAAATGTCCTGGGTTTTCCCCATCTTAAGCAATGAAACCAATACATTACATAAACCTACATTTAAGGCATTCAAGAGATGTCACAAAACCAGTGTGCTCACGAACAGAAAAGGCTTTGCTTTCACACGACAGTGACGGGTGTTTCCAGACACAGGCAGACCTCACAGTGTTAGTCCTGTGGTGGTTACCCTTTTCTCCATCATCACGAGAGGCAGAAAGTGGGTTTTTAATAAAATGCAGACCCACAACACCAGACTATGATTAAATGGATTCAGGTATATGAACCAACAGTCCACTGACACAAAAAGGGCAGCCCAACTCTCTCATCTTCCTTGCTTCACAGTCCTTCCTCAGACTATCTCACCCTCTGGTAAGACAGTTCAACTCTGTGACCTGAACATGAGCTGTTATTTTCTGGTCCTTCCCTGCTGGATAAGTGGGTTAAACCAACGCATTAACGAGCTGAACAAGCAGCAGAGCTGAAGGGAAGCAACAGCAACACACACTTGGGAGCAAGATGGAAGGTGGGTACAAAAGCAAGACATTCTGCTGCTATATTAGCAGCTACACGCAGACTGGCCCAGAAACACTGCACAACAGGAGAACCTCATCTTCTTCACCCTTCAGACAAAGGGGAGAGACACACCATGAAATAGATTTTTCTAACCCCAACTCAACCTTTGACAGTGCAGCAAGTAGCTAAACCCCCGTTACCAAGAAGGCCCACTGCCATGCATTTGCCAGTTGCACAGGTACTAACCACTGCAGGTTTCAGCATTGCTGCTACTGCAAACAGACCTTGTATGCATAAAATAGTAAAGAAAGTGTGCACACGCTAGCCTGAAGTCAGCCGTTCCCCGTGTCCCCCCCTCAACAGGGGACCCATTCCTCGGATACGAGGTATCAAGTCTTGACCCCCTGCGAAGGCACCACAGCCAGCAGCACAATCTGGGCTTCACCTGAAGGCAAAGTCACTACAGAGCCTCAAGGAGACGCTGAGGGGCAGGGGCGGTTAGAAAGCCTCAGGAAGGCGCCACCCGCGTCGGGAGAAGGCGGACACCGGGAGGGAAACACGCCCAGGAGCTGGGTACGGGGAGGGGGACTGAGGGCCACCGCAGGCAAGGCCAGGTCACGGGTTAAGGGGGACGAGCGGGGCCGTTCACGCCGGGAGCGACGCTGCCGTGACCAGACGGCTGCCGCCTTCCGCCTGAGGCGACCGACCAACCGCCCCCCGCCTCAGCCCAACGACCGCCGCCTCGCTTGGCGGCACGAGGAGCGCATAGCGCATGCGCACCGGGCCGGCAAGGGAGGTGGGGGGGGGGAGGCCGGCAGCGCCCCCTGTCTGCGCCGCCGCCGCGCCCGGCCGCCCCCCGCCGCGCCCCGCTGACCTGCCGCCGCGCCCCGCCGCGGCTACGCCAGGCGACGTCACCGCGGGGGGGGGGTGGGGGGTGGAGAAGGGGGACGACGACACACCGGGCCGCGCCGTCCCGCCGACCCGTCGCCGCGACCGTCGTCAGTCCCGACGCGACGCGCGACCCCCGCAGGGAGAAAAGCCCCGCGGCGCCGCCTGCGCATGCGCGGCGCCCGCCCGCCCGCTCCGCGTCGGGGCGCTGTGACGTCAAGCGGCGCAAGGGGCGGGAAAGTTCAAACGTCAGGAGGGAGCGCGGCGGGTGTCGGGGGGTTGCGCGTCCGCCCGTACGCGGTGGGTATTGCCGGGGCGTTCGTTGGGCCCCTCAGCGGGAGCCAGTCGTCCCGCCGGGGAAGGGGCTAAGGCCGGCGGGCTCCCCTGAGGGGTGAGCTTCCGCGGGAACCGGGCGAAATTCCCCGGTGCGGCGGCCTTGGGTGAGCGCCGCTGTGGTGAAGGGAATGTCTGTGGCGGAGGGGGTTAAATAGGGGCTTCACCGGGCCCGTCTCGGCTGCGTGGGGAAATGCGGGTTTAGCAGGTCTGTATGAACGCGCGCTGGCGCCGCTGCCCTCCGTCCCTGCTCCCCGCGGCGCTCCGGGGTGATTTAGAGTAAGCGTTCGCATTCATCTAGCTGCTTTAAAAGCTGCAGAAGTCGTTCTGTGTCCTTTAAGGGTGGCCCCTTCCAAGGTTTCGCGCCTTACTACACAGCCAGGGGCTGCCAAGAAGGGGCAGCCGTAAGGAACAGGATGGAGCTCTTTCCCTCCTCGGTTTAAACTGTTTCACAGCACATGAGGAGCTGACAATCTCAGCTTGTCTCTTGTGATCGTATTAATTGGGGTGCTGTTAATAGACTGGCCTAAAGTTGCAAGTGCAGCTTTCCAAACAGGGATGGAAATTGCAGCACTGATCCAATGTTATAAGCTAGCATGTACAGCAGTAAGTCCCTGCTTCCGGAGACGGCTTGTTGCTTTTATCATGATTTGTTCCTGGTTTCAGCATCAACGGTTATTTTTAAAGTTATTGTTATCTAACTTGAAATATGTAAAGTGCCTTGACTTCATGGGTGGCTGGTTTTGAGAGTCAGTTATCTTTAACATGAATTAAGCATGCATGACCAACTCTAGAGTCAATAAACTTGTAAAAAAATTATTCAGTTAATAGTTTCTATGGGGTTTTTTTTAGGTGCAAATAAGCATGTTTAGGATAATGTGATAATTCTTAATAGCAGTATGATCGCTGCAGTTTTCAGTGTTGCCAGCTATTCATTTAAGTGAATTAATTCCCCTGAAAGTTAGAAAATATGTTGGCATCTATAAAAAAGCCATTTTTTACTAGTAGTCTTTCTGTTAGTTTATTTTCAATATATATAATAGAGCACATCTGCTATATCCTGCTGTTTTGACGTTGTCTTGCATCTAGCTCTCTTCTGAGGGGGGGAAAAAAAGAAAGTGAACTGACATCTATTTTTTTCTCCCAATACATTGCCTTCACAGCTCTGGTGGATTCTGAACATTTCCCTGTCTCTCAGTTTGTATGAAGATGTGAATATTTGTCATATATGCTGTTGGATGACTGTTTTGCTAAAGCAATGGCTTCTCAAGAATTTACTGTAAGTGAATTTTAACACTGTGTACAATTAAGTAGAAATAAAAGACACTGTAGGTACTGTATTATTTAAACACTTAATTTCTTCAACATTTTACATGTTTAAAACAGGTATTATACACTCACCAAAAAGTGAAAAAATCAAAAACGTGGCAAGATGGAATTCTGAGGATTAGAACTGGTGGAAATAAGGTGAACGACTCAGATTTAATAGTACTGGTTTTAATATCATCTGCTACTGATGGAGTGTCAGTGGCAATCTGTTGATCTGTGAAATAAAATTCATTATTTAAAATTCTCTTTTTTTTATTGCAGGCTATCTTGTTTGATGATAAAGGACAATGTTTGGAGAGTATTTTTATAAAATCTCAGGTATATTTTGTTTGGAGTTTTAAAATTTTTTGCTTGATTGTAGTTTGTGTTTTTGGGAAGTATTTCAAACTCTTGTTTGGTAACTAAGGCAGTATTTATTGTGGATATGAAAGTCTGCTGCGGTGCAAATAATGGAAAGCAAAACCAGTTTGTTTTTACTGATAAGTCTTACAGTTTTTCCAGAACCAATGTTTTATAGAATGTTATTCCATTTTGGGCAAAAGAAGTGTACTACAGTGATACATTACCTTGAAGCTAAGTACTAATGCTTTCAAGTATATGTATATTTTAATCTAGAGTAGTGAGAAGGCAACTGTGATATACGGGGTGTAAGGTTCTGAAATTTTTACATATAAGTATTTAGAAGACTCGTATTGTTTCTTGTATAGCACTGTTTTATGTACGCAGTGCTGCTCTCTCTTTTCTAGGTGAATGCTGGAGATAATTTAGAAAGTGAACGATATTTGATCACAGTTGAATCATTAAAAGGGAATGAAAAATCTTTTGAAGATCAGCCGAGGAAAGCAGAAACTCCAGCAGTGGATAGAAATGGTGAAGAACCTGGTGTTCTGCCTCCAAGACGTCCACCTGTTGGCTTAAAAAGGAAGTTTATAGTATGTCTTTGTTTTGAAAGTTGTGTGTGATGTTATCATGCATTTTAAAACACAAAGGGTGCATCTTTTAATGAATGGTAGATATATAGATCATGTCTTACTGGTTTTTTTGGAACTGTAAGCCAGAACGTGTTACTAGTAGCTGTTTTTTTCCAGAGTTTACAAATCTGTTTGGTTTAGCAGAATTGCTACTGCTAAGGCTGCAGTGAAAATCACAAGGTCTTGAGATTATTTCTAGACACCTGTGGAATTGTCATGTGCTACTTGAGCTATTTTATAGTGTGCCCTATTTTCAACATTTGATTACCAAATGTGAAGTTGATTTATAAGTAAAATTAATTTTAAATTTCTCTCCTAGGGTTTCCAAGGGCCACGCCAAGTTGAAAAGAAAATATCAGCAATGGAAGATGGAGAAAAAACAACTATATTGCCTTTATCTCGGCACCATCAGGGTACTTTTCAATCCAAGTTCTATATTACCTCTCCATTATTTTCTACAATTTGCAAGAAGGAGACAGAAACAAATCTATCTGCAGAGTTTTATAAAGATGTGTGTACAGATGACGAGAGAGAACACATGTCTCTCTCCTCACTGCTTTCAGCTCCTTTTCTTGACAGATGTGAGGAGACAGAGACACGAAACCCTGATCAGTCCCTTGTGAAGCCAGATTCTCCTCTAATTCCTGGGCGTGCCCAATCTAGTAATCAGGCAGCCGGTCACACAGCAGTGTCACACAACATCAGGAGCACAGCACAGATAATAGCTCTTTTGAATTCTAAACGAACACAAGGATGCAGTGAGCAAACAATGTCTGAAGTCACAGAATGTCCTAGGTATCAGGCATCGAGCACAGATAGTTTCGATAACCAAAAAAGCACAACCCTACCTGCTTTATCAGGCAACCCTGCCAAAAGACTCATTCAGCACCTGCCTTTTATGAAGGGAACTGTAAGTGACAGAAAGGACTGGAATGCTGGAATGCTTCTAAATTTAGCTGAACAACCTTGTAATAATGAAGTCACAGGACAGAGGGACGACAAAAAGGCAGATAATTTGAGTCAAGAGTTACATGATCCCTGCAATACAAATAGTTGCTTTCTACCTGAATCCACCATAAGTATAATAAGTGACAGTCAGTTTGTCGCATCCTCAGGTGACATACCACGTTCAGCAAGTCCAGTCACCTTTGAAAGAAATCTCCCCACATACAGGGAGCATTCAGGGACTAATGGTCTTAAGGAGAATTCATCTGTGAAGTTGCAAAGTGACCTTCAGCCAAGACAAAATTCACAAGGAGTGCCTAGTGACCTGGGGCTCTCTCTGGGCATACCATTAACTGAAAGTGGAATTGTAGAGGAGGAATTAAGTATGCATGGTGAAGACTGTGGTCCAGATGAACAGGTGATGGAGGTTAACTTTAATCTAATAGAGTCTTTTGATTTTAACGACACAGACAATGAAGACCTGTGTGAAAGAGAGGTAAATAAGCTTGCTGAAGGAGACATGCTTTCACAAGGTCCAGATTGCTTAAAGGGAGAAGATGTAGTACAAAATGCTGCATTGAGTCTTCATTCTTGCTGTGAATTAGTGACACACAGGAAAACCGAAGTCAAATGTTCAACATTTGATGGAGAGAATGATGGAAATCACTGCACTGGGGGTCTACCATCTCAGCTTTGTGACATCAGTGTCAGAGAGACAGGGAGAATTGCAGAAGACTCTGCAGACCAGACCAGAATTGAAGTGGAACTTTTGGGTGATGGACGCAACATAAAAGAGATTAATGAAAGCCGATTAAGTATTGAAGCCACAAACAATAAGAAGGATCTTAATGGGTGTGCACTGCATACTGTTAATGGTGTATCATGGATAAAAAGCAAGCACTCTGATCTTTTGCCTGGTGACACAGATGTTAATGAATGTGACCCTAAAACCAGTATGTTTGAGAAAACTGAAAGTACTTCATGTATTTCTACCAGTAGAATAATTCCTGCAATGGACAAAAGGACAGAAGATGATGTCATACAGCTTGGATGCAGGAAGGCCCCAGGTGGTGTTTTAGAACACTTCTGGGGTACTAAGAGTGATGACATTAAACCAGAGAGTCCTTTGCTGGCTTTGTCACAGAAATCACATCCTTGCTATGGCTCATTCCAGTATAGTGCAGAAGACCATCAAAAGGTATTTGGCATTTCACGTGAGGAAGATACACTCCTTTCCAGAAGTTCTATATATCCTTTAGGAAAAGACCATTCAACTCCAGAGAAAACAGCAATAGGTGAAACTGCATTTGAAAATAGAGAGAGCATAAATGCCTTTCACGCAGCCTGCAAAGGTGAAAGAATAGGAACAGATTGCCTGAAATGCACAGCAACGGCTAAAAATTCCTCAGATCTTCCCGACTGGGTAAACAATATCACTCTTATAAGAGCTTTGACTCAACATAGCACAGCATTAGAAAGCTTACAAAAGATGGAGGAAAATAATAGCATATTATATGAACCAGAGACTTCTAAAGAGATATTTGAACCCCTTGTGAAAGATGAAGGTTAGGTCAGCTTCTATTTTAAAGTGAATTCTGTCTGACTACCGATTTGACTTCTGTATTCTTGCCTCTCCTGCTGGACAATTCATATTCAGAAATCATACTTTTGGAGTGATGTGTTATAAAGGTTCCCTTACGCAATTTTTAGTGTTTAAAGCAACAATGTGGGCTCCAAGCCTGTGTATTTGTTCCTTTAGTTCAGTTAAATCCTAACTGTGCGATTATTTACATGGGTATGGTTTGTAAGCCCAGTAAATATCCAGATATTTTCATTTAAAGAAAGAGTACTATAACTAACTTACTATGCTTTTCCATCTCTTGTAGCTATAAAACAGTTTACAGAAATGCCTTACTCAGAAAGTATACAGGCATCTTCCTGTTCATACTTTGATTCTTCTGGCCTTATGGTAACCAATTTTTGACTATATATATCTGTACAAAATACATTAATTTTCCACCAGGCTTCTTGAATAAATTTCTCATTTATGAAACTGTAGAGGTTGAGCTAGAAACGGGTTATGGCCATTAACTAAAAAACTGATACTATAAACAGATGGTATCTCCTCTTGCAGACCCCATTGCCAATAAATGTTCAGGAGGCCTAATGTATGACAAGAAACTTAATGGTAATTGTAATAGTTAAGTTTAGTATCATGTTAGTATATCTAGTACTTCTTCCCTACCCCATTATCTTTTACCATCAGTTTTTTTCTGTTTTTTCACTATCTTCTTGAATGCACGTCCCCTAGGAATTTTAGCACTTGGGTTGAAATACACTGGCAAATCTGTTTGTGCTTGATGCTTCACACTGATTTTTGTCCAATGGTATTGGTAGTCTTTTTCTTTCCATCTGTCCAAAGTGAAAGATGTTTGAGATTAAATTCTAATCTTTCTCCTGTGCCCTTTTGAAAAGCTACTCCTATTGTGGATTGTTTTGGCTTCCAATTAAAAAGGCTATAATTTAAAATGCTTTCTCTTGTATAAATATAAGAGATTGCTTAGCTTAACCATTTCAAGTGAAAAGTTATCAAATTGTTAGGCTAATTAACTTTTGATGCTTTCGTATGTAGCCCAACTGTGTGGACAGTTTATTACAAAAAACAGAGGCATGTATTCTACCAATAGCAGTGGCCCAAAGAGACCCCAGGACATCAGACTGCCAACCAAAGGTACAATTTCTGTAGAATTGAAGTATAGTGTATAGTGTTATATTTCAATTTAACGGTTTACTATTTGCAACTTATTACAAGAAGCCCTAATAAATATTTAACCAGCCTCATAATAGACTTTTCATCATTTTTTGGTACACTTCTCTGTGGGAATTTTTCCCATTGAGAGTTTTAAACTCAAATTTTACAATACAAAAAGGAGACTAAACATACTACTTGAGAATATCAATTTTCTGTTGACATAGATTTGTGCAAAATCTTCATTGCTGCTGAGTTGCAGGAGTGCAAGAGAAAGAAAAAGCATAGATTTTTTTTCTTCTCTTCTGCAGTTTCCAGCAGATTATTTTTGTTATATGTATGAAAAGTACCTTTATTGACTGTAGATAGTTCCAGAACAGTACTTATTTTCAGTTAATGATAATTCCAATATATCGCATAGCCTGTTGCATTTCAAGGGCACCAAGTAAAGGGATCAGCAGCTAGTGAGGTCATGTTGAGAGCTCCTTGCTCACAGCTAGGATGGCAGAACTCAGGTAATACGGAGTTTGCAGCAGAGAGATTTCTGTCACCCCTGTTTTTAAGGAATTATGACCCTTCTGACTTCAGACAGGTAAAACATTTTTTTCAAAGTTATTCTTACTAACCTTAGTGCAAGAAAGTATTCTGTAAATGTAGGATAAACGAGTTCATTTTTAGAATACTACAATTATATAAAAATCACCAAGATCTGAACATAGTGTGCTGTGGTTAAAACTTTGCAGTTAGGCAATTATTTTTACTCATGTTTGTCATAGGACTATGTGTTTGCAAGATGTAACTTGTTGTGTCTTTTTTTTTCCTCTTTTTTGAATCTGGATTTGAAATTTGGTATATGATTGTTAGAGAGGTTCAAAGCAAGGGTTAAAACTTTTTTTCTTGGATTATAATTCTGTTCCTCCTGGATGCAAAGAAACATGACATACAATGTTAAAGAAAATATTTTTTTTCTAATGCAGTATATATTTCAGTATTTAAAATAGTGGAAGAAAATTGATATTTAATTTTTTACTTCCAGAATGGGCTAGAGGTACTGGTGAATTATATTTAGAAATAAGATTCACACAAGGATATTTTAGAGGATAAAAACTTCCATTTCTACCAAGTTTTTGTTTATACTTTTTTGGTCAAGTCTCCAGGTTCAAGAAGTCATCATAAGGATGATATCAACTTTATCAGAGAAGAGAATTTTCAAAAGATGTCTAACATTATTAAAGAGTCAAGAACAGATCAGTCCCGTAAGTGAAAGTAAAAGTGGAATGGCAGCAGTTGGCCTCGGAATAATTATTCTTCATTACTTCTGTCCTCTGTGTATCTTTCCTAGCACTGGCATTGAATGTGTATTCTGAAGTTCCACCACGGACAATGTCTGGCTCACCTTTACGTTCTGCTCCAAGACAAGCACAGTGGACTTCAGGGGGACCTGACAAGGTGTGAACTGACTGTCTCTTCTAGATCATTTTGGCTTTATTTCATCTGTGTTCATGGTAGCATTTTCTTATTTTTGAAACTGTTTTTTCTCATGAGAGGCATTTCAGTTGTTTGGAATGATACAGAGAGAGAATAGTGACAGAAGAGCCATAATCAAGTTTTTTTTTTTTTCCAGTCATTCACTTGACATATTAATTCTTCATCTGTAGATGATTTCATCAGTAGAACTGACTTCCACACTTGATCCAGACTCTACGATTTCTCCAGCTTCAGGAAGTGAGGAAATTATTGGAGACATCCAGGAGCCCCTAATACATGGGATCTTGCCAAGTGAACCAGAACTTTCAGAAATGTTTCTGAGTAAGAAATTACTGTTTATAATTGCACTTTACAATACTTTTTCTAGAAAATCTTTGAGGATTTTTGAAGCAAAATGAGTTGCACTATAAAAGACAGTTACCCTGGGCACTGAAATACACTGAGATATGTCTGGCTAACTACAGGGTTTGATTTCTATCTGTCACACATGTTTCATCGGGGGGAGGGTGTTATTTTTTTAAGCACAATTTTAAACAATATTTTCCAAATCAGCTGAATTAACCTTGAATTCTATGCTCCCCCTCCTGCCCCGCCACTGATTAAATTACTCTGCTTAAGTCTTTCAGGAGAATATAATCTTGTATAGAAAACTCAGCCTCTAGTTTGGGGGGAGAAAAAAAAGGCTGTAAGCAAAGCTTTTAAATTATATTAATGTTTTCGTTTATTTACCTGATTTTAGGTTTTTTTTATGTAGTCAGCTGTCCTCTGACCCACTTCCAGCTGACACTTATCAATGACTGTCATTTGTTACTGATAGTGAATTTAGTCAAAAGGATGCTTGTGGTACTAGAAGCCTATTTATCTACATTGGCTAATATTAATTTACACAGTTTTGTGGGTGATCTTTTTGGAAAAAGGAGCAAATGTTAAGGTGGCTGTTTTCCAGTTGTCAGCTGTCACTGACCTACCAAGAATATCAGATTAATGACCTCCAAAACACAATAATGTTTAAATAATTTCTACCAAGCATTTATACATTTAGACTGCCTACAGAAATGCGTTCTGAATATAGGGATTTAAGTATTAAAGGAATCACAGTTGAAATCACTCATGTCATATGGAAATTTAGTGTGGTACTGCATAGACATGATACAAAGAGATTGCCAATTAGAAGACAGGATGTAAAAGGAGGAACTTTAGAATTCTTACCACAGTTTTTTGTACATCTGAAGTTAATGTGCTGTCCATAAGTGCTACAAGTTGCTTGTAAGATGTATTTGCCCTACAGCACGGGAGAAATCCAGCTACCCAGAGGAATGCAGCCTCTCAAGAATCAAACCCACAGTTAAAACACGAACTCCCTTTGTCACTCTTCCTGTCGCTGAGAGGATTTCGGATGCAGTTTATCCAACTGACAGTGAGGACGTCCAGCAATCTTTTGGCTCTTCAGCAGCCCATTTAGGCAGCAAGTCAGTGGTATTTCCTATTAGTGCTTTTGGCCCTGAGGACAGAAATTATGAAACCTCTGTGTTTGGACAGTATACGGAAGACACAGAAAGGGAATCCGTACAACCAGTGTTCCCTAATGTGACTTCACAATATAGACAAAGCAAGTGGCTAAAATATCAAAACAGTACTCAGTGTGACTCGATAACTCAAAACAGCGATGATGGGGAGGTGACTGATGACATCTGTGCTGAGAACATCTTTGGAATGCTGCGGGGTGACACAGGGGAGAGCAGTGCTGTGAATAAAAGTGCTCCCGGCTCTGCACCTCTGCCGGCGGCAGAGAGCACGCTTGGTAAACGCTGTGCCAATACCAACAACAGAGATTTGATTTCAGAGAGGAAGTTACTTTCTCTGCACTTAAGTCAGACACCTTTGGCTGAAGCAACACAAAAGGTGTTAAGTCATCTGAGCTGCCACACTGTAACAGGAGATGGCCAGGTGTGTAACTGCTCAAGCAAATGTAGTTGTAAGTGACAAACACATTTTTCTGGACAAAGTAACTGCATTTATCAGATTTCCTGCAAGATACTATCAGTATGATTGGACAAAATGTTTCTACATACCTAATAAAACAAGAGTCTCAGCTACAGAACAGCAGCTGCTAATGTATTTAAGTGCCATGACTGATCCTTTGTAAAGGTAATTCCTTGATGCACACAGTGCCAGCTTTAGATTTTTAATCTGAATGTTGATGGCAGGAAGATGAAATAAAAGCTCTTGGGCTGTTTTGTCATCTATAATTGGTAAGAACATGTTTTCAAGAAGTGCTTTTCTTGTGAAATCAGCATTGTTTTAATGAACACCTATATCTTGCTTCCAAGGGTAGTCTCTGGTATTTTAAATTTCTTCAGTTTTCATTGTGGAAAAGTAACTTATGGCATTGAGTAAGCACCTAAAAAATCAGCATAGCTGTTTGTGACCAGTAGACTGTCTTAAAAAAATGGAGTAATAGGGGGAAAAAACCCCATACCTACCACAAGTCAAGTTTCAGAAGTTGTCAAATGGCTATGTTTGGGTGCTAATAAAAATGTTAGATTTCTCCTTTTTTTTTTTTTTTTTTTTTTTCTGACGCAAACTTGGTATGCAGTGTTTTCTAGTTCTTTTAAACTGTTTGTACAGTAAAATATTACTGTGAAATAGAGGTGTGGAAATAACTAGTCTATTTCATATACACACTGGTATACACGTTGTGTGGGGTTTTATATATATATATTATCCATATATACTGGATTTTAAAAAGCTTGTGTAGAGAGTTGATGCCCACTGCAGTGCAGATGCATGGAAGTAGCTCCTCAGGACCAGCTAGAGTAGTAGGCACAGGGATTGCTTGTGGTATGCACACTTGCCCCACAGCTCTCTAGGCTGCTTCTTCCTTCCCCAGCCATGTACTACTTGTGCTATAGTTTCATTTGATGGATTTATTTCTGTGTAGAAATGGTGTTAAAGATGGGGTTTGTGTGTTCCTTCCCCATGTCTAGGGCTGAAAACATGATTCTGAATTACATAATTTACTCTAAAGCCTCTGACAGTATTATCTGTGTTATTATAAATGCAGGCTGTTTGCCAAGGGGCACATTTTAACTTCCTGGTACATCCTAAATGGCAGTCCAAGCTATATGCTGTAGCTCCAGGTGTACTTAATTTTATTCCCATTGGCAGTCCTATTGAATACATGCTCCTGTACTTAGAGTTAACAAAGTCTGTAAAAGTTTGTGGTGAAGAGGATTTGTACTTTGCTTTTAGAAAACCGATTCTTCATTGACAGTCTTTGTGGTGAAAGTTCTGGTTGCAGAATAAGGCCCCGAATTTTCTTCTGTTTAGTTCTACTTATTAATGAGAGCACAATATATAAAAGCCGAAAAGGAAGAAGAGAAGAAAAATAGATAGGTTTTGGCATATCTGTACAGTAGCCATTTATCAAAATCTGTCTCATTCAGGGTTTTGCACGTTTTGATGGTTTATTTTTCTGTTTTTTAGGACATAATGAGTACTGACTTGTTTTTTCCTAATGTGGATAAAGTAAAGTATGCTAATCTTCCTAAAAGAAAGATTTCCATACCAACCGTGTTTCAGTCTCATGTTCATTACAAACAGATTTTTAAAGCTGCTCTAACAGGTATGTCTAACACCACGCTATGTAAAATGCTGTCATTTATAAACTGTATTACTGAAGCTTCACAAAGCAGGATGAGAGGGAGAGAGATAATCAGTATCATTTATTGGAACTACTGTGCATTTGGTTTTGGATATATATACTGAAATATGTTCACTCTATACCCAGAATTGCAGAGACAAACCAAAAGAGTAGTGCACTTCCGTTAACTGTGTCACCTTGTGCCTGCTTACCAGTCTTTAGATTCCTATGTAAGCTTTTTATTTATGTATTTTAACAGTTATTTAGTGTTTGGATTGTTTGGAGTCATATACTTAAGTGGGATTTGTATGAAAGTAAGGCAGTTAGAACAGATTAATTGCATGTGCAACGTGAATTTTTCCAGTCACACGGTGTCTTTTAGGACTCACCTTAAAGGTTTTGATTTAGATTTGGGATTGAAAGTTTCAAATGAAAATGTATTTGTTTGAATGTTGTGTACTTGTGTAACCATTTTAAGGCTGTGCTAATTACTGTTTTATTCTCCTTCCTATGTCAAGAGCAATTAAACATAATGCTATTTGAGTTGTCACAAAGATTACACAATGCTCTTTCAAAAGTGGATGTATCATTTTACACTTCGTTGAAAGATGGGCAAAGTGAGAGCAAAGCAAGCTGCGTTCCACTCTGCAATCACATGCATCCTGCTAAGCTTGTTATGGTTAAAAAAGAAGGTCAAAACAAGGTGCTGTTTATTCCTTGTTTGTTTACAGTTTGGGGCATTTGTTTGGCATATAGACTGTATTGCATGAACAATAAGAGGGCAATTCTGTATGATTTACAATTGTAGGTTAAACTCGTGTTATAGAGATTGCTTGTAAGATCAGTTTAGTATCCACTAGGGTCTTGCATTGTTGATGTAATAGTTTTTTCCATACAGAAACAGCTTTATATATGTAGAGAGAAAGACCTGAATTTATAATTTTCTAGGTTATGTGGGATTTCTGTAAGGTACGATTACACACACTGGCTTCAGAAACTGAGAGTTCTTGGAACACACTTATGTTTTTCAGTCAAACACAGTGAAAACACAGGTGTTTATCTGGTTATTTCTATAGCAGCAAGTACTGGTCCATTGCTTTACTTTTTTTTTTTTTTTGCTTGTTTGTTTGAATGTCCTAATGGTCTTCCCCTCCCCCACTTCTTTCCTAGGGTCGGTTCTTCTATACCTGTGATGCCCCAAAAGCTGAGCAGTGTTCATTTTTCAAGTGGATAGAAGATGTGAACCCTGCACAGATAAAATCCAGGCCTAATGTAGTGTTTCATGATATAAAAAGTATTGGGACATTCCTCAGGAGTCAAAAGATTTCTCTCTATGAGGGATGCCAGCTTTTTGTGAGGTACTCTGAAACACTATGTAGTTTTCACAAGTGCTCTGTGAATTGAAGGTTTTATAAATAATCCAGTAGCTCTGGATTTCAGTACCATTAAACAGACACTTTCACTAACTGTGTTTAAAGAGGCTACAGTTCTGTGTAGAAATGTAAAAGCCAAATGAGTGAAGGAATAATATTCATAGCAATGGCATTTCCAGTCGGCACTCTTTTCAGCAAGAATCAAAACTGCTTACCAACAACTTGATCAATTGCTTAATGAAATCCCTTATGATTGTTGCATTTGAATTACTGTTCATTTAATCTTTCATAAGAGAATTTGATTTATTCTGTTAGTGATTCTAATTTTAACATTAGAAATTGTATCAGAGGCTATTCTGTGCTGCTTAACTGTAGGGGAAACTAATTATGGCTGAATGAGAGAAGTATTTTGCAGCCAAGATAAATGTATGTAAATCTTGGTAATGTAAGATGATGAGCAACCACCAAGATCTGCTCTGTATAATTTAGTCCAATCTGTGGAGCTTTCTTATTTTTGATGATGAATCCAAAATGTGCCCATTGTTTACATACTCATTCTTAAAATTGCAATTTAACAGGAAAGCCTTTGAAATTCAGACACAGCAGTGTAGTAAGTTCAAGAAATATATGAATATACCTGCCAGATTTGATGGTGATTCCAAACCCAAATTATACCTCAAACTAAGCAAAAAGGAACATTATTCTCTCTATAGCAAAGGTAAGCAAATATTAAGCATCAGAAGAATTGTCCATGTCATGTACTTTTTTACAGTTTTAATTTGTAATCTGAAAGAGAAAAATGGAATCTTATTTTTAAATGCCTGACAACCCTGATAATTCAATTCTCATTCTAGAAGGGCAAAGGAGTATCTCATTAATTAATCTTTTCTTGTAAATGTCCAGCTACCTTAGAAAAATATGAATTCTATGTCCTTGGGTTTGGAGTATATCACATCTGTGAATCGTGAAGTTTCAGGAAAGTCCAATATTCAAATAGACGATATTTAAGGCAAACTTGATGTAAAAATTGGTGTTTCAGTAGTTGTTGCGTATCTCTTCTAAATTACTGAAATGTCACAAAGTTGGAGGACATTCAGTGATTTGATCATCTCAATAGTTTATTTAACTTTGGTAATTGTGGAATTGATACCCGTACCTTCATAGTTTGTTCACTTTGCTGTTGAAAATGACGCAAAGGAATTTGGGCAGAAACAAACATGTTTGCACACTTTATGTACAGACCAAAATGTTCTAACAAATCAGGGTTTTGCAACTTTAAATTCTGAAGCCCTGCATGGGCAAAACTTTTACTTGGGTCTGATAGTTTTTGATCCCTTTTGTTACAGGCAAATAGCTATGCACCATTATTGCTCCTAACTTTGAAATCTCCCTTGCTGTGCTCTGCAATACATGCTGTAGGAGCAGTGTAGTAAGCTTTAGTCTCATCGGGTGTGACAAATTTTGAAAAGGAAGGGGAAATGTACATTTATTTCGGTACTTGCTGTTCTTTGGCAAAAGTGTGGTTAACTAGATTTAACTAACTTCAGTGATTTCTTCCAAATATTCTGGCAAACCCGAAGTCTTAGCAATTTTGAGCAGTCAAACGCTGCTAAGTGCACCAGGGGAGAACTTTACAGTTACTCTCAATTTCAGACAGTAAGTACTAGAAGAATTACAAATTATTTATTGCTTTAGTCACTAAGCCCTACATGCATGTTAGCAGTGGTTTAATTTGCAACATAGCAAATGCAGAGCTATTTTGTCCAGCTTCATTTCCTTTAAAAGATGGCAGTAGAAGAAGCTTATGAAAACGGTGTATTTTTTTTTTGACAGATGATATTTGGGTTGTTTCGAAGACTCTGAACTTTGATCACCTTGATACTTTCATTGCAAGTAGTGCTTTCTTTGGACCATCCTCCAACAATGAAGTAGAATTACTACCGCTGAAAGGCTACTGTCCCTCAAACTGGCAATCAAATAGTGAGTTCTACACCAAATAAATCAGAATTGTGGAAAACAACTATTGAGGGAAAAATCTGGCCAGCAATGAAGGATGAGATTAGAATTTCTCAAAACGAATACATTATTCACAGTATTTTTTTTACTTGTATCTTTGAATATGTAATTTGAATCCAGTACTTAATCCAATTAAAACTGCGAAGTAGCTGTTAAGAAGTTCTAAGTGGGTGATGAAAAAATGAGGACAATATAAATAATGTATTAGATAATATAATTTAATATAGAATGTAAATTGACTGCCAGAGTGTAGGTAAAGGCAATATGTTGTTACTGTCCTTGAAAAACAAACAGAAACCTCAAACAACTGACTATGGAAAATTTATATTAAAAGTTACATATGAAATCTGTGATTTAGCTGTCCTGACATTCCTTTCTATGCCTTTGTTGCTACAGCCCAGAATGACTAAAAAAATGGATGTTTCAAAATTCAGAAGAAACAAATCTGTCTAATTTTAGTTATTTTCATTGTCGTATTTTAAAAAGAAAATATTACTAAACCTAGCACTGATGGTTTTTAATGAACTGCTGACATTTTTATTCTTTAGCAAGCTGTTCCCAACAAAGTTGTAGCTATCCTTTTTGGTTTTAACATATTTGTTTGGAGTATTTCTGTCATATTTTGTCATCAGTGTTTTGGAAACAGTAAGGTTAGTGGGCCTTAAGTACAGAGAGAGAAACTGTGTGGGTCTGCTACAGATGTCACAAAAAAATGACAAATGGGCTGCCAAACATGATGCAAAAGTTTCCTATTTTTGCTGTTGTATTAAGTTTTGGGTTGGTTTGGTATTTTTTTTTTTTTTTTTTTGTAAAAGAGATAAAGAATGTGTTATGTAGTCATTCTGGAGCTAGTCGTAATATACCTCTACTCACTGTCTTTTAATGCAATATGAAAATTGCATGCTCGATCACAAAAGGCTTTTTTTAAGATAACAAATTAGTCTTTTTAGGCTTTCTATCTAATCATTGGGGAGAGAGTTCCTGCAAAGTACAATTGAGTGAGCCTATGTTAAACTCCTGTTCTGAATTACATTCAGAAGACTAAAAAATACAGGAAAAAAAAAAAATACAACAGCAGACAGTGGAGGGTTTGATTTGTTTGTTCCCTGAGTGTGAATTGCAGGGCTGGATCTCTCGAGCAGTCAGGGACTGGAAGAGTTTATATAGAACTTTTCAGGCTTAGTGCTGTTGAATCACAGCATTTTATTTTTTCTTAGGAAATTTTTCGTCCTAACTTTATTTGTGATCATAAATACAGATTATTGCATAATTCTATAACCATTAGAAAACTAAACCCCTAAGTTGTATGAAAATAAAACTTTAAGGAATGTTTAATTGTTGGCAGTGATAAGCAGCCGCAAAATTAGAGGTGTGTGGGTTACTAAACATATTGGAAACCTGTTACTTAGGCAACCCCTGAGCCCCAGAACCTTAGGAAACTGGCAGTTAATTCAGAAAAATATGATTGAATACTTATTCTGTTCTTATACTCTCCCCTAGGCATCTACTTTTGTACACTGTGGAAACAGGCTAGATGGTACTTGAGTCTGGCCCGTTAGAGGTGTTCTCGTGTTCCTGTCTTGTCTTGTGTAAGAAAACCTCTGCTTAGCTGTTGTGATGCAGACAGCCTACTTACAAAATTCACTTTCTAAATTCCAAAGCCTTCTAAATTTCTCAAGTATTTCTAAAATGAGTATGGATTTTTATCTAAGCTTCCTTCCCAGAAGGTTCCTAGTGTTGGAATCACAAATATTTGAAAATAATGCAGATGAAAAGAAGGGCTAATAGGTCTCATCTATAATATTCAGACATGGTAACTAAGTTAACTTGGTTTCTGTTACAGGAGGCTAGTTACTCTTTTGATGTGTTATTAATTTATTTACCTGATTTGAAATTTTGGCTAATCTAATTTTTTTCTAATTTTATTTTTCTATGACCTCTTCAGTGTTTGTTCACGCCTTGCTGGTTTGTAATGCTAGTGGTGAGCTTACATCCTTAAGAAATATGGAGGAGCACTTCAATCCATCTACATTACCACTAATACCATATCTACTAAAAATGTAAGTTACTGTTTCAGTGATACTGTGAGCATACAATATGTCAATAGATATAGAAAAAAACCCAACAAAAGTACCGTTGAGTTTGCCCTATTAAAAGGTGGATGAGGAAAACTAGAATTGGAAAAACAGTGCAAGGAATGAATTGTTGACAATGCAATTTTCATTTATGTGGAAACTCTATTGGTTGCTTAACTCTAATTCAGTTGTAAAGTTTTTTTCTTAAACTTAGCTGCAGCTGATGTTTTACAACCTAGAGATTCATATTTGGCATTATTATGACCATTAGACTGATAGTACAGTCACTGACTCATCTGTATTAAGTTAATGTATACGTTTCACAGGGGTTCAGTGGAACTGCTTTTCCTTCCAAATTTTTAGTCACTTGACACAAAACCTAAAAATAAAATATTATCTTGGAGAGTCAGAGCAATATAGGGCTATTTCCAAGACTACTCCCAATTCACTGTATAAAACAAGTAATTAAATTAATCCCCGCTACCTCTGACTATGTTGTTCTACCATTCTTAATTCTGTCAGTCTCATAGCCTTGAAGTGAGTCAGACTGCAAGTGTTAACATACAGCAAGAACGATAAAATCCAAAAGCCGTTTTCATATGATCCAGCTTTCACCCAGGGAAGTAAGAAGGGGCAGGAATACACAGCTCAGGTGTATGTCAGGGTGCAGCAACTTTTAATTATGTCAGCTGTTAATCATAAAGCCTCAGCATTTCAATGTCCGATGGGTATCAAAACCATGAGATACAAATTATACATATGCAGTATTATACCACAACTTTTGACAACTGTATTTTTCTTAGGAATTTTGATTCTGAAAAAACTACTAATAGAGTCAACAAAAGAAAATTTATTCCACCTGCTATCAACCTGAAACGCACCATGATGTATGGACCTGTCAGCACTGAAGTGGCGATGGGACTAGCTAAAAAGATGATCCAAGCGTTCTCATTGAACCCGGATCAAGCTACATCACTGATTCAGATTGCTCAGATGATGACCTCATGTGAAAACACCAAACCAGTGGAAGAACATCCGATCTTCCCTATCACAATCATACGTGGTATATGGCAAATACTTGTGACGTTTGCTGCTATTGTATCTTTTCAAAAATGCTAATTAAGATGTAATGCCAGAGTTAGTGAAATAGCCCGAAATTCTCTCAGTGATGAAACAGTAGACTTGTTTCCTTAATCATATATTTACAATCCCAGTCAGACTTAAAGGGAGATTCTTATGTCTAAGTAAATGTTGACTTATTTTAAATGTAGCGCAAAAGATGAGCTTGAAAAAACTGCCTCTGTGTATGGAATATAGTTTTAAACTCTTTCATAATGCTGCTGTCCTTACCTACTTCATGCATTTCCTGAAAATTACTTTATTGGATGAGGCCCCTGTGATAATGACCTTGACATTGTGACATCCATTCTGTCAGCATAGAACCTTTGATCTGTGTCTTCTGCTTATTTCTTTTCATATTTAAAACTTTGTCATGTATCAGCTTTTCTAAATTATATGATAATTTTTTTCTATTACGTGTTATTCCTTGCTGCTTTATACTTCCTTCTATCTTTGTTTTATCCCTTTTCAACATGCACAAAAAGTCTAGTAACATCTTGGTTCAGAGATTTTTATTTTTTTTTATAAGCAGTTACGATAAACCTGTCAAAGTAAGTATGCTGCAATAGTGACACTCTTAGTACAGATACCACAGACTTAAATTGCCTGAGCTTTTGTTAGGCTCTAGTTCAGACTAGTTAGTCTAGTTAAAATTATCAGTCATTCCAAAATAATCATCTCTCATACCTTGTTCTGTACCTGAGGACGTGGTATTGAGGGATGTGCATGCAAATACTTGAATTTGTATTATGTTAATCTATTGATGACACTCCTTAGCAAGTAATGCATGTATTCAACCAGAAAATTAAGGAAAAATATGTTGGCTTCTCCTCTTCTGTAGTTTTTTTGTAAAATTACTTCAGGCAGTAAACGCAAAGCGTACGGCAACTGGTTGCCCCTGGGTACTTAGAGCTGCTGAAGCAAGCAGGTGCAATGTTTTTACAGGAATCGCACTGTAACATTTCACACAATAAACTTAAGTTATAACAATTGATTAAAACTGTACTTTCTAGAAAGTTTTCACCTGTAACTTTGGCTTTTTCTTCCAAAATGCCAGGTGTTTTTGGAGCTGGAAAGAGCTATCTGCTGTCTGTTGTGATCTTGTTCCTAGTACAGCTCTTTGAAAGCAGCGAAGCTACAGAGGGTCCAAGACCAGCTCCATGGAAACTTCTGATTGCTGCTTCCACCAACATTGCTGTTGACAGGGTACTGCTGGGGTAGGTTACTGAGATTATTACAGACTGTTCTTCCAAAAACAACAATGCACTTGTATGGTAACGATAACTTTCCTGGCATTTCCAGTGTAACACTTCAAAAAGATTGCATTCTTCCCCAGGAAAGTGTCACACAGAGGCTTTAATTTTACCCTTGCTCCTTTGCACAGAATGCCTATGTTGAAAGACTGTAAGGCTAGCTGTGGAAATTTACACAAGACCAATATCGGGCTCTTCTCTCATCAAATTTACTGTTAAAATCCATCATGACAGAAAGTAGTATTGCTCAGGAATCTTTAGGAAGTAGCAGTAGGGGCAGGGGAAGGAGGGGTGGAAAGAGAGGGAGAGGCAGGGAGAGGCAGATGTGGGAAGCTTCAGCGTGACGCTAACCTGAAATAAAACTCATGGTTTAAAAGGATAAAGGAAGGAAGGGAAAGTACAAATGGAAGACTATTTATGAGAGGAGAATCATAAAGGCAATAAGCATTTTTGAGACAAATCACAATGAGGTGATTTACTTGAAGTAACTCAGGCCACAATCCATCTGGTTAATCACATAAGTTTGTGTTCTTCAGTGTTCTGATGTGTCCGTTAGCCTTTTCCAGAACCATTTTTAAATTTTTCAGAATTTCTTTTTACATTTCTGTTAACGCTTACCATCTCTTTTTCTTTGAAGTCTACTTGATCTTGGATTTGAGGATTTTATCAGAGTGGGAAGTATTAGGAAAATCACCAAAGCAATTCTTCCCCATAGGTAAGAATTTGAATCTTTGAAGGATCTGAAGCGATTCTAAGATTCATGATAGTATGCATGCTGTAAAATTTACTGCTTTGAAGTAATTAAAAATGTGATTATAATATGCCTACCTCAGGGAACAACCCCCCCCAGTGGCAGAGAAATTTTACCTTGATTTGGGAATGTCATTTGTTGCTGAATAGAGCTAATGCTTTTAAATGGGAAGCAGTAGAGGAGAACAAAATAATGGCAGTTACAGATTTGGGAGTTTACACCAGGAAGAAAAGCAAAACAGACTTGAAATGGGTTTGTACTGCTGTAGTGGTAAGAACTAGGAGGAAGTAATCATAAATTTTATGTTGAGAAAATTATTGGTAACAACTCATGAATTCTCTACTACGTGGCCAAGTTATCTTTGCGATAGTGTTCTGGCGTTTGTCCTTTAACTCCTTAGAAGTAAGCAATCTACATAGTACTTTTTGAGAGCCCAAAGTAAAGCTCAAGATGAATAAAGATTAAATTACCATTCCTTGGTGTCAGTTGCATGCCAAGGGTATAAAATGGTATAAGAATGAAAAATGTCTCCTCAGTTCTATTCCGCTCTGAAATCAGCTGTGTGCTCGGAGAAGTCATTTCCTCCACGTATGTCTCTGGTTGGGGCGGGAGGGTCTGAGCTGGTGGGATGGTCTGTTTTGAAAAGAGGTATTAAACTAGTCTGTCTCAGCTGGGTTCAGAATAGGTTAGTACATAGCTGTAAAGTACTGTTTTGTGTACAGTATGATTATTTTTCTATATTGGGTGTTCACCAAACACCAAAAGCACTGTTATTTTCGGTCATTGTAATGCCTGTTATAAAATCTCTTTGAAGTTTACACGCTGGCTCAGGAAATGAAAATGAACAGTTAAAAGAGCTGCTTGCTCTCATGAAAGAAGATTTAACTCCAGCTGAAAAAATATGTGTAAGGAAGAGTATTGAGCAACATAAACTGGGGACCAATAAAACTATACTGCAACAGGTACAGTCGAAGTGATGGGATGGGAAAGTGGGGATTCATTATCTCATCCACAAGGCCCAGCAAGTGGAAACTGGGAATCTCTTCTCACACCTGCCAAGCTTCTAGTTCTGAAAAATAAAATGAATGTTTTCATTTTATTTTTCAGACAGGTTTGATTCTACAGGTATACCTTAGTGTCTTACCTGTATATGACTTCTCTGAGATGAATTTTCAGTTCCTGTTTAGTGATATGAGGCAAAAAGCCTTTATGAGCTTTATTGCCATCTGATTTAATATTACCAATCTAGTTTACAAGGTGGGAAGACAAAAATTTGTGCACACAGCTATTCTGCGCTGTCACCTTGAAACAAAAATTTATGTAGTCAAAAAAGGTAAAATATAAGGACTGAGCTAAATCTATCCTATCACATCAACTGCCACAAAGACTTCAAATATATTGTGGGTAACTTTTCATCAGAGTATTACCTTTTAAGATTACTACTTCCTGTCTAACAATCTTCTCAATTTCTGGTCTTTCCAGTTATTTGCCTTTTCTCCTCAGTTCTAGACTCAAAAAAACCCAGCTTGTTGTAGAGCAATTTGTTTCTTGTGCTTATTCCTACTGGTCATTGCTGCCACTTTTGCTGCTGGGGTTCAGAAGGTTTTGGAGGATTGTGTAATCTGAACTCTGTCTGTACCAGACCAGATCTGGTCTTAAAATACATGAATCTGTGAACGACTCTAACGTATAAACATCCCGAGCATAAGAAATGGTAACCTTGGATCCATCTCCGTGCATGCATGGTGCCATTTGTTGGAAGTTAGAATATAATTTTTTGAGACCCTGTGAATACAACGCAGCATGCAGTAGAACTGCTAAAAGCTGCTAAAAATTAATTTAGGTGCTGAAGCTACAGTGATGCACTGCACAGAGGTGAACTATTAAAAGATCTTAACTCTGTGTCTACCCATTTTCCCCTCACTAATAACACAGGTAAAAGTGGTCGGAGTGACCTGTGCTGCCTGCCCGTTCCCTTGTCTGAATACTCTGAAGTTTCCTGTAGTGATGCTGGATGAGTGCAGTCAGATGACTGAACCCGCTTCCCTCCTTCCTATTGCAAGGTACAGCCTTCTTTTTGTGTTTCAGCAGAGAGAGAACTTTTAGCAGTGATACAGCCTCCGGTAATTGCCAAACTGGCACGTCTTTTTAAGAACGTGATCTCTGAGGTCTCACCTTAGAAAGCAAGCAGAGTAATTGTAAATTGAAGCTTGCTCTCTTAGGTGCCTTCCTTGACTTACCGTGCTATCCTGACTGTGGAAAGAGGGTGATGGAAAAGGGGGCCTGGTGAAAAGCAATCCGTGATAGATAAACGCAGCACACGCTTCCATTAGGAGTGGTTTGGCATATTCTTTTAGAACTTTTTTCTTATTCTGCAACGTTCTAACTTAGGTTTCAGTGTGAGAAGCTAGTCCTTGTTGGAGACCCTAAGCAGCTACCGCCAACTATTCCAGGGTCTGAGAGTGTTCACGGAAAGGGGTTGGAGCAGACCCTCTTTGACCGGCTTTGCTTAATGGTATGTACTACTAACCACATCTTTAGAAAAGATGGAGGGTGAAATTGTAGGTCCACTGAAGTCACTGGAAGAGTTCTGGTTTAGATGTCAGAGGATCGGTATTTCAGCCTGTTAATTAAGCAGATTCCATTCTAGTTCATTTATCTGTAAATGCTATTTTCACAGTGCACAGAAAATTCTAAGCGTAACAAATATAAAACAAGAATGGATTGAAAAACACTGACAGATTCTGCCTTCTGATCTTTTTGTGTAGCCTTCAGTCCAGGTAGAAGAATCGGGTGCTATAGTATTTGTTCTAACTTTTGTTAAAGTGAACGTAGGAAGGTGAAGCCAGCTTACTGCAGGAATTGTTTCCACTTATTTCTTGCCTGACCTAACTGGCATTGCAAAATATTTAATGATCTTTTTTCCTAGTCACGCTTTCTATATCACAACTCTTTAGGGACATAAAACAATACTACTTCGGACACAGTACCGATGTCACCCTGCTATTAGTGCCATAGCCAACGAGCTGTTCTATGAAGGAAATCTGATAGACGGTGTTTCCGAGAAAGACAGAAGTCCTTTATTGGATTGGCTTCCAACACTATGTTTCTATAGTGTTAATGGGGTAGAGCAAGTAAGTTTTAAAACTTTTCTTATATAAAAAGTCAACATTATAGGTTTTCCTTCATTTAATTTCTTTTTGCATTCTGCTGTTTGTGAGAGCTAAACTGGAAATCTTCTCCCCTATTTCCAGGTTGAAAGAGACAACAGCTTTTATAACATGGCAGAAATTCATTTTACAGTCAAGCTCATCCAGTCTCTGATTGCAAGTGGAATAGAAGGATCTGCGATTGGTGTGATTACTCTGTATAAATCACAGATGTGTAAGGTTTGTATAATGTATCATCAATAAATGAGTTTTCTTATTTCAACTAGGAAGAGTCAACTAGAGGTGAGAAACAGACACTGGATAAGTAAACTAGAATTCACCATAATTTCCCTTATTAAAAAAAAAAATAAAAATCTGTATTTCTTTCCTCTAAAATTAGTCAAAACCTTTTCAAACATCTGATTTAAAAAAAAAAGGCAACACATCTTTCCATTTCTTTTCCTTCCACAGGCACGCTCAGAAAACTGGCAAGCTAAGCAGTACATAACTTTCAGAAATGAATTAGGGCTTGTTACAAACTGGTGTGCGTGCCGAGGACAGGTAGCAGGGGCTGGAGTTGCGCCTCAGCCGGTCATCCAAGGCGTGACATGGCTGCTGCGACGAGTGAGCGAATGTCCCGGTTGCCAGACCGAATGCAGCAGTGTTTTGTCAAACATTACACAGTGGTTTTGTGTGATTAGCTGATGTTTTACTGCCATTGCCCTCTCTGGTTTCTTAGTTCACATCTTGGGTAGACTCAGACTTGAGTGTGTTTGCTCAAGACTGTGGGTAGCGTAACTCATCGCCCCCCCATACTCATTTGTCTGCAGATTCAGCACTGGCTTAGCGGCGCACACTCGGAGGCTTTTGAAGTTAAAACTGTCCAGGTGTCCACTGTAGATGCCTTCCAAGGAGCTGAGAAGGAGATCATTGTTTTGTCGTGTGTGAGAACAAGACAAATTGGGTTCATAGACTCAGAAAAGAGAATGAACGTTGCACTAACAAGAGCAAAGAGGCATTTGTTGATTGTTGGAAATCTGGCCTGTTTAAGTAGGAACAGGCTGTGGGGAAGAGTAATTCATCACTGCAAAGGTAATATTTTCTTTTCCTGTATTTTTTGAAACCATGCAGTTCATCTCTTTTAATAAAACTATGTATAATATACTTGATATATTATAGTGTATATCTAGAATATATATAGTGTCCATAGTATATAAACTGGTATATATATTGCATATACAGTATATCGCAGGAAAATGCAAGTATTCGCAAGTGTGCAAGCTGCATGACTGCAGTTTTACCTGCAAACTGTTTTGATACTTGAAGCATATTTGTTAAGCAGTAATGGGACTTTTTTTTTCTTCTTTTGATGCCATCAGACAGCTACACAGAGAGCACACTAGTAAGGAGAGCTGAAACCCGCTGCTGCATTTCTAGTCCTTTCCCCGTTTGCTTTTACATAGTAGACCCAGGCAGAAAGAAGTTACAAACAAATTCTTCCATACAACAGTATTTCTGAATGGATAGTACTTAAATCAAGGAAAGAAAAATGCTCAGTGTCTCTCTGCAACTAGGGACTTACTGGTTTTGGAAGATAAATTTTGAGCTGCTCGGAAAAAAAAAATGCTATTGGAGGTCAGCTAACTCTACCAAGTAATTCCTGATTGCTTTGCTTGCAGATCGCTGTCTTGTGAATACATGTGTTTGTTTTATTGGACCACAGAGGGAAATAAGAGTTTTTGAAAATCAGTTTTTTACAGTTTCCACATATTTGCAGTGACATTTACTGCAATTGAGTATTTACATATTTGAAAGCTAATCCTGCTTAAAAAAAAAAAAACAACCAACCAAAACAGCAAAAAAACCTTACAGTGCCTGACTCCACCCCTTGCAACTTTGCTGGAAGGTGTTTAAAATGCCTGAACAGCCCCTTAGTTGTGTGTCCCTCTCTCTGCTGTGCAGTACGCGCACTGTGGAGAGAGGGGTTTCTCCCTTCCTTGGCACTTGAATTAGTCCCCTTTGAAATGGGACGGTTTGTATCTCAAAGCACTAGTTACATTTGATCATAAACTATTCCATGGCAATGTTCTGTGAACTAGAGAACTGACAGACAAAATAGTGTCCACATCTCTAAAGTACATTCACTAAACCCTGGCTGAATCTGATGCCCCAGTACCCACTGAGGCACATCCCCTTTTGGAGGGCACAGGGCCTCACCTTCACAGATACTGCAAAGGGAGTGCTCAGTCCCAGGAACACATCACGGCAAGAAGAGGTACCAAAATAGTCATTATTTTATTTACCTACTTGGATGACATCAAAGGAGGCGTCTTGTTAATGGTTGAACTCTGAAGAACAATTTTCAAAGTAGAAATCTTGCAGGCTTGGGGAAATAGATGCTCACAACACCGCAGTCCAATTACATGATGGATGCTGTAAAGCAAAATACAATTAACCTGTTTATTGCTGCTTTCAGGATGGGAAAATGGATTACAGCATGTAAGCCAGTGTGAGCAGCAGCTAAACGACATTCTGAAGTGTTATTTGGAGAAACGGAAGGAAGAAGAACAGAATAAGAAAAAGTGAAATGTGTGCCTATTTTATGAAGAAGATACTAATTGTGTGTCTATAAAAATTATCAGAATGATTGCAAATCTAGTATTTATATTTAATGTGGGAAATTTTTGTGTCTCAGTGCACCGATACTTCTGTTTTGACCCCTTGTTTGTATGACTAAAAGTGAATAAAGTGGCTTTATCTGCTTGATAACTGAAATCCTTTTATGCTTACAAAGTTCCTAATTGTATTATTAGTGTTTCACTATTCTTCAGGTTAGATACACATGTAAAATCATCTCTTGGAACAATTCTGTCATCTTGCATATTTACAAATCAGTAATTTCTTCAAATGAATATTGTGTGTCCTTGGTTTATTAAATCTTTGGATGTCGACAAAATAAAATGAGAAAGACTGACCTGTGTTGAGATTATTTTTCCAGGTTTTAGGATATGATCACTCAACCGTGTTTCAAAACCACACAAAAGCTGAATTATTTCAGTTGGAAAAAAAGAGTGCTGTTGTGTCAGAAGCTCTCCAACAAGAAAAGAAGTTCATCATCCTTACCGTGCCAGAAGTTTGGCCGTAGGTCTGTCTCAAAGGTGCACAGAGGAGGATCAGCAGTTGAGATACAAATGGTGAGAAGTGGTGGGCTAAGCCTGGACACAGTATAATTTCTAGATGCTGCCACGCTGTTAAACTTCTGGAGAAGACTCTGAGGCACTCTGGAGAGCTGGCTGTGGAGCAGACTCAGAAGTCTTAACCGATGTTCTGCTTTCTTTTTATGAAGCTTTGAAAGAAATCACCTGGCGAGGGGCTTTTGGCATTCAGTGACGCAGCCTGTCCCTGGCAAGGATGGTGACAGCTACTCCGGCCGCACTGAGAGTGGGTGAGAAGCAGTCTTGGTGAGGGACAAGTTACACATCCTCTTGCAGAGCTGCTTAATTGTTTCTTCTAGCTGTGTTTTGATGGTTCTCAGCAGAGCCAGAGGATACTGGATTTTAGATAGTTTATGGTTTTGAGCCTTGACGATAGTTATTTCCCAGGGCTTCATTGGTATGGACCTTGAAAAAAAAAAAATGTAGTTTCTGCTTCATTTCATAGCTACCATCCACACTGGCTAACAGGTGTAAAAACCCTAAACCACCTCCTTGCTGTGTTTGGAAAGAAAGGCAAAGGGTATTGTTCAGTATCTGCCTGAAACCCCACCTCCGTTCTTGGCTGTCAGTCTAACGTGGCTTTTTTCAGGCTCTTGCCCAGGTGCTTTTGCAGAGGTTGCCTTTGGGAAACAGAGCCTGCTGCTTTACGCTTATATTTTATTAGATCAACCATAAAAGCAGAAAGCTGGCTGCAGCCAGAGCAGGGGGGGCAGCAGGGCCAGGGGGGGGATTGTCCCCCTCTGCTCCGCTCTGGGGAGACCCCCCTGCAGTGCTGGGGCCAGCTCGGGGGCCCCCAACAGCAGAAGGACACGGAGCTGCTCGAGCGGGGCCAGAGGAGGCCACGGAGATGCTGGGGGGGCTGGAGCAGCTCCCCTGGGGGGCCGGGCTGAGAGAGTTGGGGGGGTTCAGCCTGGAGAAGAGAAGGCTCCGGGGAGACCTTCGAGCGGCCTCCCAGGGCTTAAAGGGGGGGCAGGAGAGGGGGGGAGGGACTCTGGATCAGGGGGTGGGGGGATAGGATGAGGGGTGACGGGTTTAAACTGTCAGAGGGCAGATTTAGGTGAGCTCTAAGGCAGAAATCCTTCCCTGTGGGGGGGGGAGGCGCTGGCCCAGGGTGCCCAGAGCAGCTGTGGGCGCCGCTCGCGGCTCCCGGGCGCCGCCAGGGGGCGCCGCCGGCCCGGCAGAGCCCGCGCGGGGAACGGGGGGGCGGGGGGGGAACCGGGAGCCCCGGGCCGGGAGGGGCCGGGAACGGGAACGGGAACGGGAACGGGCGGGGAGGGGAGGGAGGGGAGGGGAGGGGAGAGGAGGGGAGGGAGCCGTCGGCTTTCCGGGTCCTCGCCGCGGAGAAGCGAAGCGGGCAAAAAAAGAAGGAGCAGCGGCGGGTTGAATAGCGCCTTTAAATTACGGCTGACACCTCTGTTACAGCTCCCTAAAATCTCAATCAACAACCCATTAGAACTCAACGGGAGTAAAACTAAATCCTCGTTTAAGTGTATTTATCCGCTCTCTTTTCTCTCTTTCAAATGCTAAATCCATTTCAGCATATGCCCCTTCTTTCTCTCGCCTTTCTCTAAAGACTAGCAGCCCGTACTACTCTTGTAAATATGAAAGATGCTAATCATATGACATATCACGTCTCAGTCGGAGCCTGGAATAAAGCCTTGAGATTTGGGATCATTGCCTCCAGACAACAGCTTCATCAGCCGGAAAGTTGGTTTTTTTCTCCTTTCCTTCAACTCTCAATCCCTTCTTTGTCTGGGGGAAAATGCAGCCAACTCGAGCCACCCCGGCCATATGGTTCACTCTGTGTTTTCTTAGTTGAATCCTGAATTGTTTGTGACTTGCGAAGGGTGGGTGTTTTTTTTTTTTTTTTTTTTGGAAGTGTGTATAAAGACATAGAAGAAGCTGCCCATACCGGGGTGGCTCTGCAGGGTTGCTACATGTTCTTCATGTGTTCATTTCACACACTCCTCCTGCAGCCACTTCATCACTACCGCTCTGCCCGAGAGCCAAAAGATAAAGCCCCGGACACGGTTTTCACAATAACGCAACCCACTCTGGGGAATCTTGTCATTTTTTCCCTTTGGCGGATGAAAACGCCACCTTAAAACATGATCTGTTTCGTTTGTACTCCTCTGCAGCCCGGTTCAAATTCGTGGTGTGTGTGATACAGAGGATCTGCTTATTAGCAAATCCCTTCTAGAAGTACTTGGGCTAAGAGAAGCCCTGAAGTATTTGGAGTAAGGAAGAGTAGGGGCTTTTAAGGCCTGTATAAATTAGGAGCTGAATGAGTTCGGTGCGCTCGAGTTTGGATAGCCCCCTGTTTGATAGCAGCCTGCCAAATTTTCTTTCTCTCTTTCCTTACACAAACCCCCAAAAAGGCCCTTTCACCAAATCATTAAATTCTACAGAGGTGGTCAAGCTAGTCCTGCTTTTCAGGCGTTCGAGAAAGAAAAGGGTCCTTGAAGTTTAGAAGATGCCCAAGGAAAACTCATTGAATGACATCAAAAGAATGAGTTTCCATAGCTGTTGAAGCACGAGAGCCGTGTAGCTGCACAAAGGCGGGTTGGGGCAGTGGGACTGTCCCACTGCTCTATCCCAGCACAATTGGGTCACTGAAATAGGGAATTAATTACCATTGGAGAGTGGGCAGCCCATTCACCACTGGCTGAGTTTTATTAAACGCCAATATAAATAACAAAACAACTCTTGTGGCTGCACTATTCCTACACGCCAAAGGAAGGATTATGTTGGGGATTAACATCTTAAAGTCTATGAGACTTTCTGACTCAAGGCTCGGAGCTGGTAATCGTATTTGTCTCCTGGTTCAGCGATTAGTGCTCTCCCTCGCGCACCTTCGCCTGGATGGCCAATGTCCCTTTTTGCAGGCACTGGGTTTTTCACACAATCGGCTGTTCTTTTCCCCACATCTATAGAAAAGAATAAGAAAACTGAAGCGTGTTCACGCGATCCTCAAGCTTCTTCTCTTCTTCATGGGAAAGGAAGGCACCGGCGGCCTTTTTTTCACAAGGGGGGGGGGTGGGGGGGAAGGCAAACCCTCTTGGGGGGGTGGTGAGCTTGGGACGGCGAAATCGCTCCGCAGGCCTGCACCTGCCATGCAAATCTGCCGGGAACAATCGGCCCCGACAAGGGGCTCGTCCGCCCCGGGGGGTGGGGGGAAGGATGCCGGGGCAGCGCTCTGAAAGGGGGGGGGGGGGGAACACAACGACACCTCCCCCCCACCCCCTCCTTGCCTTGATCCCGAAACGAACCCCCAAACTTGCTCGTGTGGCTTGGGAGTCGGGGAGCTGGACCCCTCCCTCCCTGCGGGGTTTTTCACTGTGGTGTGCACCGGGGCGGGGGGGAAAGGACCTGGCTTGGGGCATGGGGGGGGGACACGGTCACAGCAGCAGCCTTGCATTCCTCCCCTCCACAGAGCATCCCGCTACCCTGCCGGGTGGGGGGACACCTTCTGGCACCCCCCCACCCCCCCCCCTACTTTTAAAAGCAGAACCACCCAACTCGCAGGGTTCAGGGGTGCTGCCGCAGGGCTGGGCAGCCCAGGATTCGGGGTGTGCACAGCCCTGGTCCCCCAAACCTTCAGGAGACCCTCGGGGAGGCAGAGCTGGGAGGAGGGCTCAGGCCCTCCTCTCCCTGCAAGCTTTGCACCCCCCTTTTCCCCGGGGGGTGTCGCACCCCTCCTTCACCTGGGGCAGGCAGGCCATTAATGCTGGCTCACAACTTGTGAGGTCGAAGTGTGGATGGGCTGTATCCAAAGGTCTCTCAGCAACACAGACCCTAAACTTTTAGGGCTATCGGGTCGCCTCAGAGTTCAATCTTCTTACAGCAAACAAAGCCCTTCTGAAGGTCTCCCCCTCTCCCCCACACAAGCTCAGTGTCCTTTATTTCTGGGCTGTGTGATAAGCTTAAATCATTGTGCTCCCATTTCTTGATCGTCGCCTACTTTGGGCTTTTGTTCCCGTAAAGTAGGATTGAGCCTGGCAAAGGGGGCTGAAGTTGAACAGTTTGACCCTGGGAGGACAGTTCAGGCGACGGGCAGCAGCCGCTGCCGCGCACCCCCAGCCCCGCGGCTCTCGGCAAAGCGGCTCGGCCCTCGCTCCGACCACACAAGCACCTCTTGGACCCGCTGCGCCGGCTCGGCAGCCGACACGTCCTCGCTCACCCTGTGCTCAACCCCGGGGGGAAAACGGCTGCATCAGGCCAAACCCCGAAAAGGTGTGTGTGTGTGTGTCCGTCCCCACCCCCAGCCGCCTTCCCCGCCTCACCTCTCCATTGCTTTCACATCAGCAGAAATCTTGGTGGGGACAGAGGGACGGGCTGGCCCAGTCCCAGGGAACTCTGCTCCGCACTTTAAGGTGCCGCAAAAGAAGGTCCCTTTGTGTCGTTCCCCCAGGATGCCAAGGGCACCCACAGATTTCCCATTTTTCAAAAGGGGGCGAGGGGAGTGGCAAAATCTCTTGGTAGAACCACTGAGATCTTCCAAAAGATCAGCTAAATCATCACGAGTGGGTTTCTAATCGATCAGCTAAATCGGCATGAGGTAGTCACTGATTTTAGAGGGGGGGGGGGGGATGCGAAACCAGCCTGCGGAAGCCAACGCTTGAGCACAGCGAGGGCTGTTCGGGGCCACGGACGCAGCCGGCAGCAAAAGCCAGGGACGGAACCGTGAGCGTGTTCGCAGCGTGCTCCGGGAGAGGGCCGCTGAGGTTTTAGTTCTTTCATCTACTTTCGTCTTGTTCCACCGGTTGCAGATAAAACTCCCTTCTGAAGCCCGACTCCCCCTAAAAGCCTCGGTGAGGGGAGCTCCCGCACGGGGAGAACGCCGCGCTGCGGTTTTCGTTCGGTATGTCCTCACCTCACTGCCGTCCCTTCCCCCGTGGGGTCTGTCAGGCAGAGCCAGCCTGCTGACCCCGAGGGCATGTCGCCAGGCCTAGCTATTCACTGGGGCTTTCTGCCCCAGAGGGTGGTCTGGAAGAAAAACGGGAAGAGGGGAAGCTTTCCCTGTGGATTGACAAGTTGTGGTTTCATTTTTTGGTTTTGGTTTTGTTTTTTTAAAAAAATATAGTCTTCCCGAGCCTGTGTGGTGCCTAAGAGCTGTATTTGACAGCACTGAGCGAGGGCGGCAGCCCGTGTGCCAGGTCTGCGGCTCTCCTGACTGCCAAAACCCCGATGTGGGAGGCGTGGGGCTTTTCCCTCCTGGGGCTTGCTCTGCTCCTTGCGAAACCTCCTGAAAACTGAGCGGGGGCGGGGGGGGGAAAGCGAGGCCGGCCCGGGTGCCGGCGAGCTGGCCGAGCTGCAGCCCCACAGCCTCGGGGAGCTGATGCCCCCCCGGGGCACGCTGCCTCTGGGGGGGAGCCCGATATCGCTGCTCACGGCCACAAAAAGCAGCTTCTCCCCCCCCCACCCCCCCGTCCCCCCGAAAGTTGTGCGGTCACTTACCAAAGCTCCTCTCCCATGCAATCCACACCCCCCCCCCCCCCCCGCACCCTCCAGCACCCACCTCCGCCTTCCCCCGGGCGGAACACGCTCCCTGCAGACCACGGTATTCCCCTTGATACCCCCACCAAAAAATAAAATTAAAAAAAAAAAAAAAAAAAAAAAAGGGGGGGGGGCGGGGAGCGAAGGGGATTCCACGCGCACACGCACTTTTGGGGGTGTCGGGGCCGCCGCCGCCTCTTTAATGAGCGGCTGAAAGGGAGCCGGCTGCGGCGCGCGTGGCGCGCGGGGCGCCCTGATTGGCCAGCTGCGCCTCGCGCACCCCCCAGCCGCCCCCCCCCCCGCCCCGCTCGCTCCTCTCCCATTCATTAATAAATTAGCGGCACGCTCCAGCCGAGCGCGAGGCGCCAATGGCGCGGCCCCGGGAGGGGGGGGGGGGGGGGGGGGGGGGGAGTAAGGGAGAGAGGGGGGGGGAGGAAAAAAAAAAAAAAAAAAAGGAGGGGGGGGGTGTGGGGGGATGTGTGTGAGCCCTGAAAAGCGGCGCGGGCGGGGCGGCGGGGGCCCCGGGGGCAGGTTTGATTGTTCCCCGCGGGGTATATAAGGGGTGTTAAGGAGGGTCGTGTGCCAGACACGCAGCCGCCGGGCCCCGGGCCGCTCCCGCCGCCTCCGCCGCCGCCCCGGGGCGCGTGCCAGCGCCGCACCCCCCCCCCCCCACGCACCCTCCCACACCCACTCCGCGCCGTTTCTTCTTCACCCACTCCCCCCCCCCCTTCTCCCAACCCCCCCCCCCCCAGCCCCTCCCCGCCTCGCCCTGTCAAACCGCCGAACCGCCGTCCCGGTGCGGCGAACGGGGGAACGGGGGGCGGGGGAGCGCGGCCGCCGAGCCCCGGTGCCGCCCCGCCCGCAGGATGCTGGTGAAGGCGGAGAGCCTGGCGCCGCCGGGAGAGGACGAGCTGCTGCTGCTGGGCCTGGCCTCGCCCGCCCCCTCGCCCTCGCTGCCGTCCAGCGCCGAGGAGGAGGAGGAGGAGGAGGAGGAGGAGGAGGAGGAGGAGGAGGAGCCGCGGGGCGCCTCGGCGGCGCGGCCCGCGGAGGCGGCGGGCGGGCGGGGGAAGCGGCGGGCGGGGCGGTCCCGCGGAGCGGCGCGACCGGCCCGAACGGCGGAGACGGCTCAGCGGCTGAAGCGGAGCCGGCGGCTGAAGGCCAACAACCGGGAGCGCAACCGGATGCACAACCTGAACGCGGCGCTGGACGCCCTCCGCGACGTGCTGCCCACCTTCCCCGAGGACGCCAAACTCACCAAGATCGAGACCCTCCGCTTCGCCCACAACTACATCTGGGCGCTCACCGAGACCCTGCGGCTGGCCGGGGCGGCGCGGCTCGGCGCTGAGCCGGGGGCGGAGGGCGGGGGGGTCCCGGCTGAGGGCAGCCCCTCGCCCGCTTCCTCCTGGAGCGCCGGCTCCGCCAGCCCCGCGCCCTCCGCCTCCCCCTACGCCTGCACTTTATCCCCCGCCAGCCCCGCCGGCTCCGCCTCGGACGCCGAGCACTGGCCGGGCCGATTCGCCGCCGCCGCCGCCGCCGCCGCCGCCGCCGCCGCCCCCCCCCCCGCCGCCCCCCCCCCGCCGCTGCCTCTGACCCGGCGCGGCGGCACCTGCCCCCTTCCCCGGGGCGGGCGGCGGGAACGTCACCTGCCAAACCAAACTTTCGTTTTGGCCTTCTTGTTGTTTTTTTTTTTTATTTTTATTTTTATTTTTATTATTATTATTATTATTATTTTTATTTTTTTCCTCTCGCTCTCTCCGATGTGCACTTTGTCCAGTTCCCCAGATCTGTCACCAGGGCGTGCGTGTGTGTGTGTGTGTGTGTCCCTCTTCTCCCCCCCTTTTGCCATCTGTCCCTTCAGATTTATAAGCAGGGGGGTGGGGGGTAGAGGGGTGGGGGGCGCGCGGGTGGAGAAACGGGGCAAAAAAAAAAAAAAAAAAAAAAAAAAAAAAAGAAATAAATTGTTTTGTTAGGGGTCCAGGTTAGAAGTCATTGTATAATTTGTAGGCTTTGTGAGGGCTGAATGCAAGCGTGGAAATTTAGGGCTGAACTCTCTATCAAAAGAAAAAAAAAAAATAGTAGAGGAGGGGGGAAATGGGGAGGGTGGACCTCCTCATGCATTATTTATTCCGACCTTTAGGGGACGAGGAACTCCCCCCTTCTTTCAGGAGATTAAAAATAAATCAACAGACTGAAAACCTCAACAGACACGGAACATTACAGCGATCAGCCACACACGTGTTCACATTAATTTATTATAAAGAAAGATTTCATGGAAAATATGTATTTTTTTGTATAATTTACAGAGTTTATTCTAGTATGTATTTACAGCTGAAGAGCAAAGGGATTGTTCTCATGATAAAATATAAATAAAAATCTCTAATTTTCGTAACTTTTGGGTTGCCGCTTTCTCTGCTTTCTCTGCCATCGACCGGCACTCCCGGGCAGGGGGGCCGGCGCCTGCCCTCGGGCTCGGGGGGAGCCGCCTGTGCTCGCGGGGCCGTAACGGCGACAAACACCGGCCCCAAAGGCAACAGCATCTTCTTCGCCCCAGCAGAGCACGGCCGGGCCCGCCGTGTAGCCTCCAGCAGGCCGATGGATGTTTTCATTCCGAAAATTTCCTTTTGCTTCTTAAAAGAAACCCCCACTCTTTTTGTTTGTTTGTTTTTTCTATATTCCTTCAAGAATAAGAACTCCTGGGCATGTCAGCTTAGCCCCAGGGTGGGCTGAGGGACACACACTCTGGGCGTAAAGCTGCTTGGGGAGAAGCGGATCCAAAACAGGAAAAATCTCCTGTTTTTCCAGCCGAATCAAGCCTCCGAATGGTTCTAGAGGGGACAGGCAGCATCAGAAACACACGCACGACTCGGCCTCCGTCTCCTCGTGGCGTTTCGTTGCAGTCCTTCGGTTCCTCGTGCGGCTGGTAACGTCGCAAAGGAAAACAGCATTAAGCGCATGTATCTCTCTATATATAATTCAGTGGAAGTTTAGTGATCTTTCGCCTGTCGGTACGGAAGATGCTGCGCAGCAAACGTGTGGTGGATGGGTAAACCGCTCAGCGCGCTTCTTCGGGCTGGTGGCTCCTGGGTTTCACAGAGAAGGACGTAGGAAATAAATGTTATAGAGAAAAAAAAAAAAAAAAAAAAAAAAGAGAGAAAGAAAAGCACGGTTTTAAAGATGAAGAATTTCCTTTCTCTGTCTCTCTGAGGGATGGATGGAACCCAAGTCAGGGGCAGGTCCAGGGGGTTCGGGGCAGGGGCTCAGAGCACCCCTCGGCTGACCCAGGGGACCGACAATACGGGGATGGTACCACGGAGGGGGGATGCTGGAGGCCACCGAGGCCCTTCAATCACTTTGTGACTTCGGGGTACAAACACCTGGAAATCATTAAAAACCAGCGGAGGCGCCTGTATGTATTAATTAAATAAAATGTGAGGCACGTGAATCTTGCCCAGTGGCCCCCGGATCCTGGGAGCGTGAAACCCGGCCCTTGGAGCAACGTCGCCAAAAGGACGGGGAGAGGGGGGGAAGAAAAAAAAAAAAAAAAAACACACAAAACAAAACCAAAACAAAACGTGTGAAAAGAGAATTAGTGAAATTAGGTTAGGCCAATAAAACGTGCGGGGGTTCACCCCCCCCCCCCCCAGCCCCAGCCCTGCAGCCTCGGGCAGCATCTAGGCTGATCTATTGTTTCCCCCCCTGGCAGGAGGGTTATTGTGTGATAAATAATTCCTTAAAAAAAAAAAAAAAAAAAAAGTGGGTGCATTTGCATAATCACTGCTTTGATGTGGGCAGCAAGATGAAGCTGTGTCCCCCCAAATCTGCCACGGGCCAGAAGGAACAAAACAAGAGGGAGCCTTTCAGTCCGCTGGCAGTGTGTGGGGCAGCCCGTCGGGAGCAGGTTTTTCACTCTCACTGTCTTTTAACGACCCCTTTTAATGTTTAAACTCCAGGAATGCCAAAAAGAAGGCTAGCGCCTCGCTCGCCCCGTCCGTCTTTTCTGGTCGGGTCTCCTTGTCCTTCCTGGTTTCTCTCCTGCTTTTAAGAGACGCTGGGGTAGGTGCCTTCGGCTCTTCCAGAGGCCGGGATGGATGGGCTGCGCTTCCCCCCTCTCCGTGGGAGCGGGAGGGATGTCCCGGGTGGCTCAGCACCGGGATGCTCCCCCCCCCCCCCCGACAATCCTCGGGGAGGGACGCTGCTTCTTGCCAGGTTTGTCACCCTGAAGGTCCTTCCTCCCGAGCCCGGGAGCAGGAGCGTCCCCCGTCCTGCTGGGGCTGTGGCAACAGGAACCGCTGTGGGAAAAAGTGCACGTAGAGCTGGAGGGTGGAGGGGGGGGGGGGTGGGAGAGGGTCTGTCTGCGGCCCAGTGTGTGTGGGGGGGGTGGTGGGGGAAGCCAAACCTTCCCTGGTCCCCGGGCAGGGCTGCTGGCTCGGCTGGAGATGCCCTCGAAAGGAAACGGGCCCCGAGGAGGGGAGAGCAGTGCCATCCAAATATGAGCCAGAGGGGCTGGGTTTGTTACCTAACCCACTCACCACCTCCCCATTTTTCTTCTGAATGAGGCCAAAAGAGTTTATTTCTTCCCTCTTTCTTCCCTCTAGACTTGAAAGAGTTTATTTCTCTCCTTCCTTTTTTTTTTTTTTTTCTTTTATTTCTATATATCATTTTACATATTATATAAAGATTTGGGGAGGTGACGGCAGGTCCCAGCCCTGACCGGAGCTACGGCTCCCCGGAGCATCGGGAGATCAGCCCGTGGCTCCAGAGAACCTGGAAAGCGGGCCGGGGGGGACGCGGGATGGGAAAGCTCCTCTTCGGACGAAGTGGAAAACCGAGGGGAGGCTGGTTTCCATGGCAGCACCTTGCCATAATAACATGTGTTTATGATCCTTCTGTGTATTGTCTTTTGGCATAAAAGCTTCGCCACGCCGTCAGAGCTGGAGGGGCAGCTCTATGGCCCCCGAGGGGGTTTTACAGCCCTCCTTGGCATAAGAATAGCGACAAGAAGCCAAACTAGTGCCGGTGTGACAGCAGCCGCACCCCAAGGGCTCGCGCTTGCTTGCTTTCATGTCAGACATAAATCTTGCGATGTAGTGCCATAATTAAAAAGAGCGTTCCCGACACAGCCCTCATCTGGCCGGCGGATTTGAAGAGCAGCTTAAATCCCTCCCTCCCAGGCGAACACCTTGGAGCCGAGGCGGAGAGCTGGCCTTTCGGGGTCGGGCACCTTCCCGCTGAGCCCCTGGATGCTCACCCAGCTTCAGAATGAAGGTAGAAGACCCGGGAAGACTGTAAATTCAACTTAGGCAGCTTTCTAGGTAAATATCTGGGCGTTTAGGCTCAGCATAAAGGGTCTAGCTAAGAAAAAAACCCAAATTTCCTAGCGCCTTATTCAGGCGCCTTAGGCTCAGGGTCCACCGCTCCCCGGGTTTCATGGATTAAATTATTTTATTGTCACAGTGACACATGGGGTTCCTGATGGTGAAAAAGTGCTGGGAAAATAGTGCTTTTTGTTATGCTGGGAAACAACTAGGTGAAGGTTCACCTGCTACGGGGCATCCTCTGGTGCTCTCTAATGACTTTGTTATTGAAATGTATACGGCAGTAAGTAATCAAGCACAGACTGGGTGGCTTTTTAACACTAGATACATTAGTTATTGCATAATGTTGTCTTAATCGAAAAGACCAGCCATCTGGGATATTAAACAGTTGCATCGTTTCTTCCTGCCACAAGAAAATATGTATGCGACTTAAAGAAATATGCGATGAGAGCCCGCCCCAAAATATCTGTAAAGCGTATTTCGGGAGACGAAAGGGCGTGTGTTTTTCTGCAGATGAGGAGCAAGACCCCACGCAAACTTTGTGTCGCTACCTTCTGCCCTGGGACAGGCGTTTGGCTGACGGTCTCCGGCCCAGCAGTGCTCTGCCTCTGCCCCCTCTCTGTCCTTTAACTTACGCCCCCACCCCAAATTTCTCATTTTCCATTGTGCTGAAGGCAAGTTTTACCTTTCACCGTGGGCTGGAGACCGTCTGTGGGGCACACCTTCCCAGTCCTGCCTCAGGCTCCGGCTTTTTCCACGAGCTGGGTTGTTTTTTTTGCATTTTTTTTTCTGCATTTCACTGCTTTCTCCTCAGGGACTCAGCCTTTCACTGCTTTCATCCGCTTGTCTTTTACACAGCAGGGCTAGTCCTCAAATTTCGGGCTCATACTCCTCAGACTGGAACACCATATTCTCTTCTCCCTGGATGGATTTAAGGCCGTTAAATACGGCGAGAACTTTTAAGCTGGTCTCTCCAAAATAAATCACCTTTTCATTTTCACGTTTAAGAGCTAGAGGAGAGGAGCTGCTGAGGGGAAGGGCCGTCACCCACCAGCTCAGCCCCCACCGCGGCCTCTGTGGGTCCTGTTGCCCACACTTGCCCTCTCTGGTTTGTTTTTTTTCACCTGCGGGTCCCTTGCTCGCAGAGCCCCGACCGCTGCGGGGTGGGGGGGGGGACGGGAAGGGAGAGGGGTTTTCCACGCCCGTGGGAGGGTGGGGCTGGCACCCCAGGGGGGGATTGGGGCTGTGGCAACAGGAACGGGCACCCGTAGTGCTGGAGGATGGAGGAGGGGGGGGGGGGGAGAGGGTCTGTCTGCGGCCCAGTGCGGGGTTTGGGGGAAGCCAAACCTTCCCTGGTCCCCGGGAGCCTGCTGCCCAACTCGATTTAGGGAAAGGACCGGGGCCAGATCCCGGCTTCCAGCTCTCCTAGAGTATGGGAGCGCTTGGACCACCCCCCCCCCCAGCTTTGCAGGCAGGTCCCCAGGGGGCCCCCAGCTTTCCAGCAGAAATCGGGGTGTCGCTTTGCCTGGCAGCAGTAAAGCCACTGCCACTTGCCGGTCCCCCCCCCCCCCCCCCCCCCCCCCGCAGGCTGCTCTCTGCCTGGGGAGGACACTTTGAGCCTTCCCTGGGGACACCAACCGGCCGTCTGTTTCCCTCGGCCGAAGTAATCAGATAAACTCAGCGTGGAGGAACAAAATCGAGTCGGGAGGAGGGAGGCTAACGGTGACGTTAAACTAAAGCGGGTGTTTTGCCAGGCAGGCTGGAAAGCTCGGGGGGAGATCCCACCCCGGGGCGGCTGCGCCCAGCACCGCGGCCGGGCTGGTCGATGGTGGGAGGGGGCAGCTTTGCCTCAGCTTCTGGGTGACGTTTGGGATAAGGCGTGAGTCCAAGCGAACGTGAAATGGTAATTCCTGATGTTGGGACCCCCCCCCGCCCCGGTTGCAGGTAGGGTGAAGAGCCACCAGAGACTGCGCGGGGCTCCGCGGAGGCACGTCACCCCGAGAGGCCAACCGTACGCACCAAATCCCGCAAGGGCTTGGACTTCACCACGTTTTGCCTTTATTAAGTGTGGATTTGGCCCGGACGGCCCCGGTTCCCATACCATATGGGCAAAAAAAGATCTCAAGTGCCTGTCTTTTATATAGTAATCACAGCGCTGCAGTCCACTTGCACAAAGAGAAATCCTGGTGGGATTTATTTATTTTTTTTTGCCTAACGTAGGAGGTTGTCTTACTCTAGGTCCAAATCTCGCATCTTAAAGTCTAAGCCTCTTTTGCTCTAAGCCAATACCTTCAATTTAAGGATATATCCCGCCTTCAGCCTACGATGCCGCAACATTTGTGCAGGTCCCGCAGGCTTCTGGCAGCCTTCTCATCCCTGTGACTTCTTGTACCGAATTCAGAATTCCGATTAAAGAATGGTAGCGCTCTGGCAGTGCAAAGATTTCAAGTAAAGCCTTTAAAAATCAATGGGAGAGATAAAATTCTTTCGGCCTGCCGCCTGTGCTGGAGGGTTGCTCGGGGCTTCGCAGCGGCCGGCAGCACGCAGGGCAGGGAACGGGGACGGTGCCGGGGCGGCTGTGACACGCAGCCGTCCCCTTTCCCTCGCCTCCCCTCCCCCTCCTTTTATTAAAAAGAAGAGAGACTGGACCAAAGCTGATGGCATATTTACCTTCATGAGTTTTTAAAAAAGTTAATTACTGCTCGGAGCAAGTTGGTATGGCTGTCCTGAGCTGTCTTTTATTAGTAGTCGCCTTCATTAATTTCCCTCGCTGGATTTGCTGCTAATAGCTGCTTGGTCCTGGGCAGCACAAAGCAGCATCTGTGCCATTGAGCAGAAAAGCGGGAGTCAGGCAAAGGGGGGGGGGGGGGGGGGGGAACCTATGGCGGGGAGGTGGAAGGGGGGGCGACGCCGTTTGCAAATCAACCTCTATTAACGTGATGGCCAGCTCGGAGGGGACGGCAGCCCCCAGGAGCCGGCACGGTAGTTTGAGCTTCACTTGGCTGTTTCCAGGGGGGAGGAAAGGCACCAGGGTTACCCTGCCCTTCGTCGGCCGGGCTGCCCGGGCGCCCCTAGGTGCTGGCTGAGCCACCCGTGATGGGGAGGGGACGCGGGATGCTGGACCTGCCTCTATGGGACGTGTCCCCCCTCCTGCCCCCTGCCTCGGTCCTGCTTCGGGCAGAGGCGTTGGGCAGGATCCAGCGACAGCCGAACGGCGAATAACTCGGTATCTTTCGACCAAAGATACGCTCCGTCTTGCAAATAGCTCGGCCGAGAAGTTTTCCGATTAAAGAATGGGATTAAGTTCTACGCGGAGGGTCGCTGTGGGCAGGCGGGGGGCCGGGGGGGGGGGGGGGGACTGGAGGCACGGCGGGCTCGCCCGAGTCGGAGCGACGGGCGGCTGCGGAGGCCGGGAGCCCCATCTGCTCCTGCTCTCCGGAGGGGGACGCGGGAGATGATTTCATCCAAGCGGATAAAACCGAGGGAGGGTGGTGCGTGCCGTTCCCGGGAGAGGGGCGAGAGCAGCACGCCGCTGCCGCCGGGCCGTCCGGGGGGCTGCCGGGGCTGGGGAGAGCCCCCCCCCCCGGTGCCGGCGCAGGGACTTCCCTCCAAGGCAGCAGGTGAGAGCAGCACTTAGCAGTCGACGTTTTGCTGCAAATATCCCTGTTCTGGTTGTGTCGAGGGAGCAGCGGTTACAAGGGTACGCCACACCGCCTGTGCATAGCGCGCTTTTCCCACCGCGCGCGCCGAGGCCTGGAGATACGGCCGTGAGCGCTTGGTTCCCCTTCCCCGGGGGCTCCCCGAGCAGCAGCCGGGGGGGTCGGGGGAGCAGGACAGGCTGGGGGAACTCCTGTGCTGGGTGCCAGCCCCGCGCTTGGAAGAGCAATCCGGCTCTGGCAGCACGCCGTACGGCGGGAAGGAGATCCCCGAGGCAGCCGGTGCTGCTGCGTTTGGCCGAGCGGAAGAGATGGGGCAGCGCAGGCTGGCCTGCCGAGCTCACCCCCCCCCCCCCCCCCGTGAAGCTCTCCCCTCAGTAGCCAGGAAAAGCTCTTTCTGGTGAAGGACCGGTGTGCCCAAACCCATCGGCTGGGCTCTCGGGGTCCCTGGCGTCAGGGACAGGCCGCCCCGCAGCCCGAGGGGTCACCCCACGCCCGCTCGCCGCCGGGCTCGGTGGCCCAGGGCGCTGCTGGCTCGGAGGGGAGAGGATGGGGGCAAGAGCCCTGCTCAGCCTGGCTCTGTCAGCACCGCCGCGGGTCTCCCTTTCACACGGCATCTCTCGCAAGAGAAGCTCCCCCAAAGCGCTTCGTGGCGACGTTAGGTGTTGCAAGCGTGAGAAAACCAGTCGGCCTGCGGTGAACAGGCTCCGGGCGCATCGCTTGTTCCCTCTCGGTATCAAATCTACTAACTTTTGTACCTGATTACGTGACACGCAGCAAACGAGGCCTCTGCCTTTCACCTGGGTGCCTGCAGAAAAGTAAGTGGGAAAAACCTCTTTGATCTCATCTCTTCCCCAAAGGGCAGGAGAGCGTGTCACCCATCACCTTGTCAAGAGCGGGATGTTTTTGTGCCCGACTTACTGCAGCGCTTGCACCGGGTGTAAACTCACGTCCTTTGGTTGGCTGCTGTAGCTGAAAGGAGGAAATGTTTCTTCAGACTTGACGTCAGTGATAATATTTCGCTGTACCAGCACAACACAGTTTGAGCAATTTTGCAGAGACCACCGGGTGACTGGCTCTTAATGGCCACACGGAGCTCTTAGGCTGGATGTTGGAGTGTGTTATAATTAATCAAGCCCAAAAAGCACCCTAGGTATCAAGTTATGTAATATAAACCACTGAATTTCAAAAAAAAAAAAAAAAAAAAAGTATTCCCTAAGTCTTGCTTGGTTCAAATTACCTTTTTTCTGAAACCAAAGAAAACAGCAGAAAAGCAATTTTGGGGGGGGTCAGTAGCTCTAGGATGAAACTTCCAGGCAAAACACTAAATGCTCCATCATCACTCTGAGTCAACTATTTAATTCTCCCAATAATCACCTATTTATACCACAAATATGAACCAGTAATTTAAGTTCTGTGTGTTTTGGGCCACTTATGTGTCTGAGTTTTTCAGGGGATGAGGTTATAGAGCACATTAATCCCGGACCTCCAGAATCCAAGCCCCAGCTGAAGACAGAGTGCTTGCACTTGCGAAGGACTGACACCGCTGAGTTTGTGCCCGAGGCTGTGAAGAGTGAGACCGGTAGGAGCTACGGGGTTAAACACGGTGATGCTTTTTTTAACAGGGAACAGGACAAGCCGATACCTGATACTCACTTTTAACTGTGAGTAGCCGCAGCTTTGGCTGAGACGGTAAAACGCATGTCACAACCCAACAGAAGAAATCACCTGCTAAACGCAGACATTAGGAAGAAATCAAAATATTAGAATTTCCCACAGATCGGTTTATTCAGAGGCATATCTAAATAGATTTTTTTCTTTCTTTCTTTCTTTGAGCAAGAGGCGTAAACTGGAAAAGGCATTACTTCTCAGGGGTGTCGAAACTGCGTGTGCTATTACAGCAGGCGTTGCGGGGCCGGCTGCTGGCAGCGTATTAGGACACTTTGTTCTGCAGAGATTGTCCGGGAGGTTTTGTTTTGCTTTTAATTGTCTCTATAGAGAAGGGAAAGCCTCTGCAGAGAGGCTTTAACACAGCATCTCTGCTGCCTATTAATTCCCGAGATCTGGCTAACTAGCTTTGTTTCCCCTTCAGAGCTCGGCGCTCCCTTTTGCCGGAGCACGAAGCTATGTATGAACAGCGTTTGTCACTTGGTTAGAGCCAGCATTTCCCTACTGCTGCAGACAAGGCCGCCCTTTATTGGCTGCAGAACAAGATAACGGACTTAATCTTCCCAGTAACACGTGAGTTTTCATGTATCACTTTAATCTGCGAAACACTGGGGCCGAGTGTACCGTCACATGCCGATTTTACTTTTCTATGAGCGAGTGACTCCCCGGCTCAATGATGGATTGTTTGCTCGCTTTTAACAACAGTCAAGATGGTGAATGCCCCGGGGTGATAGACAGTGTGCAATGGGAACGGCAGCAAATCTGATGGCCCAGTTCAAGTTCACCTGACAAAGCTGAAGCGGTCTGCAAGCAGCATTCGAGAAAGGATTATTCACACTAGCATTATATTTTTGAATGCATTTTTCTTCCTGCGCAGCTGCCCAGCTCCCCAACACTGAAGGTTTATGCACCATAATAAAGAGATTTAATTTTTTTTTTTTTTCCTTCTCTTGATTCTCCCTCCTTTACACCTAGTTCTAATCGGTCAGTGCAGTGATAAGGCATCTTTCCAAACAGCTCGGCACAAACATCACCTAGAAAACAATAGCGTTGCTAAAAAGTGGGAACAAAAGCCCTAAAAATCTCTGCTGGCCGCAGAAACAAAAGCGGATGGTTTTGTCAGAGCTAACTCTCTGCCGGGGACCCCTCTTTTTGTGGAAGTTTGATGCTGTGTTCCCTTTCTCACCAGGAAAATCTCCCCAAAGAAACGATCCCAGCCTTTGAGCTCGGGGACAGGGGGACACCAGGGCTTTGGAGGAGAAGAGGGGAATTTGCAACGAAGGCAGCTTTTCACTGCTGCTGGAGTGGGAAGGCTACCTACCGTTTTTCACATGATGAGCCCCATAATACACATGGGAGTGCACATGCATGTGCAGGCACACACATGTCCTGGAGGTGCTGGCACGGTCCTGGAAGAGTAAAACCCAGGTCTCATCACAGTTTCCTTTGGCTGGAGAGGCAGCGACAAACGTTAGCTTCGGTCCTGTCTGTTATTCCAGTCCTACGTGGCCCTGTTAAGTGGAACACCTGTAACTGTTGTTTGAATTTTCCCAGAAGTAGCTTTTCTGCTTGCTGGTGAGGCCAGTAACACCAGGAAACGCGTGCGGGAGGAATGCAAGATCGCTTCCCTCCTCCTGTGGAACCGAAAATCGGCTGCAACCTGTAGATGCAGAGACAGGCCCTCTGCTTTTAATCAAAATCTGCAATGCAGCCCTGACGGGGGGGTGAAACAAGCATCCTCCTGGAAGCCCACGGAGGTTAATCATCCCTTCCAAATGAAGGTTGAAGCTCGCCCATCCAGGCCATTAAAAGTCCGTCCGCAGTAGATGTAAAATGGACAATTGCATTATTTAGAATGAAAATGCACTAGTCAGCCTCTTTGATTTGAAAATGCATCTTTCATCATAATCTGAATATGGGTGATGTTACCAAGAGGTTTTTTGCCTTTTTTTTCTTTTTTTTTTTCACCCTGACACTCCAATTAGCTTAATTCAATACTGAAGGGATGCAGCATTTTGTGCTCCCATCCCCTCTTTTTTTTTTTTTTTTTTTTTTTTTTTATGGCTGTTTTCTCTACAGCGCACGTATACATTATCTGGCCATGACAACAGGTTTGACTCTTTTCAGCAAAAAATCGGGGGGGCTGGACGGGACAGAGGGGGAAGAAAAAATAAAATATTTCAGCTCTTCAGCTAGAACTCACAAAACTGGGAGGGCATTACTGTCCTCTACGTGCTTCTGAAATTGGCTGTGACAGAGTAACTCTAGCAGTGGGTCTCTTGGAGGTTGGTGAGAGTTTATCGGTACGTGAACTGCCGGAGGGGTCCAAGGAGGTCACGTGAATAAATTGCGAGCTTCAGTTTTTAAAAAGAAACAAACAACAAACCAAATCAAAACAAAACAACCCCCACAAAAGATTGTTTCATAAAAAGTAAAAGGCTGCAGCTGCCGCTAACCCGGCAGGCACTACTGAAGCATGTGGCCAGTACACATGCTACAGGCTGTTCAGTCCTGGTGGTAAAAATCAGGGGTAAAAAAAATGATGATAAAGTGTGTTCCAAGCACAGGCGGAGTTGTCAAGAAAACCCCCCCATCACGTAAGTAGAAATTCAGCCTTGGGCCGTACGCGTGGAGTGGAAGGATCAGGGTCTCAGCATGGGCTGTTGGTAGAGGCAGTCTTTAAAAACGTGACTTAAATATTATCGGGCATATGTTTTACTTTCATAACTGTATTTTCTGGGATGTGCCAGAAAAGCAGCCGGCTGGCAGCTCTCTCTGCAGGCTGTGCTTCCACCAGCACTGAGGCACAACCCCTCGGATACGTCGTCCTTGCTGCTACTGGCAGCAAATTGCAAGTCTCCTTCTGCCTGCTTCTGCCGGGGGCCCGGCTGAGAAAGGTGCCTCTCCTTCCCGAACACCTTCCAGCTCTGAGGCTGGAAGACAGAAGCTCAAAGGGAAGGGGCGCTTTGCCTGCCTAGTTGGAACCAAAACTGGCACTGAGGCTGCTTACTCTGTGCTTACTAGATGCTGGTCTCCCCCCCGAACCTTTGTACAAGCGGCTACACTGACGTCCAGTGAGATGATCTGTGGGAATCAGTTATAGAATTGGTCACCAAATCCGCCGTGCTCACAGTTTCATTACAGGCAGAAGAGGCGTGCTGTCCTTAAGTGAGAACTGTTCTTCTCTTGGGAAAGTCTTCTGAGAGTCTGTTAAATGTAGCAGTCCTAAATTACTCATGTGAAGCAACTCTTGGTTCAAGAACACTATTTTTGCCTTGCAGAGCAGCAGAGCTTTCTTGGCTGTTACAGTTAAAACCGTATTTTCATCTGTTTAGACGTTGTGTGGTCACGCGTGCACATAGACATACACACCTCAGAAAGAAACTTAGGTTATTTTTTAAGCAAAGCAAAACGTTACGATTTGCTCCTTGAAGCATTTATACAAGTTTCTGAAAATTTTGCAGATGGTTGAAATACAACTCTATTTCACGTCCCGTTTCCAAAGAGCCGATGGTGCCTATTGCCCTTACTGGGCCTGACTAGAAGTATATACCGTCTTGTGGTACACCCCTAGCTGAATTTGGGAGGTTGTTTTCTTATTCTTCTGATGTTCTTCTGTTAATTCTTACAGATGGCTACAACAACATGAGGTTCAGATGGTACATGGGATGGTAACATGGTGTTATCAGCCTGGATGCACTGACCAGAACTTGCCAGACTCCTGCAGGTAATGACTGACCTGACTCACACGGGTATCGTCTCAGTGGCTCTGTTCTCACAAAGACAATATGCTCCTAGAGGTGTGTAGGATAAAATACTCTCCAGTTTACGGGTCGTTCTTTGTGTGACCGTCTTGTGCAAGTCTACATTGGCAGCTCTACTGAGGGTCTTGTTAGAGAAAGGCAGCGGCAGATTTCGTTGCACTTCATGTGTTGGTTATTAAAGAAGTAATGAATTCCTTTCTTCCCAAAGTTGGAGCGTGAAATATCTCTGCTATTAAGAGAATGAATCTGGGGGTCTGTGAGGTAGATGAGGCCTTTCCCGTTGCCTGTAACCCAGCCTGTGGAAGAAAGGGTACATTTTGGTATCGAACATCACAGCCTCTGTAGTATCGTACTCAGGACTGCCTGCTTGGCATGGCCCACGCTCTGTGAACGTCACTTCAGTGATTCCCAGTTTGCACCCATGTCAGCAAAAGCAGAACCTGAAGAGGTACGTAATGAACGTTTAATTAAATGGATCTCCCCAAGATACCCTGTGTGCTAAAGGTTGAGTCTGAATGGTTTTATCCTTGGCTCTTAACCAAAGAGCTCAATTCTCCATTAGCTGAATACGGGACCTTTTTTTTCAGGCTAGCCCATTTTAGGAAGGAGGAAGCCTGACAAAACCCACTGCTTCTTTTAGTGGCTCTCCTTTAGATGGTTCCACAAGATACGTCCTTGCAGACTGGCTTGAGTCTAATCAGATTCAGACGGTTCCATGACATGGAGCTGTGGCACGCTTGGGAGCACGCAGCTTACGTGCTCCTGCTGTGATGCGCTGGAGATCAAGAGGCAAAAACATCCCTGCACATACCTCCCTCACTTGATGTCACTTAGAGGCAGTACGTCCTTTCTGTAGCATATTCTGCAACATGAGGGCACACAAGAAACGAAGCTCACTTTAATACAAACCTTGAAGATCGACAACAATGTCTGTTCCATTGGAGAACTCATAGGAGAAATGGCCGTAGGCCAGACCGTACTCTGTGGCTTTGTACTCATTCTTTACCACATCCGTGTTATTGGACAGCTTCACAAACTCCCCAAGGATGTAGGGCTCCACGCTCACACATCCTTTTATAGTTCTTTCTTCCAGTATCTGCAAAGAGAGTGTTAACAACAGTCATGCAAGCAGAGATGTGAAAACAAGGATGCTAAAGCTCCTCTAACTGAGGTCTTGTTTTTTCCTCCTAGAACTTTCTGTCACAAGGTGGATGGAAAGAGTCTCCATGTTAACCCACTGCTGATTCAAAACACGGGCTGTTTCGATGAGGAGCTCGCATTTAACTAGAATGAAGGGTGGAGCACAAAATCCAACACAAAATCAGCCTGACAGGCCCAACTCCACGAGCAATGAATTCTACAAATATCTAGTTTGTCCAGCAAATAGGGAACTCCTTTCAGAAGACTATAAAGAATAAGCTAGAAAGCTGAAAAGATTTGGCTAAACCAGCACCTGGTCCTTCTTCAGTGTGTAAATAATCAGTGGGAGGTTCCAGGGGTTGTTTTAGTAATTTCTGTGTTCAGAGACTTGTAAGTGCTGATGCCAGACTCTCATTAGGCCTTATTAGTGAGTGGCATAGAGCCAGATCTAGTGCCAGAATGGCTAACAGAAATAGTAATATGCATAGCATGCTATCATACCCCGACTCGTAATGAAACCGTGAATTCAGCTCTGTACCATCTCTGTATTTGGTACACAGGTCAGATTGAAAGTTAAGTATAAGAATAAAGAAAAGATCCTTTCCCTTCCTGCTGCGGGCTGGATGTCAGCTTTAACCTCTGTGCCAGGACACCCAGACACGGCTCCTGCCTCTAACGATCAGGCTGGGTGCTGGCACAGCAGGGCCGTTTGTCTCACAGCTCTGCATGCTCTCCTCACAACCGTCGTGCGGAAGAAAGAGGGTAGAAGCAACCCACTCAAGAGAGAGAGTCATCCTGGTGACTTGGCTGCCCCTTCCTCCCAGGCTCTCTTAGATAACTCCACAACCCGGCCAGCTCTCAGCCACTTGGTTCTTCTGGCCCTCAGCAGGACATCTCCGAGTGAGGCTGGACCACTGAGGTGGAGGGAGGGACAGAAATGCTCCGTGGTGGGAAGTGGCTGATGGATCTGTGGCCTCGCGGAAGCCCAGGGCTCTGTCAATCCCACCGGCTTTTCTTCACCCATCCACATACGCCCAGCTGGAGGGAAGGCACAGGCATTTCCTCCTCACGACTGAGTACAGCCCACACAGGTGGAGAGATAGGTACTGGTTGTGCTGTCAGGGACAAGCGGGAAAGGAGCAGGCTGTAGGGCCTTGGATCAGTGGTGAGGTTGTGCCAACCAGTTAACTGAACCATGGTTTAAAGGTGTCCGTGGTTTAAAGGTGTCCTGTGGTAAGGGGCTGTTATTGAGGAAAAGAGCCTTTTGTGATAGCCATTTAAAAAATGTAGGTCTCACAAAGGGTAAAGGACGCCTGTAGCCTCTGCAAAAGGCGTGGAGGGGCCTCAGGGGAACACTGTACAATTCTGATCATCAATATTTAAGAAATGGGAATTCAAAGTAGAGCAGGCTCAAGGCTTCACGGGTGAACAGAGGAAGAGAGACCTTGTGTCTTGAGGTGACACTTAAACAAGCTCGGCTTCCCTAGCCTAGAAAACAGAGGCTATGAGGGGATGTTATTGCTGCTCCTTCCTTAAATCTAGGCCTCAAAGAAGCTGTGAGAAAGACAATAAATATAAATTGACTAATTTTAGATTAGAAAATAACAGAAAGTTTCCAGATGTCGAGAGAACAGCCCTAGAATGATTTCTTATTGGAAGCAGTGAAGGTTAAAATGCAAAACTCATCACGGCTGCTTTTAAAATAGGGTTTAAGGGGTATAAAAAGGGATTATGCAGTGTTGTTGCCTGTGATATCAGGGCACTGGACCTGATGAGTCACGAGGAAGTCCTTTCCAGTCCCGTGTTCCTGAAATTCAGCACCCTGCAGAAAAGGCCTCAAAGTTGTCCTGCAGCAAATCAACTTGTCTGCAAGAACCTCACTTGCTAGTGAGGTTTAGACGTTTCTGTGGTGCTCAAAGTGGGTCCATTCACTGTTCAGATTTCATAACTGCTCCTGAAAATAGGTGCTCGTACACTGTTAGATGATATAAAAGGCTGGGTAACCCCTGGGCTTCGTTGACAAGTGAGTTTCTGACTTCTAACAGTACATGGCATCTTTTCTGCCAGTGCACCCATGAACTTGTAGCTCTGAAGGTAGGTGCCTACTATCCTGAAATGAGCAAATGCAGCTCATTTCAGGTAAGGTCACAGGTGCCCTAACTGCTACTATTTTAAAATCAAAATTGACTTGAGACACCCTTCCCATCAATTCCTTTGCATTACTTAAAAGACAGTTCTTACCAGGAGTACTGCAGATGGAATATAAAAGATTTGTGTAGGGATCTTTTGCTCATACAGCCTTTTGTTGAATTCCGTCACGTAGTACTGGGCAGTCATTTGCCGTTCCACATCACTGAAATGATGAAGCAGCCCTTTTTCTTCTTTATATTCTTTCCCAACATACCTAAAGAAAAAGAGAAGTGTTTGGCACAGTCAGATTTGCAGCAGACTGCACTTGGAAGCCCTACTCGTGGTACAGAAACGTCACGACAAAGCAGAGCTCGGCTGTTCAGAAGCAAAGCCAGCTGTTGGTGATGCATTTAAAATGGCAGTGATTAAAGTTGTGATTTTTTTCTTTGATGGCTCTTACAGGCACAAAATGTTGTACTGATCAATCAAATCCTAGGATGGGTGTTTCATAACACCGGAATGCTTAAAGTCCACTCTTCGTGACTCTGAAGGGAGACCTGACTCAGAGGTACTTAAAATACTGTTCTATACCCATAATAATTCATAAACTACTTCTAGTAACAATCCAAAATCTGCAATTAGCAGTTAGCAGAGCTCTCCTGGTGCAGAGGCCTTTATGAAGCAAAGGGGTGATTTTAATCCTGCTTTCAGAGCAGATACATCCATTGCATAAACCTGCTGCTCAAATTAAAGAAAAGCAGCCGAAACACCTTTCTGCCTACAGGTATTGATAGATATATAAGTATAGTTATACTGCTAATTCTCTAATGCAAAGCTAGAGGTCAAATAAAACAGAAGTGACGTTATCCCAGCACAGACAAAGGTGAAGTCAGGCCTAAGAGTTGTCACAAGCAAACGAACACTAACATGGCTGTGAGAAGACAACAGTGAAGTAGCTTTTTCTTCCCAGAAATTAAAAAGTAGTGAGTTACATGGAGGGATGGGAAAGACTGACAAAATGCCCAAGAGATTTGGGAAAGCCATAAAAGATTCTTGCTACAGAAAATCAGTCAAAATCTAAACAGATGTAAACTAGGTTGAAACAGACTAAAGAAACAGTCTTCTCCCACTGCGACTATGATTGCTATAGTTGTACAGGTCAAACCTTGTACTGTCTTCTGAAAATCCTTGATAAAAGCTACTGTCTAACAGGGCACTGGACTAGCTGAATTACAGGTATAAGACTAATCTTCCCAGGCAGTTTTCATTCATATTTACACAGAAGTAGCATTGATAAACTTTTTGTTTCAGAAATTGGTTTGGTTAATACCTTCCCAGGCTTTCTTCTTGGTGCAGGAAGTGTATCCAAAATGCACTTCTCTGTCTGCCTTCCTTTGCCACGTTCAGGTAGTCCCCAATGAACACAGCTGTTTCTTGGCCTGTCCAGAGGCCTGATTTCTTTGAGTATTTTAAAAGAAGAGCAGCTACAAAAAGAAAACACCATGAGTAGAATGGACAATTCCACAGGACTGCTCTAAGTCTGTGCTGAGGGATGAAATAACCAGCACCCAGGAGACATCCAGGCTTCTCTGACAACAAACTACAGGGCTAGAAAACATATGTTAAGAGATACTTAAGTGCAGAGTTGTATGTTTTACATTAAGGACAAAAAAACCTGCTAAACAGGCTTGAGACTTGTAAGATAGGATGAGCCCTAAGGGGGTTTTATTTAATGAGATCAGTGAGGCAGCCTACAGTGGTGTTGCTCCTAGCTTCTCTATTTGGTAGTGTATTGATCAAGTGTTGGAATATTAAGGTATGACTGTTATAATCAGCTTAATAATCATTATCTGAAATACACAGTTTGCAGGGATGAAATGCGGAATCTAAATGGGTGACAAGATCAGATACTCGAGTAGTGGGGTAGAACGGGCTTGATGAACTGGCATGGGGAGCACAAGGAGCCTGAGCTACCTCTTGCATGCAGGGATTGAAGCAGGAGGGACTGAGTGGGCACGGAGATGGAGCCCACTTCCATGAAGCACATCCATAGGGATGTGCAAATGGGTAAGAAGGAATAGAAGAAAATGGGTCAAGGGAGTGTTCTTCCACCGCTAAAATTCTTACACAAAACCTCCTAAAACAACAAAAAATTAAGTCCTAATACATGATGACTAAAACACCGTGTTAAAAAGCCCGAGTCAAGACTGTTCTCTGTGGGAGTACCTGTTGCTGCATGAAAATGCCCACTGCTGTGTGGGAACTTACAGTATGCTTTACGAAGCTGTTTAGGCTTAAAAATTCCAGTAGGCTTCAGTCTCTGGACAAGCCAATTATGTTCTACGCCTGCCAGAAGCTGCAGGTAATCATCATCCCTCAGAAATCGCGCGTCAAGGATTTCTTGCTTTGTTCTCCCAGGCATGAAGACAAAACCACTTGGGTTCAGAAATGAACCCTCAGGGGAACTCTTGGGTGTCTGTGTTGATTTGTACCATGAACTCAGAGATGAACAGGACTGTCTCTTGCTGCTCACCACGTCCCAAGACTTTTCTTCGTCTTCTTCAGTAGTGGCACAGTCAAAGTGCTTGGCCATGGGTATCCTTCCCCCCGAGGGCAAAGCTGGTGGTGCACTGGGAGTTGATTGATGCTTTGGAACAGACGCTGTAGGGTAATTGCTTACTAAGTCTCCAACATCGATGAAATCAAATTCAGTGCTGTTTATTGCTTCTGCTTGGGCATCAACTTCGGGCACTTTGAGAGATCCATTTCCCACCACGGCAGATTTCCTCAGCCAGTCACGCACAGAGGAGTCACTGGCCGTTTTCGGCTCGGTGGTCGTTGATCGTACAGAAGCACCCCCATTTGTGGGGGAGCGTGCCTCAAACAAGGGACCCCCTGTGCTATTTGCAATTTCTCCTTCCAGGTGGTCCCCCCCAAACTGGCTTTGGGGCCGGGACGCAGGGGCACCGCCCTCCCTGCTACTGTCCTTGGTCCTGCAGCCCAGCTCTGCCCCAGAGGACTTCATCTCCTTCTCCTCTTCCTCCTCCTTCTCCTTGTCTGGCCTGTGAGGAACAGAGTAAGGGGCGGAGAGGGAAGGAACCACATTGTTCACCTCCCCTTCTTTCTTCTCTGAAGAGCTCTTTCCACGGTGGTGTCTTGCCTCCCGCAGCTCTTCTTCGCAATGAGACGCCTTTTCCACCAGCCTCCCAGCTAGAGGTACATCTGACTTTGAGGAAGGCTGAGGAGATCCCCAAGAGCTGTGTACAGGCTCTCGAGGAGGAGGATGCCAGGCTCTGGGAGGCAATGAGCGCAAGTACGCAGCTTGACCATCTTCATCAGATTCTGTGGTGCAACACTGCTCTTCCGCTGAGCCTTTTTCCCCCTGCTGCCCTTCCCTGGGGGACCCTTTGCTGCTATTGCAGTTTAGTTCCTCCCAGCTGGAAGAGTAACTTGATTTTGACAGCTTGCACCAAGAGGTCTCTGAAGTAGAACTCCTGCTTTTCCATCTGCTGAAAACACTGTTATCATCATTTATTTCTGACGGCTCGATCTCTTCATCTAAGGAAATTTTCATCACATCGGAGCCAATGCATTTGTTCCTCTGGCCACTGAGCCTCTCTGAGCTACTTCCTGCTGTCGGAGAAGGCAGCATTTTTGCAGTGCCTTTCCTCTGGTACGCTACTTCTTCAGTAGTACACGCAGTGTCTATGTTTTGGGTTTCTGTTCTTAAGGTTGTGATACAAGCTCCCACTTGGGATTCTCCTCGTGTGGTTTTATGAATCCGGCAGGTATTTTCAAACACTTCACACACTGACAGATGATGCTGAGAATTCATGGCAAGGATTTTCTCAAAGCTGGCTTCTCCTTGCAGGGTAGGTTTTTCCACTGTGCCTTTATAACTGTCTGGAACGTAAGACCTGGCATCAGAATTCGGGAAGCTTTCCACTTGCAGGCGCTGCTTCACAGAGGTGATCAGAGACATGATCTCCTTGGCAAGCATTCCTTTCTCTTCCTCTTCTGTAAATGAAGTGCTGTATGAATGCAGTTTTCCCATGGCTTCTCTACACAGCTGTCTCACCTCACGGAGTTTCTCGCTCTCCCCATAGAGCCATCGATGCACAGTTGTGAGGCAGAAAGCAGCTTTAATAAAACTGTGGAGCTCCTGCTTGCTGGTGACAGGACTCTTATCGGTCTTGGTGAGGAGGCCAATCTCAAAGGATTCTTTGGCTTCGGACAGGTAGAACTTTCTCTTTTCTGGGGGACAGTCCTTGGAGTGACTATAGGACAGCAAACACACCCCACGGATGTTCTGGGAGGGGATGAAGAGAGGAATGAAGGGGTTAAAAACCTGGACCTCTGTCAGAGACAAATAAAGGGAAGAAAAAATACGTTTCTTTCCCTTTTACAATTTGAATCAAACTTCGGCTCTAACTGCCTGCTGCTGCGTTTCCTGGAGGAAATAATCTTGCTCTTTTTCCTTTGAACTATAGCTGCAGTTATAGGAGAAGCAGCATTTCCAGATGGGCTTGAAAGCCCACCCTCACTCTGTGGACAGATACTTGCTTTCCGCCCATCTGCTTAGCTTCTAATTGGAGTTCAGAGCAACGTATAGCACCATACCCACAACACAGACACAATACCCTGCATGATGCAATGTTTGAAAGCCAGATTAGAGCCGAATTTAATAGCCTGGACTCTTCTTCTACAGATATCACTTTCAGAATGAAGACTAATACTTACCACGGCTGTGAGGACAAACAGCGGGGTGTACTGGCTGTAGGCTGCTGCTAGTTTGCAGGCCTCGGCCGCTGATAATAAGCGGTGACTGAACTCTTGGAGAAGGCCCTAGTGAAATGCGAAAAAACAAGAGGGAAAACCTCATCTCAAAGGCTTTCTTTTCAAGGAGCTGGGTCTACCTGGTAAGCAACCCTGTTAGATTGAAGCAAGGCAGCTTGGGATTTGCTTCTTGTCTGCTGCAGGTTCCCTGAGCTCTCTGAGACCTTTCAGTCTTGATAGAGTGGGACACTGTATTTTAAATGACAACAGCCAGGTCCGTTTCTGCAGGAGCCTTTTTGCTCAGCTTTACCATCAATGTGTCACTTTTTGACCCTATAAGTATTGTATATATTACACAGACACATGCATACATGCTCTATAAATATTCTTCATGTTTTCTTTTTCCTAAAGCAAGGCATTCTTCTATCTAGGTGCTAATGAATTTTTTCACCGGGAACAGTGGAAGTTTCTTCAGCCCTCTCAGCACAGGAGAGGAACTGGAGGAAGAACAAAGTGTGGGTGAATTTGGTACAACGACATACAGACCATCTGACAATCTACACACACAAATACCAAACCAAGTCTTACCAGGTCAATCTCAGCATTGGTTTTAAAATGTATATAATCCTTCTCGTTCATGGAAGAAAAGATGTCTGCCATAATACCCAAGGAAGTAGCAATTCCCTAAAGAGAAATGGAAAATTATCATGGTGGTTTTCCCCTTGTACTTTGAATTTTACTGCTCACAACAAAATAGGTTCTGTATAGAACATACCAAGAAACCAACCAAACAAACAATGTCCAAAGAGAAGCACTGCTGAAAAATTGAGAGACATCATCTGAGTAGGGTTTGATTAATTTCACCTTGCAGAAAGTGTAGCGTGGTGGATACGTATGAGTTTCCATGAGTGGCAGCTACCCCTATTACCACTAGCTCTAGGTTTCACCTTAAGTAGCCCTGAATTTTCACAAGGTGCTGTTTGTGACAATGAAAGAGAAGTCTCATGATATCACCTAAAGCTGCACTAAGCCCTTGGATAATCATATCTGGAAAAAGACTCAATCTATTTTACTGCTGTTTTTCAGAAAAGAGCGTAGAAAGCCAAAAATTATGTTTAAGAACTGGCCAGTCGATCCCAGTCTTTCTAAAAATTTCAGGGTGAAGATGTCTAGAGAGATAACAGAAGGAATAAATGCTGATCACACATAGCCTAAGAAAACAGGTATACTTTGTTAACAGACTTCCCTAGTTCATTGCACTGTTTGAAAAACAAATGAACAGAGTTGGACAAAAGTCAAGAGTTCTTGGTGTTGATAAAACTGGGGATTTTTTTGGTAATTTGTAATCGGTTCTACAGAACCAATTAAAAAATAAGACAAGAACATGTAACGTGTGTAGATCCACGAACTTGTGCATTCTCTCTCTCTCTCTGGAATATCTGATGCTAGCTAAGGGTCAGCCCAGCTAAACAGTTAAAAACACCAGGAAGTATCTGTATGCCTTCCACAAAATTCCACTACACATCTTTGCTCCCACAGAAATGTTCTGAGCTTGCGGTCAAGCTTTAAGGCATGGCAGAGGAGACGTGACGAGCTCTGTTTTTGCGCTGTATCTTATGCTGGGGTACAATTACAAAAGTTCTTAAAGCATCACCCTAGGACTTGCAAGACTTAGGTTCACATTCCTGTTTAGCTACGGACACATGGTGTGACTGTTGCTTCATCTTCAGTGAGAAGATTAGTGTGGCCAAGCCTTACAAAGGTGTTAAAGACAGATATGGTAGCTGTTGCAAGGTGTTCAGCTACTGTGGTGTCGGGGAGCATCCATCACCCACAACAGATAGCACAGTTCAGCTCAGCAAATAAGACATGCTTTGTTACTAGGAAGAAAAAATTAGTCTTAATCCTAATAGATAAATAAGATCTATGGCTGCATTCTGGGATTAGTCTGTCCTTGTCAGAGGCACCTCTGACACCCTCGGTGATGGTTCACTTCAGCTAATTCTGCTTAATGAAAACTATGACTTTCATTCCCCTGCAGGAAAAAAAGGTGTCTGTAAATCTGTGTATGCATGCGGAAACAACGTGCAATACAGACTGCAGTTAGAATATTTGTCGTGCATGTTAACCTCGTCTGAGGTGCGTAACTGAAACATTATTGCTAAAAGACTTCTCTGGAGTAAACAAAAGCTCATCTGGGGTGATTATTAGATTGGCAAGGAGTGAAAAGGAAATACTACCTTTTTATCTGGTTGAGGAAGTTTGAAATATCCCACAACTGAAGCCCAGATCAACTCTGCTGCCTCATACCACATCCCTGAAATAAATCAGGAAAATAGTCACTAAGCAGATTACTGCTAGATATGGCTTTTAGTAGTTTATTTTTCACCTCCTTGAGTCAGGAGCCCTCCAAACAGTATAAAAACATACTATGGCATTTTTTGCTTTGGTGACACTGAGCATTTATTAGTTTCCTTTAGCTTTTGGCTGTGCATTTTATGCTCATAAAAGATTTCAGCTCCACGGTCATGGAAAATGAAAGGTCACATCAAAAGCATAAAATTAAGGCTGTTGGCCTCAAGTACCAAGCCCTGAATACAGAAGCCTATCATGCTGAAAATTAGGTATTTTCTTGTCTTGAGAGAGGAAATTGCTATGCTGTACCCATGATAAACCACTGCACGCCTTTGAGAACAGCAAATCTGGGAAAAGCGTTAGCAAACATAGAGTAGCACAGGGAAAAAGGGAACAACATTTCAGAATCCTCCTCAACTTCTGGTAATATTAGTAATAAAATTCTAATTTCTAAAATGTGTTTGCTTGGTGCACAGCTCTAGGTCTTTGCTGCAAACGGATGTACAACTCATCTTCTGTGGCTGTGTTGCAGGCAGGTGTTCTACACAAGCTTGAGCTCTGACATATTCCAAACGTACCATTTTAAAGCTTGACTGCAACAGAAATAAAAAAAAAAAAAGGGAGGGGGGGGAACCTTGAGTAGACGTTTATAGAAAAAAAGCCTTACCAAGCTTTTGCAGAATCTGTCCTCTGATTTGTAAGCAAACTGACTGAACGAGAGTCCTATCGCTTTCCTTAGCGTATCGCCAGGTACCTGCAGAAAGAGTGGAAAAACTCAGCAGGGAATGAAAAATGTTGCTGTCATTTAAGCCTCTGAGGGTTACCTAAACCCCAGTAAACTGCCAGGATACGTCCCACTTAATTCAGCTGGTTTGAGTCAGGGCTTAAAGTCAGATAGATGACAAAGTGACAGTGCGTTAAGGAATGTAAGTAGACAGCTGTGTGGATCTGCAGCTGGAGTGACACGTACAGAGCATAAAAACAATCTAAAAAGTGAAAGGTACCTCTCTCCTGTGAAGTAACAAAAAGTCATTGTATGTAAACATTGTACAAAGTTCCACTAAAAACCAGTCAAAAGGATTAATACGTGATATCTTTGTTGTCACCAGTATACACAGCAGAGCAAAATACCCTTGGCAAAACATGTTTTCTTTTCTGATATCAGTATCCCATGAAGTTTAAAACAGAAGTTTTCATGTTAACACAGTATTAGTCACACAGAGGCTTTTGTTGTCAAATCTATATTGGATTTCAGAATAGAATATGAAATAAAATCACCAAGCTTTCCTAAGTATTGTGAACATTTCACTGCAATTCTCAGCATGAAGTAAGTATCTGTTCAACAACACGTCTTCAATTTTAAACAAGTATTATCAATGAATATTATTAAAATAATCTTAAACAGAAAGCACAATCCCAAGGAGATAAAAGTGCAGTTCTACTTTAACAGTGATAGATGGTATTTTGCTTAAAGCCCTTTTGCATGAAGGTCCTTCTTGTACGAGAATCTCAGTTTCACATAAAAAACAAACCAACAAAACCCAGAATAGGCTTCTTAAATTTTCTAAGTTTCATGGTTGTAAAGAAACCTAAATGTACTGACTCAATAAACCCTGAAGGCTAAGAAAATGTAGAACAGATACAAACCCCTAAAATACATTGTCTCAGAAACATAACTAGTATGGATTTATGGATGTCTGTCAAAACTAATGAATTCTTACCATGAGAAATACTACACATCCTTCCAGATCCGAAACAAGCCACACAACGAGCAGTATGGTTGTTTGACAGAAAGGAAAAAAAAAAGTAGTATCTACAAATGTCATTGTGCACTAAGGAATGGTCCCATTTTTACTGTTTTGCACTGTCTATCCAGCAATAGAAGAAAGTGCTGTAAGAATCAGGACCCACTTTTTTTTTCTTAATACCAAAACTTACTAAATAATTATTGCTGCAGTCCGCTACAGGTCTAGAATAAAGTATTTAGTTTGTAGGATCAGTGTGAATTTGAAGGATAAGCATGACTCTAACAATCTGGATTTTTTGGGGGGAGGGGGGGGAGGGAGTTGTCTTAGTTTTATAGATCAGTCAACTGCTTGAAATTGGTCCACATTTTAAAATTCTCTGGGCAGAAAAAATAGTAGGAAGGCTCTCAATCCAGAATATTTTCCCACTCCAGTGAAGCTATACAAGGATGAATTATGGAAATTAAAAAAAAAATTGCAGTTTCCACATTTTAGCAAAGAATGGTGAAGAAAAGAGAAACGTGATGTAAGGAGTCATTCCTGAGGTCAGACTGGCTGTATTTGAAGCTTGTGTGATGGTTAAAATTAGTATCAAAAATCCCACCAAAACAGCAAGTATGAAATCGGAGAAGAAATATATACATACCTGTTGCTCCGTTGTCATTAATTAGGCTGCTTAGGATATATTCAGCTTTTAAAAGTTTACCTGATTAAAAATAAAAAATATAGAAAATTAATAGAAAAATGTATCATGAAGTGGACAAAAACATTCATCCGTGAAACCCACTGCAAATTGTACTCTTCCTCCCAGCGCTGTCAGTGTGTCATCACTTAGACTTAACTTTCCAATTAAGTACTGTGCCACAGTTGCTATCTCATGCTTAGGAATCTTTGACACAGGCTATTCCACATATACAACAAATATTGCAGGAAACGCTGATGAGGCAACATGTATCTGTTTTATTTAACACACTATAGGAAGAGTGCTTCATCTTAAAATGTGAGAAAGTCTTCCTCGAGTCAAGCTCTGGTGTTTCTGTTGAATTTCTGTGCATGCTGTCTCCATTCTACAGTGTGGCTCCACTAAACAGGCTGCAAGGAGAAAACAAGAGATACCCCTCCTTTACCGGGGAGGCTAAGGCTGCACGCTGGTTTTAGAGTAAACCCAAGCCCTGTGGTGTAGGCAGACAGCTCCAGGCACTCATTTCTTGCTCTGCTCCTTCCCATGCCTTGTGCTGCTGCAGGGGTTCAGAACAGGGGAGGTGGCAACAAGACTGGGGCAGGGCACTGAGCTGCTGGCCACCTCACCAGTTGGGACTCCCTGATCTTATTTCCTCTTCTAGAAATAAGTTAGTCTAGCCTGCTTCCTTCAGCAACAGAGCTGTCGCTTTCTGTCCCAAGGAAGGATGGGGTTTGGAAACCCATTTTGGTCTCACTGGGGAGTTCACTGGGAGGGGAAGCTCTGCAGGTGCACCCCAAAGCCAGCTGACTTGACATTCCACCGCAGAAAGTGTAGCCGCAGGCCATGCTGCCTCACTATCACTCTCCACTTAGCTTTTAAGAACCATCTTAAGCACAGAATATATACCCCGAAAATATATAGAAAGGATGCAGTATGCAACACAAAGTGGCAATTTTGCCTTTCAGCCCCCGTCATACAGCTCAGAGGTTTTGTCGCATGGCCAGAGCCACTCGTGGCAGGCTTGATGATCTGCAGGAGATGCCTGAAGGTCTAATTTGATCAGCTCGATTCATGCTGAACCTCGGTTTTTGTCTCAATTGTCCAGCTGAATTCAAGAGGGCTGCTCCAGCCAGTGAAACAGCATAAGTGTTGGCTGAACTAGCCCATCGATTGGAGTGTGCTAGTACACGGACACCATGGCAATGGGAGCATGAGAAGTACCACAGCCACAAATAAAAATGGGTATTTTTCTGCAAATAAAATATTCCTCAACTAGGTTTTTCAGAGCAGGTTCATCTGGCTTTGTTTTCTTCTCCCCAGTGAGACAGTGGGAAGATACATCAAAAATCCTTCAGGTGTTGCCCATGTTATAGGAATGATGGTATTTATTTTTTAAAAAAATCACTTTATCCTCCAGGGGTTGTAAGCTGCATTGTTTGCATAGTCAAGTGGTCCCACTGGAAAAAAAAAAAAAAAAAAAAAAAAAGCAGCTGGGACAGTGCAGAGAAAATGCTGGGATTCTAATTTACTTTTTAAAGGCCCTTGGTCAGAAGTATAGCAATTCAGATATCCCTGTTTGAAACCAGCAGGGAAGATTTGTTAAGGAACAAAAGCTCCAATTAGTATTTTCCACACCCTTTCACAATTTTCTCTACTGCTTTTGGCTCTGAAACCCTTTATACCAGCCCCTTTGTGCTAGTGAGAGGAGCTGGGAGGGCTCAAGGGGGCTGGGAGTGGGCTGTGTGTTTGAAAAGATGGCACCGGGGCCGTAATCATGTCATCCCCAGCGAGGGACAAAGTGTCTTCTTCAAAGTCAAGTAGTTCCTAATTGGCCTTGAGCTGAGGAAACGGAGCGGTACCTGTGTTGACGGAGAGGCGAGCCTGGCGGATGAGCACCTGAGGACTGATCGGCGTGGCGGGCCGCAGCCTGTGCAGACCCTTGGCAATCTGAAGAAGTTTTCTGGAGGCATCAATCCAATACAGGAACCGGTCAATCAGGAACACAATAGCAGTTGCCGTTACGCAGTCCTTGACCATGATGGAGGCTTTCAAATAAACCTGAAAAGAACACCAGTGCCATGGGGCAGCCTTGGAGAAACTCGCGGCGCAAAGGCTCAGTGAACCGTCTACAGAAAATATTCAGCTTTAGTTACCCTCTGCCTAACGGTGCTGCCTACGTACCGTTTTAGAACAGATGGTATGTCCTTAGTTATTTGCTGTAAGGTGGCTACACAGTTTTACAGCAAGTGAAGTACTGAACATTACGAGAAGCAAATGCTCACTAGCAATTAAAAGGCTGTCTCAAAATTTCTACTCGCCTTATAATCTTTATGTTCCAAGGCATTTACGTAATGGAGAAAACCTTTGTGGCACTGATCAGATAGGATTTATTATAACCTATAATTATGACTATTCCTGATCATATCTTCGTTTTTAAGATAGGAAAGTTCCAGCTGCTTGTTTCGTTTGAGCCATAGTTACCGTTCCTGATTTTGTTTTGGTCTTTGTAGTTGTCGTTCAGTATTTGGAACCACAGAGTTTGGTGGTCTGTTAACGAATTTAAATCCTGCCCAACAGATTGCTGGCAATAATAACAGTTAGCTTAAAAGGGGGACATGAGTCTGGAAAGACTGGAAACGGTCACTATAGGCATTGTCCCAGACAGAGCTCCAGCCACCCACTCCTTTGTAGGCCACAAACAAGCAAACAGGCCAGGAGTCAGATGTTTTATCCCTGCAGGTCATCTTTAATGACTACTAAGGCCAGATGAGCTTTTTTGTGTTCCCACAGCGGTTGAGCCATCACACTGACACGAGGAATCAGCCAGAGCTCCTGAGATAGCATGCTGTTAAGAGGACAGGAGGCCAGCAAAGACCTCATTGTGGTTGCAGAAGTCCACATGGACCTGGGGACACCTACCGAAAATCAACCCCTTCCCATGGTGGGCAGGGGCTGGTACTCCTGCCTGGTAGAGCAAGGAGGTACTCCACACACTGACGTCTGTGTGCTTCCCTTTTTAGGGGGAAATCCTGTGTAAACACTGTTTGCAACAGGTTTGTTACACAGGATGGAGAGGATGGCACCCAGTCACTGTTTCAGCGGGAATATCTGCCTGAAATACAGCCACTGGCTGTAAGGAAAGACCCATCTCTTTAGCTACGGAGCCTGGTGGGTGCCCTGACCTGTCTGGTCTTCATGGCCATCGGCTGTTCAGCAGCCTCAGGCTGCCTACGGAGAGCCCGGCTTCCTGCCGCCCAGTCTGGCTCAAAGGCCTGGGAGTCGGCAATGGTTGAGTACTGCTGTACAGCGTGGTCAATCACGAGAGGGAAGGAAAAACAGAAAACACATTCAACCATACAAAGCCGCCTCAGAAAAAGGATGTGTTTCTCATCTCATTCATGTCAGCGAGTAACTCCACTCATGACAGAGTCAAAGCAACACAGGGGAGGGAGGGTCAGGCCCCACAGCGCCATCAGAGGATAAGATTCTGCTGAGAAAACATTGTCCAAATCCCTACTAAAATATCAGGTTTGGCAGCTATCTCTCATTTTTGTCTTAGCACCAGCCTCCTTCCCTCGCCTGCCTTGTGTAAATGCACAGGCAGAGTCAGCGAGACAGCAACGTCCATGAACTGCTTAGACACTGCTCAGGTTTCTTGGACTCCTCCCCAGCTTCATTTCTATTCTCTTTGCCTGTAGTTTAGAGCCCTCCAATCTGACAGCAAGACTTGCTCTTGATTTTGAGCAGCATAACGACTGTCTGAGGTGTGCAGGAGGAAGCCAGTGTCAAACCATTTGTAGAAAAACCTACGGTACATGGCGCGAAGGCCGGCTTGCAGCACCCATCGGTTGCAAGCATTTGCTAGCTTGTTTGCACTTCAGCGAGGCGGATTTGTACAAATTTCCCCCTTTTTTTTTTTTTTTTTTTTTTTCTCCTGAGCCCGAGTTGGATTTTCTAAGAGGATGGCACTTGAAAAGGATTCCTGGAGCCGGGCACGCACAACTCTGCTTGTGCCGGCCAACAATGGAGGAATCCCCCTCTCCAAGCACCTGTAAACTGACACTGCAAACCAGCCATTCAAAATGCTCATCAACAGGCCATATATTTAAGCACAGAGCATCGCCTAATCTATTTTTTTTTTCCTCCCCTTCTTCCTTTAATAGATCGGAGCACAAAAGCCTGAGAGAGGGTGACCTACCAAACAAAAGGGCCTTTGAGTTCCTAGGAAAAGTAGACTTGGAGGAGGATGGAAGGAATCCAAGTGGCCCTATTATTTCCACTTGCACTAATTAGACATTTTTCTGTCAGCTATTGAGCACTGCTGAGAGGCCAAACTCACTGAATTCATTTCTAAAGTGTTTACAGAAGTTTGCATCTGTTTGTGTCTCTTCAGGAGGAAAATAAGCACTTCAATAGCATTGTGGAAAATCTAAACGAAGCATCCTATTCTGAAGGGCTTGGCAGTCTTGCAGCTGCATAATTTAACTCTCCGCTCAATGCCGAAACCTCTTGTGTCCCTCTCCAAACCCAAATGGACACAAAATGTAGAAAAGTCAAGCCAGGGAGAGAAACTCGGCTATTTTTTTTTAAAAGGCCGGGCTGCATGCTGTGTGGCACACAGAAACACGGTTCGATGTCAATCTTTGCAATTACGTCCCCCCCTGTTCCGAGCAGTACACCGAGAAATTAATACCCGCTCCTTTCATTCCCTGCCAACTCGTGTGGCTGGAAAATTCCTCAGCACCTACAGCTAATGCACCGGCGTGCTGGGCACGCACCCAAACCACGCACCAAGACCCTCCCCACACCGCTCCGAAAGGAAACAGGGGAGCGGCTCCCTGTCACCCAGCCCAGACCCAGGGAAACCCTCTTGACTTCCAAGATGTCACAGCCTACCCCAACACAACCAGAAACTCGGCGCCGCTCGCCGCAGCCGGACACTTTGTTCTGCCTGGCGGGCTGGCGCCCTAAACAGATTTGCTCACTTTCTTTATCGCTTTAAAGCCGATGTTGGCGCATCTACACGGAGAGAGAGAGAGACACAGAGGGAGAAAGAGCGAAGTAGGCGCGCACTTTGTCTTCACATCTGTGTCCATGATGTGAAATGCATATGTCTAATTGAGTTTATGACACAAAGGGAACCTCGCGGCTGGGAAGTGGAATCAGGTGGTGAGAGAATTAAATTTGCACCAGATTTCTATACATGGACCATTGGGGGAAATGCAAAACAGCCTTTAGTGAAGGGTTTTCTTCCTTAATGGCGATGAGTGGGAGGGTGTGCTGTTTGCATGGTTTCCTGCATTAGTGGGTTAGCTCCTCCTCACGCCAGGGCTGAAGTTTGGGTCCCAGCTTTGGGTTCAAAGCCACAACACCTCCTTTGCATTGACAATGGGGGCCGCTCCCAAGAGAGGGGAGCAGCTCAGAACCGGGGCCATCTGGCACTAGGACTGGCAGGAAAGCGTCAAAGGGAAATTATTGGTGCATAGTAAATGAGGATGAGGAGGAGGGGAAGAAAATAGGGGAAAATCTTTATGTGGCAGCTGATGTAAGAGGAATTACAAGCACAAATAAATGAAATATTGATTTAATCCACTCTCTCTGCCCTCTTTATAAAGCAAAGATCCCGGAGGCAACCCCCTCCCCTCCCCAGCCTGCAGGCTCGGGAGGGTCCCCTTTGGAAAAACGCCTCTGCAAGTGGCAAGGTTAGAAAGCAGGGGCAGGAATCATTTCATTTTCAGAGTGTCCCTGCAGTTTTGCAGACTCTCTGGATTTCTGTGTTTGCTCATACCCATTCCTCTCAGTCGTGTTTCAGTCTTTGTTTCATTTGTAACTGCAGCTGAGGTTTAAAATCTTAAAAAACAAACCCAAGAGCAGTCAACAAAGAATTTCTCATCCTGTGCACAAGGCAGGAGTTTCAGTGGCACATGCTTCCAGGTGCTTTAGATCTCTCCCAAGAGCTGTTCCTAGTTAGCACTTCACTGAACCCTAACAAATTGCCCGGTTTTCTTTCCCTCTACGTTCGTCCCCTGTCAGATTAAACACAGAGTCACAACACCAATGGATTTGGCTGAAGCCTTTCACCCTTTTACCCCACGCGCTGTTAGCAAAGCCTGTCTTTCCAAGAGACCAAAGCTGCTGTCACCGCACGGGACTTCTCTATCACTCTCTGCCTTTCAGCTGGCAATCAGAACCCGCTCGACAAATAACAAGGAATTAAGCCTCCTACCACCTCTGTGATGGGCAGAAGAAAGCATGTTCGTGAGGTGCAGGCGGATACGCTTGAAACACAGGACGGTCAAGTCACACAGTAAATAGCTGCAGAGTGAGGAATAAGAAGCTCCTGGACGCTTTCCTCTCTGCTCAGAGCAGCAGAGAACCCCGTTTCATGGCTTGAGCTTCTGAAGCTGTTAATTAGCTCAAGTTATTCATCCTGAAGGCAATGGAGAGTTGGGTGCTTATTCAATGGGAGCAGCATTAGGCCCATTATTAGCAGCTCAAAACACCACAGAATGGGTCCGTTTCTTACAACCGACCACATCTTGCTTCACCAACTGAGAAAGTACAAGAGGGAGGAGAACTCCTGCTTTTCTCAAGTGCCCCCCTTTTTTGGCAACTTAACTCGCCCCTGATTTCATTCACCTTACTGCTATTGGGATGACGTTCCACGTGCCGCTCTCAGTTTCCACTCTCTAGTTGGGAGCCAGCGCTGTTCCCAGGACCCGGAGCTCCAGCAGAGCAGTGCCTGGAGGGTCCCGCTGGCAGGACCAGCTCTGTCCCTTAGCGGGATGGAGACAGCCTCCCACAGCCCATCAGCACAAAGCAGAGAAGGCACCAGCCCCGATCAAGCTGCTGCTGGCACGTAGCTCTCAGCCCTGGGTAGCAGCAGTGAAGGGAGCGCACCTCCCCGTGGGAGCGAGTGGGAGAACCATCTGCGTGATGAACTTGAGCGGTCTCAGGAGGGAGGAAAGCAGCAGGCGGCTCAGGCTGCGAACAGCAGCTTTTTGGGGTGAGCAGAGAAGCAGGACCCCTTTAAAGTGCTGAGGAAGCTCCTCGAGGGG